TTCCTTCTGCTGTCTGCCCTCTGGTGGATGAGGCTATCTAGGAGGCTTATGCAAGTTTCCTGATGGGAGAGACTGGTGGTGGGTAGAGCTGGCTGTTGCTCTGGTGGGCAGAGCTCAGTAAAACTTTAATCTGCTTGTCTACTGATGGGTGGGGCTGGGTTCCCTCCCTGTTGGTTGTTCGGCCTGAGGTGACCCAACACTGGAACCTACCCAGGCTCTTTGATGGGGCTAATGGCGGACTCTGGGAGGAGTCACACCAAGGAGTACTTCCCAGAACTTCTGCTGCCACTGTCCTTGTCCTCACGGTGAGACACAGCCACCCCACCCCCGCCTCTGCAGGAGACCCTCCAACACCAGCAGGTAAGTCTGGTTCAGTCACCTATGGGGTCACTGCTCCTTCCTCTGGGTCCCGATGCGCACGCTACTTTGTGTGTGCCCTCCAAGAGTGGAGTCTCTGTTTCCCCCAGTCCTGTCGAAGTCCTGCAATCAAATCCCACTAGCTTTCAAAGTCTGATTCTCTAGGAATTCCTCCTCCCGTTGCCGGACCCCCAGGTCGGGAAGCCTGATGTGGGGCTCAGAATCTTCACTCTGGTGGGTGGACTTCTGTGGTATAGGTGTTCTCCAGTTTGTGAGTCACCTACCCAGCAGTTATGGGATTTGATTTTATTGTGAGTGCGCCCCTCCTACCGTCTCATTGTGGCTTCTCCTTTGTCTTTGGATGTGGGGCATCTTTTCTGGTGAGTTCCAGTGTCTTCCTGTCAATGACTGTTCAGCAGTTAGTTGTGACTCTGGTGCTCTCGCAAGAGGGAGTGTGAGCACATCCTTCTACTCTGCCATCTTGAACCAATTCAGTGACTTGATTTGTAGCTTAACCATTTTGTTGATGAGATTCCAGTGGGTATAATCCATTTATTTACATAGTGATACGGAGTCCACTGAATGGACAGGTGGACACCTGGGCCGATGCCAGTGCTGCTGTGAACATTCTTATATGTGTCTCCTGATGTACCTACTGTGTGAGTTTTGTTAGGAATGTGAGGTCATGTGGTAAGCACATCGTCAACTCTACTCTCATCAGAAAAGCATCGCTGCTTTTCCATAGCAGTCGTACAGCTGTCTCCATCTCCTCAGCAACGTCTGACATCATCCACCTTGTAATTTCCGCCCATGTGGCAGATAGGAAATAGATTTCACCAGGTTCTGAAAACTGCATTATGCAGCTGCTCATAAGAGTGAGCACTGTATTATATAATCATTTTTATCATTTTCAGGTTTCCACTTCTGTGAAATACCTGTTGAAACCTTTTGTCCATTTTCATACCGGGTTTTCTTTTCCTTTTTGATCTGTAAGGGTTTGAAATATATTTTGAATACTAATGCTTTGTCAGGTATTTGCATTGCCAGTATCTTCTTATGGTTTGTGCTGCATTTTCACTCTCTTTATAATGCTTGTGATGAACCAAAGTTCGTTTCAGTCTAGTCACATTTTCAACCTTTTTGTTTCGGGTTAGCATTTTTTGTTTCGAAATCTCTGCCCAAATATAATAAAGATGTTTTCCTATACTTTCAAAGTTCTATAATATTGTCTTTCACATACTAAGTCTTTAATCAACCTGGAATTGATTTTTGTGTACGGTGTAAGGTGGAGTCCATTTTCATTCTTCTTCACCATATGGATTATAAATTGTTCTAATACCAATTACTGAAAACTTCATCCCTTACCTGTTATACTAAGATGTCAGCTTTGAATAAATCAAGTTTTGAAATATGTATGAATCTGCTTTGGATTATCCTGTTCTTAATAAATCTATTCTTTCAAAATACCTCACTGCTGTAATAACTATAACTGAACAGTAATTCTTCTCCTTATTCTTCTTCAAGAGTGACTGTATTATTTTTGGCTCTTTACTCTTCCATATTAAGTTTTAGAATCAGCAATGAACCTATAGATTTATTTGAAGTGACATCAATAGCGAATCTACAACCCCACGAACATGAATTATTTCCCATTTGTTTAGGCCTTCTTCACATTTCTAAATAAAGTTTTATAATCTGCTAGTCACAGTTTTCAAACATAAGTACACATGCATGTATCAAATGGTTTTTCTACATTTATCAAAACTGTAATGTTACTGTAGTGAATTTCATTGATTTTCTAATGTCAAACCAACTCTGCATTCCAAACCTATGCAGTCATACTTTTAAATATACTGCTAGATTTAATTCCATAACATTTATTTATGTGTTTCGCATCTTTGTCCATAAATAAGAACAGCCCGTGATTGTCCTTTCCCATACCGTTCTCTTCTGATTTTGAGAGCAAAGTTATTTAAATCATCTAAAGTGAATTTGGAGTTGTATTAGTTTCCTAGGGCTGCCCCAACAAATTACCACAAATTTGGTGGACTGAAACAATAGAAATTTATTCTCTCTCAGTTCTGGGGGCCAGAAGTCCAAAATTAGGTCTCAGCAGGGCCACCTCCCTCTGACTTCTCTAGGGGCAAATTCTTCCTTGCCTCTTGCAGCTTTTGGTGGCTCAAGCTCCTTGGCTTGGAACTGCATCACTCCAAGCACTTCCTATGTGTTTGCACAGACTTCTCCCCTGTGTCTCAAATCCCCCTCTCCTTTCTCTTATAAGACACCAGTCATTGGCTTTAGGGTTCACTCCAAAACCCAGATGACCTCAATCCTAATTATATCAGCAAAGATCCTATTCCCAAATGCAGTCACATTCACAGGTATGGGGGTCAGGAGCTGGACACCTACTTGTGGGGGACATGATTCATCCCACTACAGGAGTGCACCCTCTTTTTCTAAATTCTAAAATGATTTATGTAAGTTTGGAATAATCTGCTTCTTTAATGTTTGGTAGAACTTGACAGCAAAACTTGTTGGACCAGGATGTCTTTCTTTGTGAAAAGATTTTAAAATGCTGATTAAATTTCTTTCAAGGTTTGAAGACTATTCAGGTTTCTACCTTCCTGAATAAGTTTGGTTTCTGCCAATTGCCCATACCTTCAAATAACCTCTCAAGTTCACTGGCATAAAGTTGTTTACATTATCTTATTTTTATGTCTGGAGCATCTGTAGTTATGTTCTCTTTATTCTTAATATAGTTTATTTGTACATTTTGTCTTTTCTTTCTTAACAGCCTTCCCGGAGGTTTGTTGATCTTATTCGTTTTTTACAAAAAAATTAATTTTGGCATTGTTCATTTCTTCCCAGCATTTCTTTTTAACTTATTAATTTCTGCTCATATGTTCATTAATCATATTCACTTCTGCTTTTTTTGGACTTATTCTTTTCTAACTTCTTAAGCTCGAGACTTAGCTGACTTTCAGCCTTCTTTTCTAATATAAGCATGTACACCAATATATATTCTTCTTCTAAGTGCCATTTTAACTACATTCTCAAGTTTTGACACATATATAACATTTTCATCACCTGTCAGGTTCTTAACATCTTACTTTCCCTTTGGTACTGTGCTTTCATCCATAAATTATATAAAAATATTTTGCTTGATTTCTAAACATATGGGACTTTTTGTCTTTTCAATACTGATTTTAGTTAACTATAATATCTTTAAAATGTGTTGAGGTTTGCTTGAAGCTGCATCCCATGGTCAATTTTTTTTTTTTTTTTTTGCGGTAAGCAGGCCTCTCTCACTGTTGTGGCCTCTCCCGTTGCGGAGCACAGGCTCTGGACGCACAGGCTCAGCGGCCATGGCTCACGGGCCCAGCCGCTCCGCAGCATGTGGGATCTTCCCGGACCGGGGCACGAACCCGTGTCCCCTGCATCGGCAGGCGGACTCCCAACCACTGCGCCACCAGGGAAGCCCCCCATGGTCAATTTTAATAAATGTTTGTGTCTGTTTGATAAAACTGTCTACTCTGCAGCTGCTGAGTTCAGTGTCCTGGACAGGTCTATTAGATCAACTGTGCAGCTGCCATCTTTCTTAGTATCCTTACAGATACTTTTGAGTTTTGTTAATTTATTAATTACTAAGAAAGATATGAGGATGTTACTCTTGTGATGAAATTCAGAAATTGTATGTCTAGAAAGATATAAAGTGAACTGAACCTTTATCATTATATGGTAACCTCCTATCTCCAGGAATGATTTTTGCTTTAATGACTATCTAAAAGGACATCCTTTAGAGACAGGCTATTGATAGAAAAATAATTTGGTTTTTTCCAGGTTTTTCTAAAAATATTTTCCCTCATTTTTGAAAGCTAATTCAAGGGACTGTAAGATTCCAGATTGAGAATAATTCCTTCAGTACACAGAAGGGTACTTGGTCAGGGTATCCAGTCCACCACAACGCTGGCAATGAAACACTCTAACAGTTGCAGTGATTAATTTACAAACCACTTAACTTACAGACTGTAGTAAAACAGAGCTGCGTATTTTCAAAATTAGCAAGACAAGGGAAAGCTACTACAGGAACTTCTCAGCTCTGAAGAACATGGGAATATTGTCCTACCACAATTTTGGTAGAAAAGGACAGTTGAAAGCATCTTAGAATTTTTAAAAATGGGAATCAACGGGCTTCCCTGGTGGCGCAGTGGTAGAGAGTCCGCCTGCCGATGCAGGGGACACGGGTTCGTGCCCCAGTCTGGGAAGATCCCACATGCCGCGGAGCGGCTAGGCCTGTGAGCCATGGCCGCTGAGCCTGTGCGTCCGGAGCCTGTGCTCCACAACGGGAGAGGCCACAACAGTGAGAGGCCTGCATACCGCAAAAAAACAAAAAAAAAAAACGGGAATCACCATTTTAGCATACAGTCAGCCCTCTGTATCCACAAGTTCTGCGACTGGGGATTTAACCAACTGCGGATCAATTTTCAATTTCCAAGGATATGGAACCACAGGTATGAAGGGCTGAATATACCATGCCATTTGATATAAGAAACTTGAGCATCAGTGGATTTTGGTATCCGCTGGGGGTCCTGGAACCAATCCCCCTCCCCACCAACCGGATACTGAGGGAGGACTGGACTTACCATGCTGCTTAGATTTCTTTTTCTTTTTCTTCTTCTTCTTCTGCTTTGGTTTGTAGTGATCTTTGTCCCTCTTCTCTTTTCTTTCTTTATCCTTTTCTTTTCTCTTACCTAAATGACCAAAGTGAGTAAGTTAGTAATCATGACTGATCCTGATTTGTTCCTCTGTGGTTAACCTAAAAGCAGCATTTATGTTTTAATCAGCTATTCCAGTCACCTGCCCAGAGTGGATGGATTCAATTAAACTGTTCCTGTCATGAGTCTGGAACTCCTGATTAGCTTATTGGGCTATAAGAGGGGATCTTCATTAGCAGTGTTGAGAAATCCCAACTCCTGACACCTTAAAGTTAACACAGACAGTAGTTAAAATCTTTAAATGAGTAATATAACTCAGTTTCCTGATGTGGCAAGAAATAAACTCCATAACTTAAGAAAGACCTGACTGAGGAGACTCAGCATTTCCACACAAAATTTAATGAGAAAATATACTAGAAGCTTAAAAAATAAAAAAAAAAAACTTGAATTTTTTTCCTTTGGAAAAACAAAAAAACTAGATCATTTCCACAAATAATTCCTTCAGTCTTTCAATACTTTCCCAGTGTATACAAGAATGAAAATAAAAAGCACAAAGAAAAAAAACTTATTTCATTAAACTAAATTTTGTCCCCAAATTTTAAAATATTCCTTTTTCCCAATCATATGCACTTTAAAGAAAATGAGCAGATGTTAAAACAGTTTCCTAGAGTATTTTATTTAAAATTAATTCATCACATATATTCAACTATTGTTCCAACTCAGAAAGGTTTAGCCCATAACTTATCAACCATATTAAACCAACTTTCAGTAACTCAAGCTCCAGGTAGCTAACCTGTAGAATATTTAAGACTATTATCCATTATTCCAAAACTTTTAGTCATTATAGCACAGAAGACAGAAAAGATAGCAGAAAAACTTTCAGTCATTATAGCACAGAAGACAGAAAATACAGCAGAAAACTTAGTAACTTTTTATAAAGTAAAAAAAAAAGGCTGAAAAAAAAGGCTATTTTAATTTACCATCCATTCTCTAAGTTTCAATAATATTAAATGGTAGCTTATTTTTAAACAGTCATAGTTTTAAAGATGTTCAAAAACATCAAGTTCTCAGAGAAAGCCTTAGGCTCCCTTGACAAAAAATACCCATACTACTGCAAGATATGTATTTAAGAAATCACATATTTGGAGCCGAATAATACTAATAAACACTAAAACAGATGATCACTTACACCTAAAGGAGCACTAACAGGTAAAAAGTAAGGGACAGACTATGTCCTCCCACTGCCAAGCCATCTATAGCCTTTTGCTTAAAGATTACTTTCTGTTCATACCAAATGTAGTTGAGCTTTTTTCTTCCAATTTCACTTTTTTTTCTGTTTTCGATATTCCTGCAGGTTTAGGGGAAAAATATGTAAGTTTAGTCAGAAAGGATTAAAAGTATGGGACAATGTTTTAAATTACAATTGCTCACGAAACTCTACCTAAGACTCTTTTCCCCTAAAGGTCTACATTATTTTATTGCCTGAACTAGTAACAAAGAAGTGGGATTTCTTACTTCAAAGGAATAATAAATTAAGAATGATTTTTGTTCCCTCAGACTACTCAGATTAGATTCCTAGTTCCACCATTTATTAGCTCACAGCCTCGAGTAAATCATTTAATCTCTCAGTGCTTCAGTTTCCTTATCTGCTAAATAGGACTAAGAGCATCATCTACCTCCTGTTGTTATCAGTATAAGGTGAGTCAAAATGTGTATTGATGAAATGCTTAGTGTCTGATAACTACTAAGTGTTTTTTTCTCACTTTCTCCTTTATGGTGGGGTAATAATTTGAGACTACATCAGTTCTAGAAATAGCATAAATATGGGTCTGAACATAAAAAAATGTTAGGATAAATGCACTAGGCAATCAGTTAAGATCAACTCTGGCATCACAGCCTTTGGCAGTCCATGTTGAAATGCACTCCAGTGGTAGGTCCACGTAACATTTCTGCTCCTGTGACAATTATGACAAAATGCTATTCCAGTCATACAAATGAAATATTAAATTTCACATTAAATTATGCTGGTTTTCAACAATCTGCATAAAATTTTTAAACTAATATTTAACCTCTGTTGCCTAGAACAAACTTGTACCTTTGAACTTCATCATGAATGTGTTATTAGGCAACGATAAAAGCCAAAACAGAATTATTCTATAAATTATTTTGGTCTTTATCCAAATGTAAGATATAAAGGCTTATTATCACATACAAAATATTCAACCTTAGTGGCACTTAGGTTTTATTACCTAATAGTCCAAAATACATTTTTAAACCAATAGTGTACCTCATGAACTGTGCTGCTGACACAGACACACTTAACCAAGCTTCTCAACTCATATTCAACCACTGCCAATGCTAATATCTTATGTGTGTATAGGGTTAATCTAAGAAAAACACTCTAGTGCATTTAAAATACACTTTCAGTCTATTAAATTATGCTTTAATATCACAGTTATGAGTTCTTTGATTTTTAAATCACTGCACTACAGTATCAAAAAAGCTAGCACTTTATTCATCTTACTGCAAATAATTTACATAATTTAAATAAAACACAATAAAAATGTAAAAATACCACTCAACTTGAATTAAATGCTAATAAGGCTCTAATAATTAAGTTTCAAATTAAGTAAATATATTGATAATCTCCATGACAAAAAGATTTCTTATGACAAAAAAATGAAAAGGACATCAGAGCAAAGAGAAATACAATTAAACTTCCTTATTATCAAAACTGTTGAACAAATGCCACACTTAAACTGTTAATTTACTAATTACTGTTTACTACAATTAATGCCATGAAAATTCCACAAATTTGACACAATTTTCTTGAAAATGACAAGGCATTTACAACGGAAACAGTAAGAGATTCGCTTTCTAAATCCTCTGTGATAGTAGAGCTATACCAGAAGCAGCCCTTGATCATGATTATTGCCTTGTAGGTCCCTCCCTAATCCCCAGGAGCACTGAATCTCCAGAGTGAAAGGTGGAGCAAGGCCAGAATCCCCTGGGGTGATTCAAATGGAAGGAACTGCCTTACAGGGCTGCCTTTCCTGACTAGAATGTGTGGGATCCCTCAGGTACTTGGAAGACAAGAAAAATGGTCCTGAACCTCAGCTCCAGAAAACAGGTCAGCACAGCAGAACAGATTCAGTAACTAGCAGAGTGCTTTCAGGAGGACCAGTTCTAGATTGTTTTCACATGTTCTGGTGGGTCCCAAACCTTTATATTTCTTAACTGATAAAATTTTGCAAGTAAAATTGGGGAACTGAGAAAGGCTTGTCAACATTTTACACAATTAAGGATATTAAATATTCCTATATGCAATAATGGCAGGACTTTAAAAAACACCCATGCCCAAATAGAAAAAAAAATAGATCTATTCAAGAATTCTACAAAAGAATCAATTTCATTTTATGAGAAGTTCTCTACATTGTCCTTATTTCACCAGGCACTAGAATTTGGGAACCAAAGTACGTGGATATTAGTTTACAGAATACTGGTTTTTACACTAAATTTTATCAACAGAACATTTTCGTCAAACAAAATGTTATGTAATATTCCAATACATAATACAACCACCCCCCGCCAAATGAAAAACACAATAAAAAAACGAATGGAGCGCTTTAGATTAAAGCAAGAGTGACAGATCTCTGAGCCACGCCTGCTTTCACATCCTGCAAGGCGCAGTAATGTGGAGAGGTTTTGGCAGTGTGCGAAATATCTGATTCTCCTGGCAAAAAAGGCGGCTATCCCTGAGACTCTCCATGGAAACCCCAGGCTCTGTACAAGCCATGAACATCTGCTGTGGGGTGGAGGGAGATTACGGAGTCTCTGGTTGTAGTTCTGTTTTGTACAATTCTGGAAAAAAACTGAAAAACACTTTAAAACAAAAAGGCTTTTTAGAAAGTAAATGTGAAATTGGTGTCCCCACAAGTCAGAATGTGACTGTTATTGTCTCACCCGTCCATACACTAAGCTTCCATATTTTAACTCCTTGAAGGGCTCAGAGTAATTCAGTATTTGTTATATCAGTACATATATCCAGTAGATAAATAAGAAAACTAGTTAACATCCCAGTTAGCAACAGAACTAACACTCTATCCTTACCTAAAACTGGTTGGCTCTGTTAGAGAAAGTATTCTGATAATAAAATAAAAACAAAGGCATCGATTTTTACAAGGGCACCAATGACTGTTTTTGGTAATGAGGGCGGCAGGGCAGTAGTATTCTTAACCTTGATTAGTCATATTCTATGCATGCTTCCCAGTGGAAGAATGCAGAGGATTAGGGCAAGTTCATTATCTATACTGGAAAAACAAGTGTTAACCTATTAAGAACACATGTATATAATAATTGGATAATTTGCATAATCTCATTAATTCTTCACCATGACTGTGATATGAGCATGCACATACCACTCACACGAAAAAGTAAAACTCTAAGTCTGTTAAACTATTTCACAGTTAATGACTAACATCCTCATCATTCTTAATACCCCCAAAATTCCAATTTGAAAAAAATACCCCCAGAAAATGTCTTTGATACAAGTTCTGGTAAATAATGCTTTCTACAGAAGTTTTAAAATTCAACAGTAACAAAATTTACTTTTATAATTAACATGAAACAAACCAAGCAAACAGATTAAAAAATTAAAAAGAAAGAAGAAACAAAAACAAAACTCCTGGTACTTTGACTGCAGATGGAAGACAACTTGGGAAGCAGACAGAAGGCCAACAAATACTACGAAACAGTTTCGAGAGGGTAGCTAACAAAAGTGTTGAGAGAAAAAAGCACGCAGACCACTGAGAATTTCAGTGCAAGTCAGACAGGTTCACAAGGTTTTAATCAAAAGATGTCCAATTAGAACATGACCTGAATTCCATTACTTCCCTCAAAAAACAAAAAATGAAAAGGGGTAATAGAAATAAATCAGAATCCCCCCCAAACCCCGCATTCAAATGCTGTGACTGTGTTCAACCCTCTAACAAATGGACTTCCAGTAATTAACATTTAAATCCATGCATTTCCTTGATTTAAGCAATTAAAGTTGCCAGTTATCACCATACTTAAGATGATCCTCATTTTTCAACAAACTTACAAATACATCACATTATAAATCCAAACTCCTCTCTACCTTTCACTTTTCCAGCAAACTATCTTACAACTTTGACTTTCTCAAATAGTTTTCGAATACTTAAAAAGGAAAAAAATATCGTGCCTTCCCTCTACCTCAGTACATTTTTTAACCATTATGAGAAACAAGAACCACACCCCAATGATAATTAGCTACATCTCCACAAATATACTAGAAATTCTGGGGGAAAAACGAAAAACCACTAGGCTAGTACTCTGATTAGACACAAAATCACTGGAATTAAAGATTTCCATGTATAATCACTACTTTGACATTTTAGGATACATCATTCAACTAAGATAACTTAGTTATTATACAGCTATTTACATTCATCTATCTTTCAGGCTTGTTACTATTGCTATATAAAAGAAAATACAAACGTTTTCAAATGCACATCTAAAAATAAATTCCCCGGGCTTCCCTGGTGGTGCAGTGGTTAAGTATCTGCCTGCCAATGCTGGGTACACAGGTTCAAGCCCTGGTCTGGGAAGATCCCACGTGCCGCAGAGCAACTAAGCCCGTGTGCCACAACTACCGAGCCTGCACTCTAGAGCCCATGAGCCACAACTACTGAGCCCACGTGCCTAGTGCCCATGCTCCGCAACAAAAGAAGCCACCGCGATGAGAAGCCCACTTGCAGCAAGGAAGACCCGAAGCAGCCAAAAATAAATAAATTAAATACATAAATTAAAAATATACACATTGGGGGCTTCCTTGGTGGCCCAGTGGTTGAGAATCTGCCTGCCAATGCAGGGGACATGGGTTCGAGCCCTGGTCTGGGAAGATCCCACATGCCATAGAGCAACTGGGCCCGTGAGCCACAACTACTGAGCCTGCGCGTCTGGAGTCTGTGCTCTGCAACGAGAGGCCATGATAGTGAGAGGCCCGCGCACCGCAATGAAGAGTGGCCCCCGCTCACCGCAACTAGAGAAAGCCCTCGCACAGAAACAAAGACCCAACACAACAAAAAATACATTAAAAAAATATATATACGTATATATATATATATATACACACACACATTTTAAAAACTAATGACTTTATCATTTAAAAAAATAAATAAATAAAAATAAATTCCCGAATGAATATATCTTTTTTTTTTTTTGCGGTATGCGGGCCTCTCACTGCTGTGGCCTCTCCCGTCGCGGAGCACAGTCTCCGGACATGCAGGCTCAGCGGCCATGGTTCACGGGCCCAGCCGCTCCGCGGCATGTGGGATCCTCCTGAACCGGGGCACAAACCTGCGTCCCCCGCATCAGCAGGCGGACTCTCAACCACTGCACCACCAGGGAAGCCCAATATATATCATTTTAACTTGAACATATTTTTCATATATTCAGTACAGCAACAAATTCCAGATTGTTAAAGGACTCGTAAGAACTTCACCAGGAAAAGTATCTCAAAGGGTTAAAGGTAATTCAGAAATCTTGTGAAAACTGGGAAAAGAAAAATTAATCACCCTACAGATAGAAGGGGCTTAGAAATTGTCCAAAGACAATGGGCAGTTTTGGGAAATGACAAGAAATGTTTCAAAGCCTACAAATCTTCAAATTTGGGCTCTGATTTTTTTAAAACAAGATATGGAAACACTATCATGTACAAAATAACTTCAATCTTTTATTGATTAATGGAATTGTAGAACACTGTATGTTTAATATTAGTTACACTTTCACTTTGAAAGAAGGAACAAGAAGGTAACAGCAGTAATATAAGAAGTATGCTTAAGTTACTTCAGTCATTTTATTTTAATATACACCACCACCAGAAAAGAGCAAGCTCTATTTTATACTTCACCCAAGGATTTGATAAAGTGGTTTCAGAGAAGATACTACTAAAATCGATTATCCCAATACTCTCTGGCTGCTAATCAAAAAACAGTTTTATGTTTTTCCCTACTTCTGAACTGACTCAATTCACCTTATTTATCCATCTACTGATAATTCCAAATTAGTAATTTACTGGAAAAGCATTTGAAATTAGTATTTGCCTTTTTTTTTCTTTTACTCTAGGGGCTCTTTGGTTGAGGTTAAAATTCTATAAAACTTCCAAGTAAAACAATGTAACCATATAAGGGAAATATAAATAAATATAAATCTAATATTCTGTTAGATTAAAACATCAACTTGATAAAATACCTCCGCACGATTTCAGATTACAATAAGTGTCATAAAATCATCAAAAAATGTCTTACTGAGTAGGGCTGATTTTACACATTAGACTCCCAAAATAACATTACAACAAATTACATTTAAATTTTGGAGATTCTGCTCCAAAATATGGGATTATATGTAAGATACAGGTATATAAATTAATTTAAGCTAAGTGTTTCTTAAATATTAAATTCTATTAAATCCTTAAACCTAAGTATTGAGCCCATTAAGTTATTTTCTGGCTTCAAAACCAAGAAACTTCTGTAATTATATTTAGCTCTAATAATTCCTATTTAGTGGAAACAGGATATAAGAAAGAAGTAGGGAGAAGGAAGTAGATTAAAGTGACAAAATAAGAAGTATATCCAGAGAATATGATAGTAAATGGTCACACAAAAGGACGTTAAACAGACTGAGAAACCCTATCTTCCACAGATGTTATGGAGAAGTATTTATAAAGAGGAACTACATATTAAAATAATGTAATTATACATCAAACTGTTTTTACTGTATAAATGCAAGCCTAGCTAACTTGTAAAATGAATCTTTTTTACCTGATGCTGTTGGAGCGCCTCTTCCATCAGTTACTGCTTTGGAAGAAAGATTTGTAAGCATCTGTGTATCTTCCTTTTCTGCCCTGGGGCATTCATTATGGTAAGAGGGATCTGGGGCTAGCGGTGCTGTAACTTCCGAACCACGACTTAAGTCAAGAGGGAGACAGGGTCCCAGTTTCTCAAGTGACAAATGTGCAACATCAGGCACTACACAAAATAAAGAATGTAATATGTTAATATAAATACACTGTCTCGGTTAATATCCATGTGGATTAAAATGTTATATAAATTAAACAGTGCCTGGAAATAAAGAAGGCACTAAATAAATACTTGTAGAATTAAATGAAGTGCTTATAAGTCCAAAAGCTGTTAAGGAAAAAGCAGAAATTTCTTAATATTTTAATAATCTTTATCTCAGTGTTTTGTCTTCTTTTATGTTTGGTTCTATAGAAAAGCAATATACATTACCCTCTGGTACTGAAGACTCTTGCTGATTTTGAGAACTGATGGAGAATACTTTCCCATCAGTGGCTGGAGAGGGAGGAGAAACCTTTTCTACAGAATCATCAGGCATGGGCAAGGTGGCTAAACGCTGAGATCTTCTTCTCCGCTCACTATGCTTGAAAGGTCTAGGGGGGTTCACAGGCTGTGGAGGACCTAGAAAAAGATCTTCAATGTTCACGAAGCAGATACATGCCAGGATCATCTTATAATACTTAAGGAGAAAAATGGGAAAAATGATTCAAATTCTGCCCTCTGATGTTGTAAGGTATCCACAAGGAACGGCATGTTCCAAAAGTAATCAAAGGCAAAAACTGCCCCCATTCACAAGGGTTAATCAAAACTTCTAAAATCTAAAGCCTACTAGAACCAAAAGAAAATAACATGGAACATTAATTTCAGGTAGTTTCCCAAGTAACAGACTACAGTTAATTCTCTAATTGCAGATCCTTGTTAGTTGCCATTTTTCCTTTGGGAAAATAATCTCTGTATAGCCAAAGATTAAAAAAAATACATATATATATATATGTGTGTGTATATATATATATATATATATATATGTCCCTTTTGCTACATTACAAATCTAGAAACTCTAAGAAAAAAAAAGGCAGGGGCATAGGTGACAAAAATCTGACATGCATTGTAGAGTTAGTGCTTTACTTGCCAAAGTAAAACTAATGTAAGTAATTTTATCCCACCCTCATTCCCGCAAATGGATTTTTATAAACATATATTTGGGCCTGATTCATTAAAAAAAATTGAACACAAACAACTTTAAGGACTCATTATGGGCAAAACCCGAGGATTTTTAAAGAATATGACACTGTTCTTGCCCTCGTGTGTTTTTTATTTTGTTTTAAAAAACTAACTTGGTGAGCCATTTGAGCATCTTCTAGCTATGTATTAACAGAAGTTTGGAAATTTTTTTTTTTAACCTTTCATTTTCTTCTTTCTACACGGCATGTAAATATGTTTGATGATTTAGAACAGGCAGGACTACATAAGCCAATATATGCATGTTAATTTAGCAGGAGGAAATGAGTAGTTTAAAAAGGTTGATGCTTTGGGTATTTAAAAATAATTTTACAAAAGTCAAAATGGAAAAGACATGGTGATAATTGAAAAAAAAAAAAGAATAAAATTCAATTGCTGTAACACTGGTCATAATACCAAAATACAAAACAATTGCAAAATAAAATACGTATCAATGTCATGTGACATTGTAGTGACTACTAATGATATTATTTCATGATAAATGCCATAATGAAATGAAGCTTATAAAGAAACAGTTGAGTTTTTCTGTTTCCATCATTTCTACTCATTTATTAAAAAGAACCAAAACAAAACAAAGAAGTACCAAAACCTGATCAAAAATTGAAAAACATGGTTTGGCAAAAAGAATATAGCAATGGAATGCAAGAGGAAGTTAATATATTTGATTGATAGACGTCTTCTCAATGTCACCATTTTTAATTGTTGTGGAAGATATGATATGGAGAAGTTCATGAGGAAATGTGTCATATTCATTTAATAATCAGGTTACTAATTCATTCACTGTATAAACAGCAAAATTATCTTTTACCCGGTGACTTTTCAGGTAATTATTTTTCATATGTCTCTAACTTAGAATACTAAAACATGAGAAACACACAGTCAACACAAATCTTGTCTTATATATATCCAAACCCATGTCAATAGGCTATTTAAAAAAGACCAAGTTAACTCTTGAAAAATTAGTGGTATTGAAACAGTAAAATCTTTAAATATAAGATCAAGGAAGCAATCTTCTTCTTTCATCAGTAAGATTAAACTGAAGTTTGCACTCTAAATCCTACAATAAGAACTGAATAAAATGTATTGCCGAAGAGGGTACAGACAACTGGGGACAGTAACTAAATCTATCCATAAGAATAGTCTTAGGAGTTCAGGAAAACATCCACTATGGGTCTTTTTGTATCTCATAATGGTTTTGTTCTGTTTTTTTGTAATGAATCAGGCCTCTCATTGTGCTTGGATTATTAGTTGAGGAGAGTCAAACTACAGTGGAATTTGGTTATTAAATGCTAAGGTTTCTTAACCAGCAGTATAGTCACTGTACCTCTGTACAATACATCAGTCAGAAATGTAAATGGGTTTTGCCCCTAAAATAGTTTCAAGTCTTCCCTATCATATCCACTTAAGTTTGAATTTTTAAAATGCAACTTCATAAAAATACAATATAACTACAACCAAACTGTTTTTAATGTATCTTATAGGATAAGTAACTATTTTTTAAAAATCTGTGCTCACTAGTTTTATTTATCATTGAAGAAGAAAGCTGAGATACAAGCGTCAAATCCTCGACTTGTATTAATTCTGGGGAAAGTGGTGATTTAGGGGGTTTTATACACCCAGAAGAATCTCCAGATTCATGTTTGCATTTCTTGCTGCGAGCCTTCCCTGAAGACAAAGTTGAGGATAACAGTGCAGGTTTCTGAGTGTTGGCAGAACTGCTAATGTCAGCTTCATTTTTTTTCTGACTTTGAGGTTTAGGTGAAATCGCCTGAATAAATAATAAAAAATTGATATTTTTATTTTGGTTTCTTCATTTTTGTTGTTTTCTATTTTGACTGTTAAGCATCTTTAGTATCCAAAAACATTGTTAAGCAACATATAACATTTCTATTACAAATGAAAAACCAAAAAGAACCCCACAAATTATTAACTAAAAGTTGAATAGGCTGTCTTTAAAGGGATGCTGTCAACTTGTAGTCTAAATTTAGGTTTTTTAAAATGTATTATTTATAATATTCTCAGAAATAAAATGTTATCTTACTGGACAAATATGTTCTGTATTGAGTTAAAATATAACTCTTTTGACACCATAATTACCAATGACATTGATAATAATTAGGTAAATAAACAGCATTTTCAAGTTTTAGAGCATTGGAGGAATACATCTAAGCTTCTGACTTTCAGATTTTTTTTTATAAAATAATTTCCTTTATCGAGTTCAATGCAGAGGTTTAAGTAGACAATTTCCCTTTAAAGAAAGATCTCAACAGGAAAACAATGATCAAATTAACGAAACATTATCTTTAACTCATTTTAATGCTGAAAGCTAGAGTTTCATAAGCATAATGCATCATGAAATCAAAGCCACCAGCAATACAGAGTTAAAAGACTAAAAAACAATACAAAACAAGCAACAACAACAAGAACAAAAAAAAAAAAACAAGGAGTAAAACCAAGTGTAAGTTAAAAACATTGGATTTAAAAACAAAATACGTCGCATTCTTAGATGAGAGTTTTTACCTTCTTCCTGCCAACTGATACTTTTAAAAAAAAATTAGAACTTTGTCAGTTCTTTCATAAAGAATATCTTCATTCATTTGGCAGTAAAATGTCCTACATATGTAAAACTATATGTGAATGTGTCCTAAGACATCAGAGAACAGCCACATTAGATGGATTTGCAATCTACGGTGTTGGAATGCCTATACTGTATCTCTTTTTGATATATGTTATCTGAGAGCAAAGTATGAGATACACTTTTTTAAAAAAAACCTATACTAGAATAGGTTTTTATAAAGAACCAAACTACTAGCTCTATGAACAACATGCTTGTCCCCAAGATACCTTTTTACTTCCATATCTTTTGTGAGGGATGACCATCAGGTCTGCAGTCTGCAGTTCTCTGGAATATGGAAGATCATTGTCTGGGGACCAAACAGCTTTCTGTTCCCACTAAAAATATTTATAAAGCGCTCAAATTTTGGTGGAAAAAAAGTGAATATTTGGTATTAAGTATGGCACCTTTGTGCTACAGATGGCATGTTGGACATACCACATAAAGGGCTGGTGTCAAGTGTCTCATTCATTGAGTTGTCATTTCTATTCTTGAATTTACTCATTACACATGTGTATAAGTGCAGATTAATCATTTGAAAAAAAAAACTCCATATGCAGAAAGGATTCCTAAGCTTATCATAAAAGGTGTTGCCAGAAAAGTAATTAGAGCCATTACTTGTAAATAAACAATTTTATTGTTCATCTTCACATATGTGAGAGACATCACTACAGCATCCATTACTCTCAAGTTACAAAGTTATAAAACAAGATTTTAATACTTAAATTAATATCTGGATAAGGTGCTTAACCGCTAAACAAGGACAAATTAACATTTTTTAAAACTTACTGAATTATGCATCTAATGCAGGTTTTATCCAAAAGTAAATATAACATGACAATTCCCTAATACAATTAAATAATCTGTAATTAATAATCTGAGAACTGGGGTTCAAGACCACAGAGTTTGAGGTTTTTTTTAATGTAAATAAATAAATCCCTCAGGACAGTAAGTTTTGGCCTTAGGCCTGTTATAAATCTACGTCATGAGTGGCATTATTTTACTCATTAGGGCAACAGAGGTTAGTGACAATCTCTCTCCTTCAAGTCTATTGTTGATACCGAGATGTAATTAAGAATTTTATAACTCGGCTTTTTAACTTTGAAGAAGGGCAAACACTTAGCACAAAAATTAAGAGTATGGTTACAAAACATTTCACATTGAAATCAACCTGAATGAAAAAAAGGGGGGGAACAGCATCCTGTTCCTTAAAAATATAAAATAATTTACAAAGTTTTCATTAATGATCATTGGTCTCTTTGTTACAAAACTGGGAAGGACTCTCAAAATTTTTTTAATTATGTAAATAAAAACAGCCGAGTTACTCAATTTTTTTCTTTGTTTTTTAAGCTCAGTTTCAAAATGTTGTACTTCTCTCTGAAATGGGCACTGCCCTCTACACTAACTTTCACATATAATAAATAATTTTCACAATCACATTCATCTCAGCAGGATTGTGCATAATAAAAGATTGACATTGTAATGAATTTTCCAGAAACATTTTATTACCCAAGTCCCTGATTTATTGCATTCTGAGAATACCATAAACAGTGGTGAAAATACAAAATATTGTTATATCTGGGACGTTGAATATAGTAATACACAGTAAAAAAGTCACTTAAAATTTGGTTGATATACTGACAATAACGGCAAAGACTTAACCGTTTGATGACCACAGAAAATCAGAAGGTATGATTCGCTGACATATTAATCAATTTAAAAGATCACTGATTCAATACAACATTAATGGAGGCACCAAAACAATGCACTGTTATCATATCAGGCCTAAAATAACCCTGAAAAACTCAATACAATATCAATTAAATTTGGACTGTTTTTTAAAACGCATATAGAGAAGAGCAACAGGTACTCATTTTAAAGTCTTCTTTATTAGGCTACTAATAAAGAAAATTAAAATAATACAAAAAGGGTATATTAAAACTACATTAAGGCTCAGATTTTAAAACAGGAGAACCAAGGAAATCCAGTTATGGCTATTACTGTGTTCTTATAGTCTTACAGTGCCCAAGAAGGTAAGCCCTTAGAAAATGGAAAAGCATGCACAGTCCACTATATACAGGTATTGTGGGAATCTGAAGGTAGCCAAGGCAAAATCTAGCAACTGCAACCTTCACTTTTAAATTCCTCTATTAGGTGGTTTAAAGACAGACCCTTAATAGTTTAAAAAAATTTTTTTTGTAGTTATTAAAATATACATCCTAGCAAAAATGTATGGCTCATTGATCAATTCATAAAACACATAGTCAGTCTAACAACACCAATTGTTACAATATAAAAGAAACTTCTTACAAAAGAAGCTTTATTAGATGTCAAAAAACCCTGTTTTAACTCACAAATGAAAAGTATTTGTGTAAGGGTCTTTTTGTAAGCTAGTTAAATGTGATCCAGCTGGAAGCCTATACCCTGGGATGCCTGCCTCCAGGCCTTCAACTGTTGGGGGACAAAGGCTTTAATGCCAGCCTACTGAAAATAAACACTAATGAAGTCTGTAGTTTATCTGTATACCTTGGAGAAGGCAGAGTTAAAAATATAGCATCAATTAATTACCTTCCTATTCCCATATCTGATCAAAAGGGCAATTTCAATTATGTGGATACTATAGCTCCTTGATCATTCCAGTTGGGAACCTTGAAAAAAATCAAATGCTACCATTTCATACCTGCTCCAGCATTGGAGCCGTTTCACTGTTGTCTTCCTTTTTTTCAGCACCATCCACCCCAACAGCTTTGGATGCCAACAAACCTTGAGAAAAATTGTACAGAAATTGCTTATTAGAAAAAATATCGACTTTCACACTAATTAACTTCTCAAAAATTTTAGCAGTTGAAATCCCCTATACTTTTTTATAGAAAGTAAATACAACACTCTCAGAAATTTACTTGTCAAAAATACAAACACCCTTAATAATGGCTCAAGGGGCTGAATTAGAACTTGAGAGTTGCTTACACAATTAGTTTTTAAAATAAAAAAATTAACTAAAAATACCCTTTTAAAAAAATCACACATATACACATTTATTCTGTACAAATTTAAATTTCTATGGTTTAATGTCCCAAAACCTAAGATGGCTTAAATTGTTAATACTTAGGCTTTGTCTATAACTGAAATAAAATATGGAATTAATATTAAGATATAAGGAATCCTTCCAAACAACCAGAATATAAAATAAGATTGTTGTTGTTGTTGGATTATTAGTTAAAAAAATACTTCCAATTTTTTATTTCACCTGGATCCTTTAACCTAAGCTTTACAAGTTTGTTTCTATACCCAGCTGTAGCTTACCTTCTTACAAAAGTGGTGAAAACATGGATGCATCCATTTTATGTTAATGTAAAAGAGTACAGATCCTTCCTACAACATTTGAACTTACTTAATATTATAGCCTCATTCTACAATCAATGAAATACACTGGGAGTTCCAGTTTTCACCAATATATACCATTAATCCTGAATTTTAGAAGACAGAATATTTTATCTGGAGTATATATAATTAACTTTACAAGACATTAAAACTCTGCTTTAATTTAGAAATTACAGGCATTTACTTAGTCAAGATTCTTTGCTAAGCACCAGATAGGTACCCTCAATGGAATCAAATTTATTTGCTGCTTCTTATGGCCACCAAGCACATAAAAAGTCACCAAAAATCATTTTTGTGTCATTTCAAAGTCAGGCACACAAAACCTTGGCCTCAAAGGAAGCATGTTTAATAACTGACAAAATAACAGTAAACTTACTTCAGCAATTGTACCATTATATTATTAACGCTCTCTACATCATATTTAATAGGAGAAAAAAGGTGCCCCAAAATGCCACCTAACTTCGAGCTACCCTGTGGCAACATCGCTTGACTTTTTCAGGTAACAATCTCAAAGATGTTAAGTAATCTAAGTGGAAATTCAAATATTAAAATTGTATTCTCAAAATAGTACTAGAGCCAAGTGTTAAATCAGGCAAAAGGCACCTTTCCATTATTAGATAATAAAGTTGAATATCTATCACTCAGAATTGTAATTCAAAACAGCAAAGGCTGAGAATAAAACAATGATTTTGATACAGCAATGATTGGTATTAAAACTGCTATTTGGTGCAGTTTGACATAATTCATATTGCTCAAGTCCCACACAGTATTAAGTGTAGGTTTAAATGGAGGAAAAAAGACCCAATGTATAAGTAATTTTACAAAAATAGTTTATAAATCATAAATTCAATCCTAACTATAATAATATAACTTTTGAACACATTTTTAGATGACTAAAAAAGATGTAGCACAGAATATTTCTTTAACATTTAAAGCTGCATTCACTAGGTTTTTCTTCTCTAGCTAATATTTCTGAGGTTAAATACTACTAAAAATAAAAAGAAAAATAATTAGGAAATTAGGTTCTTCTTTTGTAGGGAACTGAGTAGAGGCCCTACTTCGAAGGGGTACTCAAAGAGGACAAATATTTGCTATTCAATCTACTAAATACACTTTACGTTTTTCGTTTCCTTTCATATAGGTGGTGGAAATACTTTTAAATCATATCAATAGATGAAACAGATCACAACCTTCAAGAATTAATTGGAGGAAAATAAATACAAATGAAATTAATTTTTGTTATTTGCAAATATGTATTAATTATCAATATATTACTTATCAATATATTACTAACAAGTCCTCATCCAAATAAGATATCTACAAACATTTTAACAGAATGTGTTATGCAGTTTTAAGAAATTATTTAAATATCAGGTAGAAGTAGAATATAAATTTTTGTAAGTCCCACCCACAAAGTGATAATTTCTCAATACTCTACTTCAGCTATAAAGTAGAGTTAGTCTCTCACTGCTGATAGGAATAAACACAACAGAGGCCAGAGCATCTGGTAATGGGGAAGACAGAAAGAGCAAAGTGGTTAAATTCATGGTCTACTTTTCATCCAGCGATTCCAAAACACAATATTCTTGCTTAGATTAAGAACCAAATATCCTGGATATTATTATCAATAACTTATTACTGGCCAATTCAAATCTCTGGGGTTTTTTAATTATTTTTTAAATTCCTTAAGCTGTACAAACATATCTAAACTGGCTGAATGTCTAGGAACTCCTAGAACTATTACAAACAGACCATGCACTAACTGCTGTTTCTTCTTTTACTCTCTGACAACCCGTACTTTAAAATCTACTCAAATTTGCTTACAGTTTGCTTGCAACTTTGTCCCAAAGTATAAACTTTATTATCTTTGTAAAATAGTTTGTTCTAAATCAGTATGCATAAAGTTATCAATAATTATCAATAAGGTACATGACAATGAAAAATAAGATTCTGGAAGAACATATATATACTATGCAACAATAATTTCAGTGTCTACTTATTTGAAAATTTTGAAGAAAGCCATCCTATTCCATTCTCTGTAGAGAAATCATGTTTGGAATCTCTGTAGGGTGTATATATGAGGAAGAAACAGAAAGAGAGTGAATAAATACATGAATTAAATTTATCCAGCTGCTGGTCCACTTATTTCCTGTTAGAACTATTTAAAAAATAAATAAAATGGTGTGCGTGGGGGGGGGGTAATACATCAGAGCAGGCTGAGATGCTGCCATGTTACCAGTCTATTCCTCTCAGTAGTAAAGGGACAAAAAGACAGATATAAGTGAGCTTGAGAAATTTAAAATATACCATAATTCCATAACAAAATTGCTATTTCATATTAGTTCTCATCTCTTTTTATGGTCCACAGATGAAATTTACTGTACAGAGGCAAGCCGGAGTTTCAATCATAAAAGACAATCTTAAAATATCTATTATCTTTTTGCATGGTATAGTTGTGACATGAAATCAGAAATAGATGCAGAGATGAACTATTAAAAAAACTAACATACATCTTCTGAGTAAATAAAGGGAAAAGATCATAACAGTTTCACATTCATAAAATCTTATGCCTTTCTACTGTTGCCCAAACTATTACTTGTTGATTTGCGATTCCCAAGAGGAAGTGAAGACAAAGTCCCTCCACAGAAGGCACAGGGTGTTACTAAAGCAACCAGTATTAGAACTTCCTTGAGGTACATGGTAAAATGGTTTTCCCCCCACTACTGTCTTTTCAAAGCCAAGCGGAAATACTGCATCATTGTGGATTGAGCTGTTTTCTTACTTCTTTAAATGGTGAGCTTGAACTTCTCAGTAAGACACATGTAAGAGTATACTGACTGAAACTAAAATCAGATTATCCAGATTGTAGGAAAAACCATGATGCTGGGAAACTGGCAGTTGTAGCGTCAGTGTCACTTCCATCTTCCTTGATCTTGGCTCCCCCAATAAGGCTGTTTCAATCTTGGTATCACAGCAGCTAGAAGTACTATTCCACAGTACAGAGCTCGGAGTTCCATTATTCCAAGTCAAAACGGAAGTCTCAAGTTGCCATCATAATAATCACTAAGATAACATTTTGGCTTTCTCCAAAGCTAATAGTTTCTAAGGAAAAGGTGGAATGGGGATGGGTAAATTGATTTGAAATATTTCCTGTCCTGGGGCCAAATATATCCTTTATCAGAGAAAGGCACAAAAATAATATTAACAATGGAAAGACTAAATACTCTCACTTGTTGAAACCAATTATAATTACTTAGATGAATACTGTAATAAAACAGTGGCTCTAAAGAACCCTCAGCTGCAAAGTCATCTTTCAGTGGACTTACACTCTTTAGAAAATGGTCAAAATGTTTAATTTACATTTATTCTTGGGTCTGACAATGAAACCAAGCTTTTTCAAGTTATTTAAAAGAATGTCAACAAAGATTTACATAGCTTTATTAGGCCAAAGGCACAAAAAAATCATTTGTCCTTAAAATAAGAGCATATGACTGAATATTAATTAAAATATTTTACCTCCCCTTTTATAACATATACTCAGAAAAATTAAATATATTCACAACTTCTTTTAAAGATTAAAATCATTAGGCTGAATGGAACTGTGGGTCTTAGTATGACTGGCCCCTTCTTCTGTAAACACTAACCAGGCTAGAATTTCCAGTGCTTTTCATCATTCTAGTATTCTACTTCCTAATTACAACAAGGCATAGAGAAATAAGTCCAAATTCTAGAGACCAACCTGAAGATAAGAATAGAAATTTTTAAAATGTATAGAAGTACTTTTACATTGGGCATAACAAATTTGGGAGCTGAATTTAATTCAGTATTCATCTTCCCAACCATATATGGTACCATCTTTAATGAGACCAGTCAAGCGTAAGAATGTGTAATATTTAGAACCTCAGACATTATGTCACCACAAGTTGACAAAAGCATATAATTCAATTCTTAGAGAAACTACTCCTGCCACCCAGGTGATTTTAAAACTACGGAATTTTGTAACATTTGATCCTATGGATCCTCACAACATCCCTGTGAGGTAGGTAGAAAATATGTGATACTTTTCACATTTCCAACAGAAAAAGCCCCTGGTGTTGAAAGGGATGACCTTGAAGAAACAAAGCAACTGTCTTTCTCATTAACCAGTTAGCTTCACTAAACCAATAGATACATTTTCCTTTATTAAAAACAAACTACTATAAAATCAAACCCTCCATTTCCCCCCAAAAAGAATCATTGTAGTTTACCAGTAATCTTGTTAAGTCGAGCTCTCTTTGCCTGAAATGAGTTGCCTTGATTATTTTTCCTCTTGTTTGATAATGTGCTCTCTGGCTGTGGAAAGACCATCTTTGGAACGTTCTCTACATGAAGTCCTACTTTTAATAGAATATATATATGAGAGTTTATCTAGAATCCAAAGTTAAAACACATGAATATTTTTAAAATAGCAAAATAAATACAAAAGATCTGCACTTAATTTTTTCAATCTAGTGCTTGACACAACTTTAAAAAACACAAATCTCTCTAGACCAACATATTAGAAATAAAAAAACTACTAAGCAGTTATGCTTTAGGAAAGGAGTGACTTACTGCTTTTTCTGTATTATATATTGAAATGCATGCAGAAACATTTTAAAGGCTAAAGAAAACAAAACAAACAAACAAAAAAACCCACACAAAAGAAATCCCAAAACCTACTTGGTAGAAGTTACAAATCAAATTCTCAATGCATTTCTATTCAAGAATACTGAGGGTAACCATTATCAAGCACCCATATTAGGCCATTAATCTTCAGATCTGTAAGACGCTAAAAAACTTAACCATCATATTATGCTAGGAAAAAAATCCTAATAATTTCAACACATGTTCAAATTACAGGCAGCCAAAGGATTTGACTTATTCACTATGTGAGTTTACCACTGCCATAGGGAATGAATGTAAGAACATATTTTGTACCAAATGTTTCACTAGATGTGGGCAGATCTTCCTTCTTCTCAACTTCTGGTGTGGCTAGAGAAGCTGAAGTTTCTTCCTTTTTTGAAGGTACTTTAAACCATTTTCTCTCATCTTTCTCTTTATCTTTATTGCTGTTAGCGCTAGTCCGAGGTTTGTTCCCTGTTTTATTCTTGGCTGCAGCTGCAGCAGCTGCTTTGACTAAAGCTATCCAATCCTCCAAAGGAAAAACACAAAACATGTGAAGCATTAAAAATTAATTAAAATTTAATTATACTAATGAATAAAAACATGTATCACATTTTCAAAGCTATTTTCACTCACATGCACACAAATATAAAAATCAAATTAACTACATTTACAAGGTAGATCATCAACATGGTAGATTATCAAATTTAACAATCTAATCGGTTATATGATCTTACAGAAAATGGGAAAATATTCAATATCAAATACTCTTTTGATGGAATAAAATCTAAAATATAAGAAAACCTATGACAAATGTGGAATATTACATGACAGTCTACCTTAGGGTTTAAACGTTGAATTATGTTTCTTCTCTATAATGCAACAGATCATAAAAGTAATAAGAAAAAAAAGCTTATGTTGTAATTCTGCAAAGATTAAAAGAAACATATAGTCAGCCCGCCCTATCCTTGGGTTCTGCAGGCGTGTATTCAACCAACTGCGGATCAAAAATAGTTGGGAAAAAGAATTCCAGAAAGTTCCAAAAAGCAAAACTTGAATTTGCCATGCTCTGGCAACTATTTACATAGCATTTACACTGTATTTACAACAATTTACATAGCTTTTACCTTGTATTAGGTATTATAAGTAATCTAGAGATGATTTGGGAGCATGTGAATAGGTTATATGCAATATTGTGCCATTTTATAAAACGGACTTGAGCATCTACAGACTTTGGTATCCATGAGGGTCCTGGAACCAATCTCCTGCAGATAATGAGGGACGACTGTATTACCACTGAGCAAATTACTATTGCTTATTAGGAAGAATGTATCACCCAAGGTAAGGTCAATTTCATAGAAATCAAAGTATGATTTTATTATTTTTTAAAGCTTTTAAAGTTTGGATACCTATTTATCACAACAGCTTAATATTACTAGTAAAAAAAAAAAAAAGAGCTACTTGACTTGACCAAGGTAAAGTACACACTATCAGACTCCAGTTTAATTTCCCTCCCTCTACAATTTCCTGAATCTGTATTAGTTACCATTCTTCTGAGATGCAAATATTTATATTTCCTGTGATAATTTTTTTAGTTTGTGGCTAAATAATTTTTACTGTTTTACTTTTAACTAAAAACACTTATTGTATTATGGAAAGATGTAAAGAAGTGGTACTAACATGTAAATTTTCACAAAGGCTCTTTTATAACAAATATTTGTAATATCTCTACAGAGTTAATCTTCAACTGATGACTGATGCCACTAAGCTATCAAACAGACCATTGATTCAGACTCAACCAAAATGTGTAATACGTTAAATTCTTAGTCCAAGCAACTAAAAACAATTTCACAACATCAAATGCATTTAATTCATGGGTTACATTAACAAACATAGGCCATTAAGCAATTCAAGTTGATGACTCCTCAGTCTTGAAAATATATGGCAGAGACAATAAGCCATTAAAAGCAAACATACAAAATCTGTCTCTCTCTCCCCCATGACTGAAATGAACTGAAAACATCATGCGATGTTCTACCTAACACATTCATTCACCAATTTTCTATTGGATACCCTATTACATATACCAGGAAACATGCTAAGCTAATAAAAGATGCTAGATGAAAACCCCAGGAACCCACTGGCCTGGAGTGACCACATCTTTGCTCCTGCCTGGAAGACACTCAATATCCAGATTTCCCCGTATTTTAAACTACATCCCCAATGCATGTCTTATTAGAAAATGAATTATGACAAAGTTGTGAAATAATTTTTTTTTTTTTTTTGAGGTACGCGGGCCTCTCACTGTTGTGGCCTCTCCCGCCGCGGAGCACAGGCTCTGGACGCGCAGGCTCAGCAGCCATGGCTCACAGGCCCAGCCGCTCCAGGGCATGTGGAATCTTCCCGGACTGGGGCACGAACCCGTGTCCCCTGCATCGGCAGGCGGACTCTCAACCACTGCGCCACCAGGGAAGCCCCGTGAAATAAAATTTTATATCTCTAGTTTGTAAAACCAAAGAACAGCAGATGCACCAGTATTGTCCAATCCAAGTTTTACTTAGAACCACCTCCTTTTTTAGTCCTGCCCATAACGAACTGACAGGCAAATAAAATTAACTATAAGACAATGTGACAGGAGAGACAGTAGAGAATAAACAAAATATTACAGGAGAACAACAAAATTTTGCCTGAAGAGAAACACTAGTGGAAGGCTTCAGGGAAAATGATAAATGATTTGAACCCTAAAGTAGGAATTTGCTAGGGAAAAAGGCAAAGAACAAGAAATGGACACTCCAAGCAAAAGGAAAACCATTAAACAAAGGGGTGGCAAAGTGTACGCTAATAGGAAAGAGGGGTTTAAGGTCAAGGAGCAATCTGGGTGACTTAAGTATCATGGCTAAGTTGAGCCTTGAGACTAACATTTAAGTACAAGGAAAAAAGCAACACCAATGAAAACAACTTATAGAGTGCCATCAACAAAGCAGAAAGAAAAACAGGAGTAAGTACAACAGGCAAGCAAAGGCAAGTGATAATTCAGCAGAGATCATATGTTTGCAGTCTTATTAAGAACAGGGCATTTAATTCTGGGTTCCACATTGCAAGGAAAATTTTAAGTTGTTAAGAGAAATGCTAAAAGATGCCGGGGATAAATTCCATGCCCAGTTGTTTTCTCTCTCCAATAAAGAGAAAACTAGAAGAAAGAGATTCATGCTGTACTCTTTGAAAGTGAAATTAGATAAAACAGTTCTTGATCACATGACTTGTTAATCATGGGAATTGCTGCAGTTGCGTGATTAAAGAATTCTCCCATTATTTTGTTCTTCCATTTTTTAATTGGAAAGATTCACTATCAAAAAGAACTCGTGTAGGGACTCTGGCGGTCCAGTGGTTAAGCCTTTGCCTTCCAATGCAGGGGGTGTGGGTTTGATTCCTGGTCGGGAGCTAAGATCCCACATGCCTCGGGGCCAAAAAACCAAAACATAAAACAGAGGCACTATTGTAACAAATTCAATAAAGACTTTAAAATGGTCCACATCCAAAAAAATCTTTGAAATAAATAAATAACTGGTGTGATCCTTCCATGAATGAGAACTAAAGATGTTTCAAAGTTTCCTGTAGATAACACAGAGCACTGCACTATAATGAACACTATAATGAAATCGGGTATGAGTTCAGTCACTCTGCACACTATGGTTGAGTGAAATTTTCGGTAAGTCATTCTCTAAATTCTGAATTCCTCAACTGTGAAACAGAAATATCAGCTATACCTATGTCAAAGGATTTGCTATAAGAATCCAATAAAACAATGCATACAAAAAATGTTCTAAAAATGGTAAAGGATCTTATGAGCCAATCTTTAACACTAGTGAGTTACAGTGTAAATTTTATATCAGCTCACTCTCAAGAAGAAAAATAGGTGAGAAGAAGCTACAGAAAGTTTAAAGAAGAACATTTCCACACTGCATTTATTTGATTCCTTATCCTTTGCTGGTTTAATAAAAGAAATTTTACTGTATAGTTTTATAAAGGAATTCTCAAAGGACTCAAAATTTAGATGATAATATGCAAAGTGGGATTCTCTTAGCACGGCCCAAACACCTGGTTTATTAAGACATTCAAAAAATAAGAACATTTTATAAAAAACAATTCTACAAATGTTTTGAATATGCTCGTAATTAAAAATTATGAAGAAAATGTAAAATTAAAGGAAATATACTACTACTATTTTCTTCTCAAGTTTGTACTTGACATTGATTTTAATGTTAAATACATCATGGTGTGACTAGAATACTAATTAAAAATAAACATCCAATACATCCAAAAAATTAATTTTTACAACTTATTATTTTACCATGAACCAAACTGGCTCAATGTCTCTTTGGAAAAAATAAAGTTTCAAGGTTAGTGCCATCTCATAAACATTCGAATGACTAGAATGACAAAATAATATTTTTAAAGCAAAAAAAAAAAAAAAAATGAGAATTTTAATTAAACAGGTACTAACTTCCCAATGTTTAAATCAATCTTTCCATGCAGTAACCAAGGAATCACACCACTGAATGCTTAAGAGAACATTTTATTTATACATACAAGTAGGAAGACACAAAGCAATTTCACAATCAAAAGCATTTCCATTTTAAATGGCATTTCCACATTAATTGGGGGAAAAAAAAACTCTGCTAGCTGATGATTTCAAAATTATATTTTTGAAAACCACATCACTTAAAACACTCACGCACTTCTCAGAAAACATCAAAAATAATTTTTTTAACTGTGATAGTCTACGTTCTAGACTACTAAATATATACACTTGACTGGAACTGACCATGTGATTTCAACACAGTTCAGGATGATATTTTTTACTGCATGTTATGCAATAAATATGTAGCATATTTCCATATTAGACATTTTTATAGATCACTTTCAATTTCTTAAAATTAATTGTAGGTCCAGGTGCTGAAAATCCCAAATAACAGCAGAACATAAAAGAAAATATTTTAAATTTCTACCGGCACCTTTTCTTTCCAGTATTTCAGGAAACATAATCAACCATAATGGAATTATGGTTTTAACTTCATCCCAGATTCTCCTTCAAATGCTTACCGTTCATTCTTGCTTTGAGCAGTGACAAAGCATGTAATACACTGCTTACAACATATAACTCAGAAAGCCCTACCTGAAACAGCCTACAGAGTGTCAGGTAAGCGCCTTTTGAAAGAAGATTAACGACTATGATTTATAGAAGAAAAGAAGAAGATAAGAAACTCAATATAAAATTTTATATTAAAAATTAACTTTCTAAATGATACTATATACCAGGAAAAACAAAACAAAATTAAAAAAAGGCACTTACCTCACTTCCCATAGACTGGTTACACGATCCAGCTGGGTCGATAGGACAACACCAGCTTAGTGGATGCTGGGATTTCACCTGGAACAGAAACTAGTGACCTATAACTTTAGCAGGTCTAAAACCAAAGAAGCAAAAATCAAGTGTATAGTTTATTTTACATTCTAAGCTTCTCTTTCTTGCTGCTATTTGGGGCTATCAGCACATAATCCTACAATTAGTTCACTTTAAAATATATATATGTCTGTATATATATATTTTGATCAGTCACCATTCAAGAAAACATCCCTGTGGGTAGCTAGGAATGCTGAACACTCTTACCTGCCCCTTAGCATCCTCGGGCATGGCTTTAATGTGCATTCTCTTTAAACAACGAATAACTCCATCATAAAACTGAACTGTGAAAGTTCCTGAAATGGGAGTGAGTCAGCATCATTAGAAAATACAATTCAACCTTACAGCAACACATGATATAGAACAAGTAATGCCCTGACAGAAATAAACACCCTATGATTGCAGTAACTGCAAAGACACACCCCTGCTAAGGACCCCACCAAGTTTACTGAGTTTATTGTCTCTTCCCCTGTAAAAATAACTTTGACTTCCCTTATAAAGTACACGAATTAAATCTTGATAAGTTAGTTGCATGTAATTTTGATTTTTACTGGAGGATTTTAAACAATTTTAAACTGGAGGATTTTATAACAATTTAGGTATATGTTTAAATAACATATCAGGTATGTTATACCTGAAGAAAATAAAATCATTAATTATAAAAATGTATAATATTTCTAAGAATCATCATTTGTTCTCTTTGAAAGCTTCTAAATAATGGAGAGAAAGATCTGCTATAGGGAAAAAATCATTTTCTCAGGAAAGGATTATTCCTTTGCAAGATTAATTAACTGGCAAAGAAGAATTATAGATTCACAGGCTTTTCAGCTAGAAAATATACATATCATCTGCATACCAGTCTTCCTGTGCAGATAAGAACACTGACTTCCAGGGAGGCGAAATGCTGCATCCAATGACAGCTAAGCAGCAGCCCAGCCATTAACTAAAAACCCTGATTCCCCTGTCTTTCCCACTGAACGATTCTGCTTTTAGGACTCAATATTCTGTTTACATGGCTATTTCAAAGCATATTCACTTTTTGTTACAGACTCCATGCTTTCAAGTCTTTTACAGTACTATCAGAAAATATATCAGTTACGTAGATTTTATACTTATGGAAATTCCAATGTTTTTCTATCATTTCCTATACAAATGAGGGCAGAGTGCCACTTCAAGTAAACAGATACTTGACCTTTACGAAAGAGGTATAAACAATTGGCGCCAAAGCCAATAAATCTACGCACAAGGATTTTTCTTTTCTTTGTAATTTGAATAACACCATTGATTTCATATCTTTCTATAATTAGCATAATGTACAAATCACAGATATAAAGATCTAAACCCAAGTTATGAAAACAACTGATGAACTAAATAGCAAGAATGTGAAGAATCTGTGAAGACTGTGAGAATGCCAAACCACACGAACCCCTTACACCCCAACATGCTTGCCCCTGTCCTCCTCTCCTTCTTCACAGGGCACTGCCGACAGCAGCAGGCTCTTCACTACGCAGACCGTGCATTCATCCCTCCCTGCCATTGCTCACACTGCTTCAGCTGCTGTGATGCCGTCCTCCTTCCTAACTCCAGCCCACTCTTCAAGGATCAGCTCTTCAAATCCCACCCATAATATGAAAACTTCCCTGACCACTCCAATCTACACTGATTTGCCCCTTCTCTTCAACTTCTCTAAGACATACTACATATACCTAAATGTTCACATTTGTTAGTTTTGTTTAGCTTTTGTAGTGAACAGAAAACTCTTTGAGGGTTTCCTTTTTCTTTCTTTTTTTTTCGGGGGGGGGGGGGGATAGTGGCAGGCGGCGGGGGAGGCTCATCCACCATGTGGGACATACAGAAAAATGACCAAATTAATACTTCCCATGGAAATTTTTTAAAAACAAGTTATATCTGCCAATATTTCACTAAGGGCTTACTCAAAACTACTGCTGAAATGGCAGAGGCTGCAATCAGTAACATCACTCTTCCACTGATGTAAGCTTAAATTTCTATATAACATGCCCATGAACAAACAGAATAGAATAAAAAATGAAGGTGGTTTGTTTTTGTGCATGTTGTATGTGTGTATGCATATACTGGTAAAAGAAGCTTTAAGCATGGAAGAAAGGTCCCAAAGCTCACACATTTAAAGAAATCTCTCCTAATGATGAGAGAGCATTGTTTAATTTTGCTTCGCTTTGTTCCATTTTGGGTAGATCCTATTAACCTACGAAACTGATTCAATACTTCTTTTCCTTCCAAAAATTGTTACTGACTGCCTACTCTGTGCTGGGCTCTGGACTAGACACCTGGGGAGCCAGTGTGAGTTAAGACACGGGAATAAGAGCTCCATAACACAGCTCTCCAGAAGTATTAAGTGAATAGTGATTTAAAGGCCCCACTAGAAAAGAAGTAACCTGCAAACTTAATAACTGAGATGTCCCTCAGGTGACCAGTAATAAACTCATAGCCATATTTGTTATTTCAATTAGGTAAACCAATAAATTGGACCTTGGCTTTTGTAAAGTTACATTATCATTTCTAGCTAGACAACTATGATTTACTTTTTTACACCTAACATTTTTAAATATATGTCTTTTTAAATGTTTTCCTCTTCTATCTTCTCTTACCTCAATTTTTCTCATTTTTTGTTAGTTTAAATTCTCAGCTTAAATCCCTTCCATGCTTCCCATCACCTCCAAGTAAAATTCAAATTCTTTAGGAAGACTACAGGATACTTCACATGCCGATCCTTGCTTCTCTCTCCCACCTCTTCTGCTATTCTACAACCTTTAAAGGAATCCTTCATTCCAGTCACATCAAAGATTTGCAGTTCCTTAAAAATGGCATGCCTTTCTACTATTCTTTTGCATACACCATTTCTTCTGACAGAAAAACCTTTTCATCCGTCCTTTTCTAGATAACTTGTGTGGCTTTCAAGATACAGTTTAAAGTACGTATCCCCTTACTTAGGTTAAATGCCCTTCTTGCAAAGAAGTTGTCACTCAATGTGTTTTTTTCTTTTTTTTTTTTTCGGCCATGCCATGTGGCTTGTGGGATCTTAGTTCCCCGACCAGGGATTGAACCCAGGCCCTCGGCAGTGAAAGTGCTGAGTCCTAACCACTGGACTACCTGGGAATTCCCTCAATGTGTTTCTTTAGTAAAAAGAATGAATGAGTGGTCGAGTTTAAGAAATAACTAATAGAAAACTAATGTATTTTGGAAAATATGCTTAGAAGTATTTCACGACTGTTTTAAATGAGATTTTAAACAATTTAAAAAATAAAATATTTAAGTATATTTCCAATAATAATTTAATGCCTTTCTAAATTAATGCCTTTCTAAATTAATCTACAATTTTTAAAATTCATTACCTGTCCAACAGGTTCTCTCATTTTATGCCACACTAACACACCTGATTTCTGTGGTACTTTCAACATTTCTGATAAGTTCAGTAACTTTTGCTCAGTAGTAATATTAGATACCACAAAAGGCTATTTAATTCTCAATTATCTACAGAAATCAAGAAAAAAAGAGCAGGGAGAAAAATGCAATAAAGGAAATCCTCAATTGATAAGTTCTATACTCTTTCCTCAGAAAACTGTACTGTTTCACTTCCAAGTTGAACTGATTTGAATTTTCCTATATCTTTAGCACTCAGGTTGAGATCTTCATAAAATAACTTAGCCAACAAACTGGAAACAGAGAAGTAGAAATAAAATGCATATAATATAAGCCTGTCAACTGAAAGCTGAAAGATTTTAAGCAACTATTTACCTCTATTAATTTAAACAGTCTATTTAGGCAGTATATTATGTATCATCTTATTGTATACAATATATAACATACTGGATGCCCCTAAAAAAGAGTATTATTAGAAGATTCATTAGGTAAAGTATAAAACAAAGAGAAGCAACAGCTATATGTAACAATTTCATACATTAATTAAAATTAGAACTATAGTTAAATTTTACTATAAATCCCATTTTAATTCTCAGATCATTCCAAACACATACCTTCTTTGTTAATCGCCTCAATCTTGGCAGGGTAATAGCGACAGTCTGTCCAACGAGCCAGAACTTCTTCTCCGGCTTTAAAATCCTATTTTAAACAACTTTCAAGATCAATACCATGTATAATAAATAAGCACTTCCTTAATAAAAAACAAGCTTTTGTAAAATTTAACAGAATTCCTTTTAAAAATACATCATTACACATCTGGCAAACAGAAAAGCTTGCTACTTACAAAGAAGTCTTCCTCGTCTTTTAGCCCTTCTTTTCTTAATGCAGGTCTCTCAAGGGGTCTCAACCTATTGCTATCCCAGTAAATCCACTCATCATAACGATGACTCCAGCGCTCAAAATGGACCAACATCTTGCCCTCCTCATAGTCGATTTTTTCAATTCGTGATGGATACCTCAAAAATAAAAAGAGCCTTCATATCAAAAGAAAATTCTTACATTTGTTTATACAAAGTATTAACTGAAATACTGCTTACTATTACAACCATAAACAAAACAATATGGATCCATATTTTTAAACTACTGATCAACAAAGTTTGCTTTATTCTTTGTCTTTTCTTTTTAATGACTGTTCTTAAGACCTAATGAAATAGTCTGATACACTCCCAGTGGAAATATAAATTATATAATTTAGAATATAAATTGTGCTGTCTTGGGAAATAATTTGATAACATGTATCAAGTGCCTTAAACATATCCCTCCTTTTTGACCAAATAATTCCAATTCTGGAACTATATACACAAAACATTTATAATAACAGAAAGCAGAAATCATATGATTAAGAAAACTGAAGACTGTCTATAACTATACAAACAATGGTATATCCACTGAATGGAATATTATATAGACTTTAAATGTAATGCTTACAAACGATTTATAATGTAGGAAAATGTAAAAAAGTAGTACTATGTTCACTAGAATTATAAGTATAGAAAATAAATTTGTCTAGCAAAAAATATCAACATGTACATTTATCTCTATACGGCAAAAAAAAGTACTTTCCCTTTTCTGTTTTTCTACACTTTCCAATATTTTATAATGAGCATCAATGACGGTAGGGAAAGCTCAAACCTTCAATTTAAAAATATAAAAATAACATCACATTGTTCTGTCTTCATGTGTGCTGATTCTCTTATGATGAATTCCAAAATAAAAATTAGTTAACTTGAAACTTTTAACACAAACAAGCCCTCTTCAAAAAAAAAAATATATATATAGGCCTATTCATTCCTAATGTACTGTATTAAATGTTCACAGTGACTCATCAGAATTCAACAGCAGCACATGGTAGGTGATTCAGCCATAGAGTTTATCTCATACTTTTGCTGGGTTTTGATAAATCTCAGTTTTTTATTTTCCCTGTGGAATAAATGTAAATTTATATTGTTAACATAAATTTAAATATAAAGCACAACAGACCTCACATAACTTTGAAATCTAGGCACCGACTACTACCTGCTTCACATATCCCTCATGCTGTTCAAGGCCTTTTATGCGTCTCCAGAGCCCTGAATTGTTCCTGGTATAGCTTCTTTCCTTACTTCAGTCTAAGGAACTGAACTGTTTGGAGTTTCCTCAAACACAACAATGCACTGTCAAACGTCTGTGCTTTTGTACCTTCTGTTCTTTCTGCCTGGACCTAAGCTGCCCTTCCCTTCCTCTGTACGCTCATCATTCAAGACTTGGTTTAACATGTAGTCACTTGTGTGAAGATTTCCCCAGCTCCCCGCCCCCTGGTGCTCTCACTTGCACCCGTCTCATCATAATCATCTCTGTGCACGTTCCTAAACTGTGTGCTGCGGAGCATTTACAGCCCTTGAGACATTAATACGTGTGACACAAAAAAAGGGTCCCATGGTCAAATAAGCTAGGAAAATACTGGATTAAATAAACCGTTTTCTTTACTGAAAGACTTCTTGGTCCTGCCAATAAGACAGAAATAAAGCATGCACTATTATCAAACCATGTCACCCTTTCATCACAAAGTATTTATGAACATTTCCTGAGAGAGTAGAGGTCTAAGGAACATGATGTTAGCAACTACTCTGGCCTGTGAGTTTCGGGGACTGAGTCATGGCCACCTTTGTACCCCCAGCATCTTCACAGTGACAGACACACACTGGCTACTCAGGGAATGCTCGGCATGAATAAGAAGTGACGTTAAAGAAAGAAAATCTGCACATTTCTTCAGAACTAAGAAGGCTGTCGACCCAATTATAACCTTATGTTAGATCTTAAGACTTTTTGAGGGAATAGGTGTGGGTAAGGAAACGTTCTGTCCAAGAAAAGCATGAAAACAAGAAAACCTAGGGGATTAATATACTCCCTGAGGTGGATATGCCGATTCCACTCACTTAGAATCAGTGCTGTAATGCTTGTCTTTTGCAGTGTTGCTTTGTTTTTGCTGCTTTGGTTTTTAAAACATAAAAAATGTCAGGAGCATTAAGGGAAGCTTAGAGATACGGCTGCCCTTTAGTTTATTTTTCAACATTCACTAGCCACTTAACTACTATAAACAGATGTTCTATCAGTTCTAAGTTTCTAATTTATGTGTTTATTATCACATCTTTCTGATTTTGAAAAAAAATTGAAGGTTTATTCCATAAGTTCCTTCAAATTCTAAATGTACACAATTAAATGGTAGGTTAAAAGGAAACATAATTAACTCTTCTCTTCAAGGAACTTAGCTTAGTGTTAGATGAAGAGAGAGCAGCAGAATATTGACAGAGTCATAAATCAGTCAGGCCCTATGTTCTTTCTTTACTGAGCATCAGCTGATTTTTATATGCCTTATCTCATTAGATCCTGGTAACCATCCAAGGTACAGATAACACAGTCACCATTTAACAGATGAAGACTGTCCAAGGATACACATGGTAAGAGTATTCAAAGTCAAAGCTAACTGGCACAAAAAGCCTACAGGATAAATGGGATAAGGCCTGTATCAAAGTAATTATACCATACATGGTAAACTGGTAAGTATATATAACATTTTTTTTCTCCTTTGTATATCAAGCTTTTATTTCTGAAAAACCATGAATATTGAGGTGGACATATAATAACAATTATTTGGTAGGGGCCCAGATGTTATGCTTTTGACATAGCATGAGGTTAATGACAACATTACAGCAAAGGTATCTAAAAAGAAAACAAAAATTCTTGCCAGAGTTGATTCTCTCATTAACAGATTTCCTAACAAATTTAGTTAGTTCTTCCTGAAGATAGTGAGCAGTGGGATACTAACTTCATGCTAATTTTGACTATGATTTCTCTCTGCCACTATATTTTTTTTTGTAATTTGAATATACTTTATTTTTTTCATTGATGTATAGTTGACTTTTCAAAAATTCAACATAAGATGCTATAATTAATTGTTCAGAGAAAATTGGAGCATTCACTGAAGGTTCTTGGGAGACATTATGTTGGTCTTGGTGGGGAACTTTAAGGATTTAGACCTAATGAACATGGTACGAAGGTAAAGTTTATACATAAAGCATTGCTCATTTATTCAATCAATGTTCATTTACTTAAAACCATCATGTGACTCAGAGTTAAGCAATCGACCAGACAAGGAAGATTCAGACAAGTAGACTGTCGTTTCTGTCCTCATGGACCTCAGGATCAGAGATTGGAGGGGCACTTCAAGGAAACAGTTCCCTTTGGCTAGGCTACATGGTAAGCAGTTAAGGTGAGTAAAGGAGAATAGTGGGACATCAGACTGGACTGGTTAGCTAGGTTCAAACTAAAGTGCTCTGAAACAGTGAACTACTGAAATGACCCTTCATTCATTACATTCAAATAGGGAATCCCATAAAGTCTGTACTTAATTTGGTTATCAGTTACACCTTAGAAAAAAATCCTAACATCAACATCTTTGCTATACACGTAAAATGCACAAAATGGCGATTTAACATATAGTTCTATACAGTGAAATGATTTCCTTGTTCAAGATGGCCCATAGTAATAATGCCTTGATACACACAGTGAATAAAAAATACTTCCAAACAAATGCATTCACAAATGCCTCTAGATCTTGAACGACAGCAATATTATTTTGATGCATAATTTATGTTTTATCATAACTGAGTGTGAATGGAATGTAAGATTTTTCTTACTGAATTTGGTAGATATCATGATATTTTGTTTCTTTTTTTTTTAAAGAATGAATCATGGAAAGCTGTTAAGAGTAAAGAATAGTGATTACACTGAGTCCCAAACATTTATAAATGATGCGGGAAAAGATTTGAAAAGTAGGAGACTGGGGTTTCAGAGTTAAAACAATTAGAGATAAGAAGAAAGAAAGAAAAAAAAAAACATAGTTGGCATCTCTCCAGGGCTCAAAGAAAGAGATGGAGAGAAGGCAACCTCACTAGGACTATGATCCCTCAATGCCAAAATTCTACATAGAGCTCTATTACTCCTTATCGTGTCACTGCAAAATACCATAAAATTGCCACTGTCTTCCCTATTATAATCCCACTTTGAAATGCTTGCACTGTTTAAATGATATTTACTTGTATAGAAATTAAGAGACTGCCTCCATTGCTCTGGGCCTACCTTGCCCTCATATATCTTTTGCACTTGAATCTTAGAGAACAGTTTACTCTGAGCAAACTTAGCAAGAAATATAATCCACCCTAAATTGTTTATTAGGTTTAATGGAAACAAATAGCATTCAGAAACACTGAGAAGTCTTTACAATGATTCTTGCTGAATTTAACAGAATTCTCATACATGCAATTCTACTACTGTAATCTCTCAATTGATTTCTTAGGACTCTTTCTAAATCAGTGTGGTCAAAACCCTCCAATGGTCAAGTTCAACTGTAACAACAGAATACAGCAAGACCATTAACAAAAACGAAAATAATTTTCACCTTCTCTGAACTCTTGTAACTCTTTATTGCCTCATCTAATACCAGCATTTTAACACTGTCACTGGTGCCTCCCATTTACACAAGATCGTTCAGAGAATCAAGATTTATGGATTCTGGGGCTTCCCTAGTGGCGCAGTGGTTGAGAGTCTGCCTGCCAATGCAGGGGACACGGGTTCGAGCCCTGGTCTGGGAAGATCCCACATGCCGCGGAGCAACTAAGCCCGTGCGCCACAACTACTGAGCCTGCGCGTCTGGAGTCCGTGCTCCGCAACAAGAGAGGCCGCGATAGTGAGAGGCCCATGCGCTGCGATGAAAAGTAGCTCCCGCTCGCCACAACTAGAGAAAGCCCTTGCACAGCAACAAAGACCCAACACAACCAAAAATAAATTAATTAATTAAAAAAAAAAGACTTATGGATTCTGAACTAAACCTGTAACCCAATAAGAACCAGATACTGACCAAAGAGGTTAGCTACACACTGAATATACTGTATTGGTTTCCTGTAACATCAACTCTTGTGTGTTGTCAAAACACAAAGAGAAGTGAGAAACCTAAAATGGGAATTACCATTACAGATGAATTACTATACTGGCTCATGGTGTTAACTGTTTTACATGGGCAGATCCTGACTGACAGCTAGATCAGGAAACCATGATCCCCTGAGGCTATATGAAAAAAACACTTTGGTGTAGATGTGTATGAGTATTCTCTTGAGAGAGGGGTTCCCAACTTTAATCAGATTTCAAAGGGGTCCATGATAAAAAAAATAATTCTCTGGAAGGCAAGATCATCTATTAACACTGAAAACTATAGGTGCCCCACTCTCCTTGGAAGGAAGAAAGAAATGATGGGCATGCAGCTATGCCAGAACTACAGTCTGATAGATTAAAAAAAATACTTTTATATTCAATGCAGTAACAGTAAAACAATTAAACATGATTTGAATTTAGAGAACTCAATCTGATTTATCACCTAGTTTGATACATCCAGATTTTTACCTGTATTGATAAAGAACATCAACCATGAGGAAATGATAAGGGAAATTCCTTGATACACTGATGGCCTACAATCTCCTACACTTAAGCCAAAGGACATGGCTGTTAACTACTCATTGATAGGTTACAACCCCCTGAGCAAGGCCAGACTTTATCAAACGTCCCAAAAGCCATCAGAATTCACTCTGAGATTTAACTAATCATTTGAATAAGTGCTGTATAAATCAAAACGGCAATTAACCCAATAAATTATTCAAATTATGTATTTTAAATAATAGTCCTGTTCTTGTTTATATTGGTAAGACAATAAAATTTCTAATTTATATAAATTTAAAAACTGACAGTTCCTCATTCATTTCATTTAACTCAACACTGAGTCTCTAATTCACTGTATGTCAGACACTAAACTAGGAATAAAGCTACAAATACAAATAACAATCAACAAACTCAGATTCAGCAGGGAGGGGAGAGAAAAAGGGAATCAATAAGCTAATACAATTACAATATAGCACATAGAAGGAGTACCTAAATTAGATGTTCTCTTGGATAAAGTAGTTCTTCGATTTTTAAAGGATAAAATACACTTAAAATACGACTTAAACATAATTTAAATGTTAGCAGAATCTTTGGGAGTTAGAATTCACAATTCAGAACAGTCTTGTTGATAAGAATTGCATAAGCAAGAAACTCTAACATGGCATCATAAAAAATGACTAAAACATATTGCAAGAGATAGAAATAGAGACCTTCCTTACATACAATTGTCAGGAAGAGGATTATTTGCCAAATAATAAAAATTAATGTAGAATGAAGTCCAAAGCAAACATAATATTCCTATAACCTGCTAACCTTCTAAAATTTTAGCTTCCTGGAAATACTTTACATTTACATTATGCTTTGTAATTTTCTAGTGTTTTCTCACCATTCACTCTCTACAACAATGTCACCCATTATTACAGTACTTTTAGATGATGTGCTTCTAGGTATTGCATGTTAATTTGTTTCACACTTGAGGAACAGACTGAAAACAAAACCCTTTTGATTAATTCAAACCTGATATTCCAAAATAAAGTATAAATCCAAAGAGTCTATTAATAGAATTTCAAGAACATTCAGAGGATGGTTATATATGTCAAAATCACATCTTTTACAACACTGAATTCTAAGGATCTCAGTGCATTATCCCTCAGGCCCTCTTTTCAGACTCATTCATCCCCAGGACACATGTTCAACACAAGCAGCCAGACCACCCTGCTTCCTACCTGTCCATAATCTTTGCAGCAAAGAATGGGTAAGATCAGAGTTAGCCAGGTATTTTGCTTCAGTAACTCGGAGCAGCCACCTTTCAAATTAAGGTTTCATTTCAAATCACTGGATTTATTTAAACTCCTGTTCTTCTCTACCTCCTTGCCATGCCTACATTCGTTCATACCAACCGTGCTGACCAAATCAAAGTGCCCACCCCATAGCCTTTATGCTCATGACCGTCTCCTGCTGTAAGAATCAATTAGACTATCAAAAATTCCTTTCCCACTCCACCAAAAACGCCACCGGTATTCTACTCAAAGTTTATGTACTTCATATAATTTGTTCAGGCCAACATGACCATTCTTTGTTATTTAATTCTGTTACAAAACTCCAAACTCTAGCAGGTTGCAGTCCACCCAATTTCTATTTCTTAATATTTAGCATTTAAAAATTATTATAATACTACAGATAATCATATATGCTTACACACCTATGTTAAAGTTTTAAGAATTTACACTGACTCCTCTCCTGTTAGATTCTACTTTCTTAGAATAACTAATATTCATGCTATTATTATTAATAAAGCTAACATTTATTAAGTGCCTACCATGTGGCAGAAAACATGAAGTGCTCTAAATGTGCACTGTCTTGCTTATCCTCAAAGAACCATTTGAGTTAGGTACTACTACTGTTCCCAGTTATTTAAGGAGGTCATAGAGGCTCTGAAAGTCAAGTAATTTTCTCAAGTCGAAACAGTGGTGGATCCCTGAATGGAGGTTTGTCTATCTCTTAAAGAATTTGCTTTTGATCATTATATATTCTGCATCTTACAACTGATCATTTTCAGCTCTTGTAAAACTTACTGCAGTATTTCAAATATAGGGGGCTCTTTATCAAGAGGTCCTGAAAACAAAAAAAATATAAAATCAAGTTATCTGTTTATTTTTTCTTGCAAATTTACTCTTCTGCTTCTGATACAAAATAAAATGTGTAAAGCTTTTCGTTAGCCCAGAGAGTATGGAAAACAGCTTTTATTATACTGTACAAAATAAACATCCCCCCTCCCTTGTGTAATTCATAATAGTTTGACAAATATCATTTTATGCTTAGTTTTCAGCCAGTAAGTCACAATCCATTTGCAGTAGTGTTCTGCAATGGTAACCAGATTTCAGAATATCCCCGAAACTTTTGGGCTCATTCTTTACCAACTCACCAAAATTCAATGAACTTTGCTGGGCACCTTTTATGAGTAAAAGGGGCTAGGCCTTGTATATAATTCATTTCACATCAGTAGCTTATTCTTCAGTACTTTACCTACCCATGATGTGGTAGAAACGTATTCATTTTTAATTGAAGAGGGTTGGTTTTTTGGCAATGAGAAAACAGACTTTTAAGACACAATGAATATTAAATATCCACATTCTTTCTTCAATTTTATTGCAACAATTCTCTCCAAGTTGTGTTAACTTTAATGACTGAAATAACGTAATATTTACATACTAGTTTCTAATTTAATAAGAAGAAAAAATTTATCTGCTGATCAATGATCTGTAGGAGATGGTAGGAGGAACAGTCAATAGTTCTTCAATACAATGTCATATAAAATACTAAAACACTGAAACCCTTATGAAGAATAACAAAACTAAGCTGCCTTTTCAATACCATGTTAATTTCTTTTAAGAAATTATACTACCAATTTTTAAAGCTAGTATTCTCTCCCTCAGTTAAAAAAATAATTTAAAAATAAAATTTAAAACCCTTAAGCATCTGCAGATACAGTTCTGTCTACTTAGCGAAACTAGAATTGCAAAACATTCTTTTTTGTAAAATTGATTACCACCACAGATAAATTATTTCCTAATTACTGACTTTAATCAATTACTCACCACAAAACAAAGCATTACATAATGTGGTAAGACAAGTGTTAAATCTCGCAACACATAATAATAATATTCAGCAGGAAAAATGTAACAAATAGGGAACTGGATGCGTGTGATAGATGATGACCGAACTTCAACCAAATATCAGATAAGCAAATAAAACTGTCTTCTCTCGTGATCCAACCCTTGCCATTACATGAACGCACACAAGGCACAGAACAATAAAAGTCAATCCATGATTAACCGTAACCACAGGGAGCCTTTTTTTTTTTTTTTTTTTAATAAAGCAACAAGGGCCTAAACCCTAACAACTATCCAGCCAGATAGCGCTTGGGACCACAGAAAGAGGAGCAAGAAAACTGACGCACACCAGAGTACGCGCAGCTCAATATATTCTGTTGTACTGAAAAATAACAAAAAAGGATTTCTGGATCATGCATCACTTTGTCCATACTTACATTTTAACTTCCTCCAACTAACATAAACAGTTAAAACAGACTATAAATTCAAAAAATAATCCAGGATATTTCCACGGCTGTCCGCCTCAAAAACTATATCTTCAGGTTAACAATTCTGTATGGTCTAGACCGGTGGTTCTCGTATGTGGTCCCTAGACCAGCAGCATCGGCATCATGTGGAGACCTGTGAGGATGCACATTATCGCCCCCACCTCAGATCTACTAAATTAGAAGCTTGTGGCTGTTGGGCCCACGAATCTGTGCCTGACAAACCCTTCAGGTGATTCTTACGCAGGCTCATGTTTAAGAACTACTCTTTCAGACTTCACCTGAATCACTTTCAAAACTGTAGGATCAACGAACTTTGTAAGAGAACCAATGTGTTAGTGAATGGGTACTACACAAAAAGTTAGTGAGTTAAAGTACTAAAGCCAAGAGTTATGATTCTAAGTAATTTCAAAATTAAACAGTTAATGAGAAAGCATTTAAATGATGGGAGAGCAGGATGTAGAAAGAGTAACTACCGGCCCAACACCACTATTCTACAAACACTTCAAACCTCTATATTTTTGTTCCCAATTATATTCACCTTTCTCCACCTTTTTCAATACATTTTCTCTTCTTCTAGAGACCAGCAGTTTTGGGCAAACTACATTGGACTTATAGTCCTTGCCTACTTTACTTCTGCCTCAAGCCATTACTTACCTATCTAAAAGTGAGATTAAAAAACCTGTCACCCCTGAATAGGTGAAAAGTAGATAAAAGAGCTTGAGTTTCCAGTTCAAGCAATCTGAGAGATCACTGAATATGTCACACCTTCACTTTAAGGACATTAAAGCAGAAAAGTAAGTCTCCAAAGTCCCACAGTCCATGGCAGAACAGCACCTAGAACCCACATTTTCTGACTTTAGTTAAATTTACTTTTTTCAATATTCCTTTTCTCTTGCCTTTCAAGAAATCTAGGATAAGCAAAAAATTTGAGCAGAAAAGAAAAAGCTCAATTAAAAAAAAACATGAATCAACATAATGAAAGGAAGACTATTAGAGAAAGAACAATAAGAACAAAGCAGGTGTGTTTCAAAATAAATATGTCTACTCCTATTTCTAATCTTGCTTTCAACATTCTTTTGTGGCGGGGGGAAGGGGAGGGGAAGGGAGAACTTTATCTTTAAAAGTTCATGGGGTTTTCTTTTGTGGAAAATTTAAAACTTAAACTACTAAAATGTTTGTACACTGGTGCAGACCTGTTTGATGATTATTAAACTGAGGGTTCACTTAGATCTTAGGATTCAAAACTTGTGACTTTCTGAATGTAAAGAATCTCAGAATTTAAAAACAAGTCTTATGAATTTCAGTTTGAAATTCTCTACAGGCAGGGTCCTTAATCTGGAGTCCACGGGTAAGTTTTCTACCACCACCCATAATATATATTACTCAGTTATTTTGGTATATAAACACGATTGTACATTTTTCTGAGTCTACAGCTGAAATTAGGTTGTCAAAGGTGGTGACTCAAAATTAGAATCAATACTTTCCAAGTACAAAGAGATTTAGGAAAGGTCAACATACAAAAGGACAAATTTTATTTATATTAGCAAAATAATATTTTAAAAGTATTCACCTATGGTTTCTACAAATTCCAAACTCACCTAATGTAATTTAAATGTGTTTTCAGTTTTTAAATTTCATCTACATACTACTTTTCAGGAGCACACTTCTGTTCCAAATATAGATCACACAACTTATCTCTACTAGTGTTTTCCTTTGAATAGCAAATCCAATCAGTAAAAGACAATCTCTTTTAATTCAGACAATACGTAATTTTATTTAAATTAGAAAGTATTTGTACTTCCTACAATCTAAATTTCTTTGATTTTCCCACTCTACTAAAATTCTGTTCATGAACAGTTTAAAAACTCACATTTGCAAATGTTCCATACAGTTCAAAAAACTCCAAATGTGTGGAAACAGCATTTGTCAATTCAAATTTATACTGTTCTATCAAACTCTGTACTTGCAGACATCTCCACATTTTTTTTATCTTTCATTTTCCTTTCCTTTAGATCTAGAAGAGAATTACATAGAAATATTCCAATAAAGGTTGGACGAGCGTAACTCATCTGAATATTTTAAAATGACTTTATAATTTCAAGTTGAAGAGTAACACCAGAGCATATTACTTTGTTTTGTTTTCACAACTAAAACTTGCTATAGAGTATTCTAATTTCAGTCAAAAAGTTAAATCAGTAGTCAAAACTGGTTTATCACATTTTTTACTGAACAACGTTCAGAATGATTAGATACTTTAACATTTTTAAGGGTGCTTTCTAAATTATAAAACTCTGCAAAAACAAAGATTTTATCATCACCTCAAAAAGGTTTTATAGCATGTTGCAATGACATGATATTCCTTCTGTATTCCAGGCCATTCTCATGTCAACACTAAGGCTACACTTAAAAACTTACAAATTGAGTCTTCAGATCCCCAAAGATAAGTTTTTCAACTCTCCCGCTTCCCTTGCATTTACCTCAGTGCTTTATAATTATGTATTATTTTATATAATCTGAAGCAAGTTTAAATACATTATTTTATTTGATCCGTAAAATAATTCTGTAAGTAAAAGTCAGTAACACTGCTTGCATTTTACTGCTAAGCCAACCAAGTTCAAGGACTTAACTCATATTTACAGGATCAGAAAGTGGCAGTCTGAATTTGAACCTGCCTCTTTCCTCTTTAGAATCCACTGATAGTGTCTCAAATATAACTTCAACTCTGAACTTTCTCTTTCCCCAAACACACTCCTGTATCAACGACCTGTATTTATCTTCATTCTTATGATGTGACTGCACTCAAGAAATTATAAAGAAATTATAAAGCTAATATGTTCAGGTTTGGATATACAGAGGCTGCAGTGGCATATATGAGGGAGATAAGACAGAAAATGGTTGACTGTGTTAGCTGTGAACATTAACACATTAAAAGCCTTTTCAAAGACTTTTAAATTAAAAGACTGTTGAGAAAGACATTAAAATGTTTTGAGTAAAACTACAAATTTTTAAAAAATTAAAGCAACCCACACTTATCAGTAGGAGTTAGATTTAGTCCATATAGAAGAGATCCAGGAAGAGATATGGGAACATATGTATATGTATAACTGATTCACTTTCTTATAAAGCAGAAACTAACACACCATTGTAAAGCAATTATACCCCAATAAAGATGTTAAAAAAAGAGAAGAGATCCAGGTATCAAAAACCACACACTGGAACAGAAGGCGACTGGCCTCTCACTGGCTTCTCAGGGCCTGCATTCATTAGTATTGGTAAATAATCAAACCACCAGGGTTTTCCGATGTAACTGGAAAATTACTTTGAAAGCAAAAAGTGATAAACTGCTACTTAAAATGTGGAGTGTATTTTCGAGGACGAAGTATCTTTCTGAACTTTAAAGAATATGTGATATGGTTTGCTCAAGGAATAATAATGTACTTTCCCCCCAAAAAATAGGTTGAGTCTTCCTCTTAAATCAAATCTACCCCAAACCTAAATGTGGGAGCTTAACTTTAATTTCTGCCCACTAAATTTAGAGTTTATCCTTTTATTTCTAGAGTACATACTGAAAAATATTTTCCTTTTTTTAACATAGGACAAACCTTCTACATATAAGACAAATGGGCATTCAGGTGCCCTACTATCACAACTTTCCCTCCGTACTTCTCTTTAAAAGCTAATGTATCAACATATAAGTCATTTTCCTAGTAATAGCTATACTGCTTATTGTAAATGTCTTACGTACAAAGAGAGTAAGTAATACTTGCATTTCTGCCTGTCCCTCCCTGTCCAATGCCTATAATTCAAAAGACATTTATGGAATAGTATTGAGTAGGGCCTCAATACTATTCCAACTGCATGAATAAATGTGGAAGACTAAGCACTCAATATGGATGCAACCCAAAGAGAATATGAAAGAAAGTAGAGAGGGAGGGATGAAAGACGGAAGGAAATTAGTTCAGTATATTTTCAGTGATTAACTGTTTTGCCCTCATAAGGATATCAAAGTTTCTCAACACTTAAATAATCCTTCTATATTTTTACATGATATTAAAGCAAAAATGTGTGGAATTTATAGGGGATACAGAATGGCCCATAACAAAAGAAACAATATAAAGAATAAAGTTTATCTCATTTAAAAATAAAATCTGTTAAGAGCACCACGTCTCACAGAACTTCTTTTGTGCCCCATATAAAATTCAATAAATCTTAGCAGTTAATTACTTGTCCTACAGTAAAGTACTTTAATACTAAATTAAAGGGCCACCCAAGCCGAAACACTGCTTGAGACTGACAGTAACAAAGTCACGAGAAAATTATTTCTTTCAATTACCTAGAATATGTATATACAATACTCTTAATGCTTTTGTAATTAAAGCCCCACTAGAGCAGAATGCTAAAATCGTCATATAAATGAGCTCACAAAAATCAAACTGACAGCAAGTTGCCGTGATTATCGTATGTGATTATTCTGGCTAATGTTTACTCACTTTAAAGAGACCGTTATTACTGGGGTCATTAAAATTAAATCTAACCTTCATCAATGAGTACATCTGCATGATATCACTCTATCTAAGCACTTGGGAATTTTTTGATGAGAAGCATAAGATAATGAAAAAATTAAGCTACAACTTTTATTTGTTTTCTGACATTCCAAATACTCTAAAAGCAAACTCAGACTTAATTTTTAAAGTAGTTCTTTTTCATAATCTTTTTAACTACTGAATCACCGATTCAACAGCTGATGAATTAGGAAACATTTCACCACTAAAAGTGAGTTTCTTACTAATACCAGTTAATTATGTCAATATCCCTTAAGGCCATTGGGAGAACTAATAAACTATATGCTTTTCCAAAACTGGAAGCTAGTTTAATTGCAACTTTGTCAGTTTGGAAGCCTAAGAAAAGAGTAATATGAATTAACTAATAATTCAAAAAGCCAGTAACTTTAAAAAAAGAAAAAAAATAATTTAAGATTAACATCAAAGAAGTAGCATTTCTCATACTCTTGCATCACAGAGAGGTTCAATAGTGTGTCCCTTCAGAGCAAAAAGCTTCTTTTGGTCAAAATCAGAACCAAAGAGAGCCAATTACTGACTAAAATAGCATCTTTCAGCGTATGGTCTAATGCAGTGGCTCTCTATCAGGAGCACATAAGCCCTCCCCCCCCCCCCCAAAAAAACATTCGGCAACATCTGGAGACACTGTTTACCATCGTGACTAGGAGAGATGCTACTGCCTGGTTCTCAGGTGCTTTCCAAGCCCCTCCTGAGAACGCTGTGTACATTCTCCAGCTGATGAGAGTAATTAAGCCCCCTAAAAAGAAGCACTCACTGAGATGCAGCTTGGAGGCATGAGGCCAAATAACCGTGCCTTCCCATCTCAAACTATAGATTCAAACTGTCCCAAGCAGAGCCCATTAAGCTGGGGGTCACGGACGTTTGCAAAGTTCCAACACCTTCGTTTTTGCTAAGAGAAAAAAACCCCAGCCTGGTCTAAAGTCAAGTATCATGACTAATCAAGATTTCTCTGCCTGCCATTGCCAACTCAGGAAGTTGACTTAATACAAATCCATCAAAGACAAATCTACAAAATGCCCACTACATTTTAAAGGGAGTTGTAGTGAAAAGAAAATGTCAAAAAGGCTGGTAAAGTTGTTGAATTGCTAGACCCCTCATCAAAATAAATGGGCTTCAAGAGGAACTGAGGCTGAACCAAGAGACAGCCACCCAGAGAACAGAACTGGAGGCCAGCTAACAGGAATGAGGAAGGCATTCCCTAGGAGAAAGAGGGAATTCTCATTCCTACAGCAGTCCAGTGATCCTGGTGTGTGCTATTTCCCCTTCTCTCCTTTCCAGGTGGTGATTTTATCCTAGGTAACCAATTTCTCCTACACCATTGTATGTAGGGGTATGTTGGAGGTGTCTGAATTCACCCCTTATCACAGATGGCTGGTATAGGAGAAGAAATAAGAGAAGGCCTGAAAGGATTACTCATTTAAAACTGGAAACAGTAACAACCTGCCTTTAGGTCAGTGCACTCTGGGGAAGGAGGAGGTAAACTGGGTTTTGGTTTTAGGTGGAACAGTGAATGACAACTCTGCTAACCATCAACATATTCTGCAGTTTGAAAGACCACCTCTGACAAAGGCCAAAAAAAGCAGATTTGCATCAAGTTTTATCTGAAACTTGGGAATCTGGTTATCTGTTAATCTTCTCCCTCCTACCACCCACAGAGCTCATATTAAGTACAAAAGAGTACTGGTAACTGCAAAATCTGAAGAGTAGGAAAACTAAATGAACAATGTATATGTTTATTCACAATGTGAACAAGTTAATGTTTCTGCCACTGTCAGAAGAAGAGCAATTAACCAGCCCATGTAAAACTACAGATATCATGCTTTAGGTCAAGGGCTCCATATTTTCCATACCATTTTTGTAAGTAGTCCAGTGCCTCCAAACGAGCACCAATCTCAAAAGTGATTCCAGGACGATTTGGGGGCTTTTTACTCATCTTGAGATCCTGTTCTTCGGAATTCTCTTTTCACTACCTCAAGAGAAAAAAAAAAAAATTAGATTCTGATGCATAAAAGGCACAAGGGATTAAACAGAATTTTTTAAACATTACATGAGAAGTTAAAATAACTGCCAAATTTTTAAGAAATTTGAATGATGATTACCAATATCTCTAGGTAAAGTACCGTACAACTTGCAGGCAATCTTAACAATGAATTAAGAAAAGGGAGATTAAAAAGCTAACTACTTTAAAAAAATGAATAGATGGGGATTAAAACTAACTAATGGCTAAAATGCTTTAAATTTTAACTCGAAAATACCCAAGAAAATTCTTCAGGATAACAGCTGAAAATGTTTTTCTGTCTTTGAAAACTCAGGACAATTGAGTATTCTGGCATATGACTGTTGAAATTCTTAAGAGAACAAATTAACCAAGTTTTTCAACAGATATTTATTGAGTGCCTTGTAACATAAAACACTTGATAACACACTAAAGAACACAATTATGGAAGAAACAGCAGACACACTCTTCCAGTGCAGATTTAGTAATTCCTATTGTGATTAGGATTTTTCATTACCTATAATCTCCCACCTTGGTAGCACATGATTCAATAATTTTAATTTAACATATAAACTTGCAGAGGAAATTTCTTTCTTTTTCTTCACATTCAACAAGCAACAATGATACAGACATTTCTTAACTCTGAGAATTTATTTCTACTATATTTCAACATAGACAGTACCCACACTGACAATAAAAATGGTTGTACGTTCAAACAAAAAACTACAAAGGAATACCTATTCCTCTCTAGACCACGAACATGTGGAATATTCACAATCCTCTTGGCCAGTGGCGAGCTAGCACACTTGAGGTAGCCTCTTTTTCACTAACTAGCACCAGAGGAATATGAATACATTTTCCAACAGCCCAATCAAAATATAATATTTAATCAGGAATGGAAACCTACTGGGGGAGAGGAGAAATCTCTAAAACCGTTTTGAAATTTAGAATTACTAATATGACTATGCTCCCTCCCAATTTAAAAAAGAAAACACACAACTGTCTCATGTTTTTTCAATGGTTTTGTCACAATTCTAAAGGGACAAAACAGCAAGCATAAAAACCAACTGCCCTTTCGTCTTAGAAAGAATCTGCTAAGGGAAAATACATGCCACATATGCCAAAGACAGCAATACATGTCATAAAAATACGTAAAATCAAACTTAACTACTCATGGGGGTGGGCGGGGGGGGGGGATATCCTCCTGCCTGCCAGGGCAGCAGCAAAGATTAATGCATTAAAGTTAACAGTAGGCTCAGCCAGAGGGCGTTTGGTGCAAAAGAAACAGTAGTATGAATATTTTTAATAGCGGTCTGGTCAGTGTGCAACACACAAGGCAGTTACTTGTAGAAACGTAATTCACCTTTTCTGCTGCTCTTCACAGGGAGAACTTAGTAAGGGGTAATTGAGAAGTTACACTAACATTCTCTAGGATCAAACTTAGAATCCACAAGAAGTGACAAAGTTAATACATATAATTCCCCCCCAGTGACACTGCGGGATGAGGTGCCAGAAAAGGAAAGATTTCCTTCTTCTTGGGCGGAGAGGGGCAGATGGGGAGGGATCTGAATTAAGGAAAAGTAAGACAAATAAACAGTCTATTGGGGGAGGGGGGTAAAACCTGAAGCAGAAAGAGAAAGGGGGATGGAGAGAACGGAGAGGAATAAAAATCGGGAAGGAAAACGAACAAGAAAGCAAAAATATATAAGGGTGGTGAAACCTGAGGACCTGACAAACGGGAAGGAAGAGTAAATCAACTAGAAGATACAACCCTGGGAAAATGAAGCAATGGTCAGAGAATGGCCGCGGGGCCAAAAAAACGGTGGGGGGGAGGGGATGCGGGGCGGGAGGGGGCTGACCAGAGACAAACAGGAAAGGCTCAGACCGGGCGGCCAGGGTGCAGGAGACGCCTCCAGGTTTGACAGCCGTCCGGCCCTCGGCAGGGGGGGAAGGAAGGGAGGGGTAGAGGGAGCGGCGGCGCCCAGACAATAGGGGCGGCAAGTTACGGAGAGGGACGCGGGAGGGGAGCGGGCCAGAGACAGACACCAGCGCTGGGGTGTCCCGGGCGGCCAGGCGGGGGCCAGGCGGCCTCCAGGCCCTGCAGGCGCCGCCGCCTCTTACCGACTCGGCCTCCTCTTTGCACAGTTGCCGGGCTATCCGGGGCCGAGCCGGGGCGCGAACAGGACGGCCAGCCCGGGACTCCGCCTCCGCCTCCTCCCAGGCAGCGGTCGGGGACGGAGCAGGAGCGGAGCGGAGAGAGCTGGGGCCGCAGCGCGGGGTCGGGCTCGAGGTCGCGCGGGAGGGAGCAGGTCCGAGCCCTCAAGCCCGCTCAGTGTCCGCTGCCATCGCCTCCTCCGCCGCCGGCCAGCCCTGACGCGACGCCGGCCCAGACGACGTCAGCCGCCCGCGACGAACCGGAAGCTGGTCTGGTCGCGTCACGTGACGCAAGAGGGTTTGGCCCGGGCCGTGCGGCCGATTGGAGGGCCGCCCTGGGAGGCGGGGCTTTGCGGCAGTTGGCTGACAGCTGGCGGGAGGGGCCCTGGTTACCGAAGAAAGGAACGCGGGCCCCGGGACCCCATTGGCAGTTGTGAAGTGTTTGACCTTTGAGAGGTGAGGACGAAACCCATTGAATGTCACTGTTCTTGATTTGTTGGGAACCAGGTTCTCAAAATTCCTCAATCCCAGCACCCTGGGCAAACTTTTGTAAAGGCACACTACACGCTTTCTTAGATATCCACCCCATTCCACATTAAGAATAGAGCAAATGGTTACTGTTATAAACTAAATAAACGTCTATTGAATGAATGCCTAGTGGCAGGAACTGTGCTGTAAGTACACCACATGACAACCACAATCGCACAATTGTATTCCTTTATAGTCTAGGAGATCCTTACCACACAAAAGGCAAATATTACTAAGACATTCTGTGTGTGTTGCATGTGTGTGTGTGTGTGTGTGTGTGTGTGTGTGTGTGTGTGCAGCTCAAGAACCTATGGCTAAATCGACATGACTTTCCTAAGAATACACAACTAATGACAGCAGAACTACTTTTCTTGAATACTTACCATATCCCAAACTCTGTACTACGCACAGAAGAAAGTGTCCCAACTTTGGGGAAACCAACAAGTAAACACATTCAAAGCAATATTGAGATAAACATCTTTTTTCTCTTTCCAGTGTGCTACTCTGATTCTCAAGCTTTCTAAATGCAACACTGCATGCAAATAATACATTTATCATGCTTTACAGAGTGCAGTTAAAATAGCAAAATATCACTCTTTAAGCTTCAATTATACTGAGATTGAGTAATTTAAACAACCACATCCATATCCTCTTATTCAACAGACGTTCCATCAGCACTTACTATGTTACTAATAACTACTGAATTACACTGAGAATGGCAATAGACGGAAAAGATATAAATAAGACAGTCTCTAGTGGACATTTGTCTTCTTGGTTTTCAGTTGACCAGCATCCGAAATCCCTTTCAATGTTTGGGAAATTTCCCATCATGGTTGTCATTAGTACAGTATACCATATATTTATAGATTCCACATGACAGGATTATACTTTGCACCCTCCTTAGAATTATATGTGACCATTTGATTTGCTTTGGCTAATAAAAGGAAATTGGAATTGAGTTTTGTCACAGCCAGTTGGTAATTTAAAAAATCCAGTTCACCAAGTTTTTTGTCTCTGGCACAGCAAAATGCAATTTTTGAGATGGTGGCTGCTCTAACAACCCATATTCTAAAGAGATTATGATGATGCTAATCCACAAGTGATATGTAGTATAAGGAAAAAAATAAATATTTGTTGGTTTAAGCTATTGAAATGTTGAGGTTGTTTGTTAACAGCATAACCTAATGCAAACTGACATATACACCCACCTTATGAGCCTTAGGGCAAAGTCAACCTCACACTAAATAAGATGAAAGTATAAGAAACTCATGTTCCCTGTTTCCCTTGCGGCTAAAGTTCTATTCTTGGCTATACCAATTAGACTCTCTCACTGAGAACTATATATCAGAAGCTGCTGGTGATGTTCAAAATAAGGGAAATTTTCTCCAGCAGCAGTGGGAATACCAGTTATCAAATTTCTAACCTTCAGCCCAGAGCTAACTAACTGAACCCTGGCAAAACCCCTGCTGACCCACAAACCAATAGGTGAGAAAAAAATAAATATTTGTTGTTTTACATCACTGAAAATTTGAGGTTGTTTGCGATTTAATTAAAATACATAATGTAAAGGCTAGCACAGATTCTATCCAATTTCCACAGTTTGCTGACAATCTATCCTGAACAGATGATTCTTCCATTTTAATTGGGACTTAACAAGAGATCCCTCCAATAATGTAACTTGAAAGAAAATAAATGGAAATTGGGTCTAATGTATCAATAAATGATTCTTGGCTTGAATGGATTGTATAGGTGAGTGTCCTCAATGCAGTCAATACCGTCCTTTAGAAGGCACCTTGGGAATGGGCGGAGGAGGCATATTTTTAGTTGTCACATGATTGGAGGAAGGCATTGCTGCAACTTAATGGGGAGGGACCAGGGCTACTAGACATCCTGAAATGCACAATGCAGCCCCATACCTTGAAGAATTGCCGCAGGTCGTACATGACTTTTGAATGGCCCTCCGAACTTTCACGTAGGTTAAAAAAAGAACTGTTGATCATTTTTGGAGCCTAGAACTCAGTTTTACGCATAAGCACAAAGTATTTTTGCAAGGTTTTAATATGCACTCAGTTTCGAGGAATGAGGCCACTATATAACATGAGGGAAGGCTGTCCTCTTTGTATGAATATTACCAAGATTTTATTGCATTTTTAAAAATCATGCCACCAATGGCAAAGCTACTCATACTATTTGAGGCACTGATAGAACACACCTATATCACTCTGCATTTTATGTTACATTCAGGATAAATCTAAATTTCCATATTAGCACTTGACTGCTTCATTGTGACTCTTCGTGAGTCATGGCTGACCACTTACGTACTGAGATAGATATTATTTTTATTGTGAATTACTTTCATAAATGTATTCTTACATTATTGTTATGGCATTGTATTGATTTTTTTAAATATGTGGAGCTTGATTATTTCATTTATGGATTTAATTTCAGAAGAGTGCAGAAGATGTGACATAGTATTAACTCTAAAAAGGGGACATTACGTCTGATAAGACTGATAGAAAACTCATATAGGCTATCATCGCTGCTTTTGACCCTACAAAGTCAACGGTCAGAACCAGGGAAGAGATACAACATACTGTATAGAAAAGTCTGGAGATGACTCCCCAGCCATACAGTGAAGCTATGCATCACTATGTCCCCTCTTCTCTAGTACCCAACACACCCCTTGTCCAGATGGTAAATGTTAGCCATCAGACACTTCATCTCCAAATTTAGAAAGAAAGAACTTACAGCTGTGTTTGAGTGGAACCAAACAAGCAGTGGGCAAATTATCTTGAAACAAGGGTCCTTGGGCAGAAATCACTGAACTAAATTTCTCCAACATTAAAAATATGAATATGGAACCATAATACTCCCTGGAATATTTAACAACTGTATATACCTATTTTAAGGGGAGAAGTCGTTACTAAATACCAGATATTCCTTCATTACATGCAAAACACAGAAATCTATTTTGTGTGTTTGCTTTAATATGTATAATCAGTGAAGAAAATCAAAGCAATTTAAAGATTCTTTTAAATAGACTAGTTTAGTAGAAACCTAACCTGCTGCAACAGACACCTTTGGCATATCTACCTATTCCATTGTAAAATCTTTGAGAATGGCACTAATAGCACATCCTTCACCTGCCAAAGACCTTAGTTGTCTTGTCTCTCTAGCACCATATCCTTTTACCAACTGACCAGAAGTGATAGTTGTTCCAGAATTAATCTCTGGCAGTTGAGCTCCTAGACCAGGTATGAACATGACAAAGAGATATCATCTCTCTCATATGTTCACACACAGCATTCTGCTCACATTCCTAAAGTATTATATTTCCCATTGAATATGAAATCAACTCTTAATTCCTCAATGGATTTTCCCGTTTGTGATACTGGAACAAAGGATGGGCTCTTCACTTTCAGCTACTATGTTGATACTTCGAAACTCCTCTGATTCTGGTCATTGTTGTTTACTGTTATCACTTCCATGAACTCTCTCAGTGTTTCTCAACATTGGTCCATCAATCATCTGCATTAGATGCACCCAGGCTGTTTGTTAAAATGCAAGTTCATGGGCCCTAACCTGTATCTTGGTCTTAGAGACCGGAAACCTGTATTTTAAAAGCCATCCTAAATCATTCCTATGTACACGGAAGTTTCAGACCTGCAGTGTGTTAGGAGTCTTGTGGTTGCATGGGACTGAAATTCAAGGCAAACAGGCTTAAGCATAAATGGAATTTATGTTTGTGGAATTAAAAACGGATGCGGTATGTTTTGCCTTCTGATTCAGGGATCAAATGATAACATCTTTCACTCTGCTTCCTGTGGGTTGGCTTGATTCTTGGGATCCACATCCAGGCCCCCAACAACTTCAGACCCATCACTGCAACATCCTAATGAACATAAAAACAAGTCCTAGAAGTCATTCTCTCATTGGCCTAGATTGTCAGGTGCCCAATTCTGAACCAAGCATGGTGGCTGTGGGAATGACTTATACTGATTTTTCTTGAACCTGGGTCCAATCCCCAATCAGGCAGGTGGAAGTGGAGACTGGCCCCAACCTCAGGGACTGAGAGATGGGAATAAGTGGGTCTTTTAAAGAAAATTGAGGTGCTGTTACTTGAAAGAAAATGGGAGCCAGACAACAAAAACAACTAATATTCATTGCAACTGGCTTATACTGACTGTAACTCCAAATGACAATTTATAGCTATTCAACAAAATTGAGTTTACTCTTCTTGGTTTGCAAAGATAGAAAACCAAGCCGAATGAGAGGCAAATCTAGTAAGAGTTTGACCTAACATTCATATTCCTAATTACTTAGGTATTTGCTTTCACAGGCAAATCTCTGCAATGTAGAACACTCTGCTGGGGATTGTTAAAACTGGGGGAAGAGAAGGTAGGCAACAGAACATAGCAAGCATACAAATTGACAGTTAACCAAATAGTGAACACTTTTAACCTCTTGGTGACCATTATTTTCCTTGTGAATGGAGCTAGCCACAATTCAGTGGCATTCTCAAACATGGCAGACCGCATGCCTGCGTGCACTCATTCTTTTATCTTTCAGGTACTTGCTTAATCACTCAACAAATGTTGAGTGATTTCTGCTTAATACTAGAAACTGGGTGATGCAGAGTGAGAGAACAGGAAGAAAAACAAAATGAGGCATCCAAAGCTAAGGGAACTTGCCGTGATGGAGAGGTGGATACAGAAACAACAAAGTACAGTATGAAGGTAAATATGAATCATTTTGAAATAGAGATACTGTAGGACTGTGCTCATTCTGACTCAGAAAATCAAGGAAGACTGCATAGAGGAAGTGACATTTGAAATACACTTTGAAGGATGAGTAAGCTTCAAATAAGATTCTATACAGACTCCAAAATTATTATTGCCCTATGGTTCTTTACAGTTTTTTTTAATTGACGTATAGTTGATGTACAATATTAACTAAGTTACAGGGGTACAATATAGTGATTCACAATTTTTAAAGGTTATACTCCATTTATAGTAAGCATAAAATATTGGCTATATTCCCCATGTTGCACATTATAGTCTTGTAGCTTATTTTACACCTGTTTATAACTCTTAATCCTTACCCTTATATTGCTCCTCCCCTTTGTCTCTCCCTACTGGTAACCACTGGTTTTTTCTCTACACCTCTGAGTCTGCTTCTTTTTTGTTATATTCACTAGTTCTTGTATTTTTTGGATTCCACATATAAGTGATATCATACAGTATTTGTGTACCTCTGTCTGACTTATTTCACTTAGCGTAATGCCAAGTCCATCCACGTTGCTGCAAATGGCAACATTTCATTCTTTTTTATGGCTGAGTGGTAGTCCATTATATTCCATTCCATATGTACCGCATCTTCTTTATCCACTCATCTGTTGATGCATACTTTTTATAGTTTTGATTGAAGCTCTGACAAATAAAAAACAGCATTCTACTTCCAATTCTTTCCCACAGCGTTTATTGAGCATCTGCAATGTGCCAAGTTCAGTGCTAGGCCCAAGGAGCATAAGGAGGAAAAATCTTATTTCCTGATCATAAGGCACTTAACAGTGTAGTCAAGCAGACCAACACACTAATAGGTCATCCTTATACAGTGTAAGCATGCAGGAATATGCAGGGTTAGGATATGCGCTCTAACTGGTCACTTGCAATTTAACTAAGTGTCTGTCCTTTTGGTCAGGACCAGAAAACAATACCAACATCTCCAAGGTAACTGCCAGACACTCGAGATGAAAGAGAGTTCTCCCCATGGGGGAGGGGAGAGGGCTGGACTGGGGCAGAGAACTTGTTAGCACATGCATTGCCACAGTTCTGCCTTAGTAAAAAAATACTGAGGCAATCCAACTTCGTGGTCAGGTATTAGATTACTTCCTCATTTGTAGTTTGCAAAACATTCAACAGAGCCAGTTTCCCCAAGACAAGGGTAAACATCCTTTGATTTTCTTTATTTTCTTTCCTTTTTATTTATTTATTTTCAGAACTATGGGTATCATGCAGATCATAGGAGGCTATAAATTTGAAGGAAATCAAATCCATTACCTTATTTCTTGCTGTTGTTTTTTAATGACAACTTAAAATAGAAAGCGTACGAGAGCCAGGGATTTGGAAAAAGACCAGGAATTGGATGTTAGACCTGACACCATCACCAGAGTGGTTGAGGTCTAGACACTTTTCTGATTTTCCTTTCCTCACATGTAAGTGAGAATCTTAAATCTACTTCACAGAGCTGTAATGAGGATTAAATTAGAAAGAACCAGCTGTATGTGTTTTGCAAATGATAATTGATGTACAAATGCCAGGTGTTTCCAAATGTTCCTCTTTCACCTTTCCCAGGGACCCTTATATCTAGTTGCTGTAATCTCTGAGGGTACTCCCAGTTTCACTCACTGTGATTCCATGAAAACACACATTTTTCTGAAGACTTACTTTGCTTCAAGTCCTGTGTTTGCTGCTGGGGCTCACAGAGATGAGTAAGACGCTGTTCTTGCTGCCAAGAATGCAAGCTTTTATTAAGACTTTATTACTGGGTTTTCAATAATCAGTCTCTCTCGATCCTCCTCCTCTAAAAACTGCCCCCCCCCCCCCCCCTTTCTCAGTCTATCTCTTGTCTCTCTCCATCTCTCTCTCTCTTTAAAAAAGGTATTACCACTGTAATTAGAATATGAACTCTGAGCACACAGTAAGGACATACCTAGAGCATTTTTAAGAGACTACTTGCAAGAATTATTGTACAAATCCTAAAAAGACACAGTAACAACAAAGGAAGTTTGAGAACATCAGTTAAAGACAAATATCATATGATGTCGCTTATATGTAGAACCAAAAAAAGGGTACAAGTGAATTTATCTACAAAACAGAAATAGAGTCACAGATGCAGAAAACAAACTTATGGTTACCATGGGGGAAGGGGGGAGGGATAAATTGGGAGATTGGGATTGGCATATACACACTACTATATATAAAAAATAAATAACTAATAAGGACCTACTATATAGCACAGGGAACCCTACTCAATACTCTGTAATGACCTATATGGAGAATGAATCTAAAAAAAGAGTTGCTATATGTATATGTATAACTGATTCACTTTGCTGTATAGCTGAAACTAACACAACATCATAAACCAAATATACTTCAATAAAAACTTTTTAAGAAATGAACGAATGTAAAGGCAAATAATAAAAGTATTGTGATGAATCTGTGTTGAATTGTAAGCTCTGAAAATCAGAAGAAATCATTAGAGATTTCATTCTTCTATCACCATCTGAACATGTGATACTCTAGTATTATTACAAGGGAATTAAAGTGAACCAGTTTAATTAAATCCAGATCTATCCTGGCTGGCCATTTTTCTGATTTCTTTGTCTTTTCTTAGTGTATCACTCACAACTGAATTATCATGCTCTCCAAATATTTATATGTAAATCCCCATCCCTACCCACATAGTACCTACAGGCAAAATAACCCCCTATTGGCATTCTGGTCTTACAATCTGATCACAATTCATATTGATGACAGCATCTATTACTCACAAAACCAAACAATTTGAAAGTTCTTCCAAGACAGTGTCCATAAATTATGCATACAACACATGACAAATACCCAAGAAACGGGTAATCTGACAAGTTCAAGGTGACAGCAATTAAAAAGAGAGATGCATATGTCTCAAAAGAATTATAGGTAAGGATATTGGCACAGGGAGTTGACAGGAATCAAGTAAATAAGAAACAGTTGACTACGTTTTTGATAGACTGTCCAGCCAAAGAGGTACTAGCTTGGTATCAAAGAGATGATGACAATTTAAAGCTTCAAAGGACCTCTTCCACCTTCCAACTTCCAGGAACGAAAGTAGGCTGAGAAAGTTGCTCAGCTGCCGAGGAAAGCATATTCTCTTATCTCCAGAGGTAGCCAAGGAGAGTAAGGAAAAGGAGTGAATTTTACTTTCCAGAGGGTGAAGCAGGAGCCACAAAACAGTTGCTTGGGTTGCCCTACCCGGGGAGCAGAATCAGGGCCTTATCAGGAGCATTTTCCATCCACAGTGTGTAGGACTCTTGCAATGTCTGACCATTCAGTTACAGAATTTCCATGCAACAGCCACTGCTGTGTGTCTGCCATTATGCCCCTTTCTAAACAGGAAAGTTTGGGTGGAAATTATTCTGTCCCTCTTCCAGTATTGAATGTTGGGTGTAGGGGGCAAGGTGGTTCAGAAATCTCCATATCAAAAGGAATCAATATAGAAATATTAGAAGACTCTAGATTTGAAATCTGTTGCCATGATTGAATGGCACTGGGGGGTATCCTCTTTGGAAATACATCCTCTCAGCATTTTTGAAAGTGAGAGAGGGAGGTAAATATTTAGGACAGAGATGGAGGACTGCAAATCACATAATTATTTCAAGTTATTCCCTTGCCTCTCTACATACGTCTGCTCCCGTCTCCACTCATTGCCCTGTGACTTGCAGTGCCTCCCCATGGAGGTGTGTACTTACCCCACTGACTTTGAGCTTGGCCACACGATCCGCTTTGACCAATAAAGTATGAGTGGAAATTTCAGATGCCAGCCCTGAAGAGAAGTTTTTAGAGGCTTTACGTACTTCTGCCAGCTCTTTTGTTCCCTCTCTGCGTTGAGAAAAACATGTTCCTCGTAGGGGCTGATCCTCCAGCCTGGCTTCTGGAATAAAGTCATGAGGGACAGAGCTATAGCCAACTTGCAGGCAACATAGGGCAAAATGTGTTGGTCAGATTCAAGCAAAGAAGCAGAACCACCAGGAATGATGTAGAATACGTAACTGTTCGAAGTAAGCATTGAATCTTAGATGACTTTATTTTACTTTTTCAGATATAATTATTATTGCTATTTAAGAGAATTGCTCTTAGAAGGGAAAGAATCTTCTTTTGGTGACAACACAAAGTCTGTGAAAATGCAGTGTGATTGAATATATGTTGAAAAAGGAAACCCTATTGCCAGTTGTTTACCACTGATCCGGCCGTTGGCTAGCAGAAGGATGTGAGTTACCGAAATGAACAGTGTAAACATACGCAACTGATCATACTCACAATAGGAAGAAAAATCATGCAACTTACTGTTTGCTTATAAAGATGCTACAGGGAATGCGTGGTTGCTGGAGGAGGTCATGGAGAGGACGTGACCAAAGGGTGACCCGTGGGCTGGACCTGGCTAATGGGAGGCTCCTCAACCTCTCCCCTGTCTTGGGAATGTTTGTTCTGCCTGCTGTGCAGGCAGTGGGAGCCATTTTCAAGGATGAAGCCTTGAGAGAGTAAGATGTTGTTGGGACCATCTGGACTGAATACGTGACTGAACCCCCTTAAAACCTCTATATAAACTTTGGAGATTCAGGCAGGTGCGTGCAGAGATCTACTCATCTTGCAGCGCCCAAGACAAGCCTCGCAGGTAAGTTCCCTTGTTTGTTTAACCTGCCACATACCAAGCTGGAGTTCTCTGCCTCTTCCTTTGGTGTCTCCTTGCCCTCTGTGTATGGGGGCCACGTTGTGAACCAAGAGTGTTCCAGGCCCTCTGAAATTATGTTAGATATACATATTGTATTTTTTATAGTTGCTCTGTGTTAGGTTTTTGAGGGAGAGGAGAGTCTTAGACAATTTTAGACACTGGCAAGAGAGTTTCAGTCTATTTGGCTGTTCCAGGGGTGCTGAACCTGACATTGTAGGACTGTTGCTCAGGATCAAGGGAAGCGGGGTGAGTAGGGACCACTGGAATCCCTGAAGAACCAGCTGGAACATGACTCTGTCTATCACTGAAACCCACGTTGGCCTCTTCCCATCTCTAAATCTCCAACTTCATGGCCGTGGATGCCCTGCTGTGGAGACACACTCACTTCTGGACCAGGATTTGGGAAGCTGAACAAAGCAGTCCCACAGGGACTGGAGCTTTGGGCCCAGTCCATGCAGTGAGCCAGCAGACCTGTGAAAATTTGTAGGAGTAGCAACGAAGCCTGAGCCACATGAACCTTCCAAGGACCACCATGGCTCCTGATGCATTCTCACTTTCCAACTCTTGCACTAACTGCACTTGTGGCCCATCCTAACCAGGGAATTCCGGGACATATGGTCGGCTTACCCACATTGACACATAAAGCCACCACGTGGGACGGTACCTGATTATTGCTACAAGCCACAAAGATTTGGGCTTTGACTTTTACTATAGCATAATTGTGATACAATGGCTGGCCTCTGTCTCCTTCTAGGACTAAGATCATTAGTCTTTCCAGGTGTTGGCCCATCTTCTGGCCCCCATAAAGTTCTGTGCTATGTGGCAAAGAGCCCAGCCAGACTTAGAAGGTGTCAAATCCTATTCATTCATTATTAAGTGCCTACTGTGCACCAGACATGATGCCAAACATAGAAACCACAATACCAAAGTAGAAAATCATGGTTCCTATTTTCCCAAAGCTCACAGTATAGCATGAGAGATAAATGTCAGTAAAAACCTGGTCCAGTTGCCGCAATTGTGATACACGTTCCAAAGGAAAAGCACAGTCAGCTGTGAGACCTAGAACCTGATCTGGGAGGTCAGAGAGGCTGCTCAGAGAAAGAACTATTTGCACCTAAAAGATGAACGGGAGAGACAGAGGCTGGGGAAGGAGATGGCAAGGGGCAAAGGAAATAGTGTGTTCAAAAAGCTTGAGGTAGAACCAAGCTCGAGAACCTGAAAAAACAGTCACAGTGGTTGAATTCTACAAAGATGGGGTGTGGTGAGGAAATGGAAAGGCTGGAAAATAGGTAGGACTGGACCCCACAGGACCTTGTAGTATTACAAGAGATTTTGAACTTGATCTGAGAGAGGAGCGAAGGCAAGCCGCTGAAGGATTTAATCAGAGGAGCAAAATAATCAGATATTTACACAGAGAGATCATTCTGGCTGTGGCTTGGAGAATATATTGGAGAGACGCCGGTGACAGAAAGTTGGTACCAAAGTCCAGACAAGAGAAGGTGGCCTCTGGAGCTCCAGAGCTGACAGTGGAGATGGAGAGAGTGTCTTATTCAGAGGCTACAGAGGGGATAGTGTTGAGTCCTCCTAGTTTCCTGACCCGAGCAGTAGAATGGAAGTTGATGTCATTTAATGGAACACAGAATACCAGAGGCAGGTGAAGCTTAGGTAGGAAGGGAGATCATGAGTACTTGAAGGATTTAAATAAGGATGCAGGTGTGTTTATTTATTGTTTATAGTATTTTTAAATTAATTCATCACACACACCAAGTTATATTAGCATTGCCCAAAATGCATTCACTAGCATCCTGCCCATCAAAAAACAGTCCATGAACCAGCAGCGTTTTCACCTGGAGCTGGTTAAAAATGCAGTCTCTATTGCTACCTCAGGTATTATGCTGTTCAGTAGATCTCTAGGACTTATTCATCTTTCATAACTGAAACCTTGTATCCTTTGACCAACACTCCCCGGTTTCCCCCTCCTCCCAGCCCCTGGCAACCACCAACCTACTTTCAAGCTCACAGTGGTTGTTGGCTGCATTCTTGGCTTATGGACTCAGGACCACAGTTCCTCACTGGATTTTGAGACAACTTTCAGATCCTTGCCACATGTGCTTCTCCAACATGGCAGCTTGCTCCATCCAAGTGTGTAAGCCCAGAAGGTTACAGAGAACCCAGCAAGACAGATGCTGCCATCTTTTGTGACCTAATCATAGTAGTGGCAACCCATCACCTTTTTGTCTTATTCTGTTTAGGAGAAGCAAATTATTAGCTTCAGCCCACACTCGAGGGGAGGGAATTCCGTAAGGATCTTTGAGGGCCATCTTTAAAAACTGCCTACCACAGACTAGATGGGCTCGCCTCCTAACAGCTTCCCTTGCCTGGGGGTGTTCTACAGAGGACCCTCCCTGCCTTTGGCCATAACCTCAGGGGGAAAGGAAACCCCAAGAAAGAATGAGATTAACTTTTCTGCCAGCCTGACGACTGGTGCCTCAGAAGGGAAGTTGATTTACAGAAAACAAGGAATCCATCTTGCACATCTGAGCTAAGGACTCAATTCTCATTATTTTTATCTCATTATTGCGCCAAGCCATTAAATTTATAATTGAGAAAGTTACAACTCAAAGAGATTAAGTCATAAATCTGAGGTCACAGCTACTATGGCAGACAGGGTTTGAATCTCAGTCTGTGTGACTCTCCATTACCCAATGCATCTCAGTGTTGCTGGAATGTCTATTTCTTTTATCACTGACAATAGCAGAGATTTGTAGGGACCCAACAGTAGCATCCAGCTCTTTAGCTCTACAAACATATAAATATAAAATTTTGAATGCCACTCACAGAGCTTCTTGGAAAGTCCAACCTTTGGTGGATCAACCTACTGGCACTGTGGACATTTTCAGAAGATCAAGCTCTGGTACTTGATAGTATTCTCAGTTTAATAGCATCAGTGCATGGTCACCAGTAATGATTTGGACAAAGCACTATGTACTACACTCATACTGAAAATAGCCAGAAGATGATAAGCAAGGTGCTGCTTCTCTGAAAGTTTTCCTTATGTTCTCACAGCTGGGATGACGAGTTAGCTCAGAAGAGCAACCCTCGAGTGACTGTGATGTATCCAGCGGGTCTGATTCACCCCCCACTGCTGGTCCAGGAGACAGCTTTCATCTTCACCATGTTCCTCAGCATGAATGCCACTGACATGAGCCCCACAGGAAGTATGACCTCATTCTGCCTCTCAGCAGAACGGTTACTCAGGCTGTTTTTTAAAAGAAAACAAGAGCAGTTGTAGGCTGCCTTTCCCAAGAACTACGAGCTCTTCTATTCTAGGAAACAGCCAAAAGAACAAGAGGCTGCCGAAGACAAAATTTCTCTGCAACGGCCTGCACAGGGCAATGTGTGCAGCCATCTTTTAGGAGGAGGACAAGGTGGGATTTTCCTTTCTTAACAGACTTCTGCACCTGTTGATACGCTGACGCTATTTTCAGCCGAAGAACTGCTAAGTCCTGGATTTCTCCTCTCTCAACCACAGGAAACTTCATATTTCAGTAATTTTTTTTGTTATTTATCAATAGGAAGAAGGGACTGGGAACTTTCTTTGGAAGGAATATGTATGGGCAGATTATTTTTCAGTACAGATGAGTTGTTTTGATGGAACTGGTAGATGCGATCTGTTTCTTGAAAAGTCTTAGAGCTGCAACTGAAGTCTTTTTCAGTGTTACTAATACTTGATTAACTATTAGTTGACTGTAGCCTGTTATAACTATTTGTAAGATGTAGCAGTAAGACCTTGCTTTCTGCTATGCAATTTGTTGGCTTAAAATTAAACTTGATGATTGGGAGTAACTAACATAGGGTAATTTGGGCTGGACAAAAAGTGAAAGGACAAGTGACATACTATTATGTTATAGAGCAAAAAATATTATTTTATATTCCAAGCCATTAAAATCTATGAATGTCTGCTTTGACTTAGAGATCTTCCAAGGAATGCCAGAAAGTTCTCCTGATTTCTCTTAAGGTCTCTGTAAGGTAGGATCTATATTGTCTAACAGGTTTTGTGTATAGTTTATTGAAAGAATCAATTTGAACTTATAGAATTATTTGGGTTTGTTTTAATGTGCGACAGCTACGAAAACAACCTATTACTAGTTATCACATTTGAAAAATGTGGATAGAGGTGATGAATCAGAAAAGAATTTAGTCTTACCTTACTATGCTACTAGGATAGTGATATACACAAAGTTTAATAGTCATTGGAAAGTAGATCTATGTCATGAGTGGTAAGTGATCAAAGTTTACCTAATCTACACACTTGGATATGTGTTTAATTTGTAACTGAGAAAGTAAATTATATGTTCAGGAGCACTGAGTTTTGAAATCTGCCCAGTGACATACTATTTTTAGTGCAATGCTACTTAGAAATGTCCAGGGTAGTAGTAACTAGAAAAGACCACCAGCCCTCTCTGTAACTACCTGTCAATGGTTTGAAGTGTTGGGTGTTGGACACCAACCCCCTAGCATTGTTTGAACTTGATAATGAAGTTGATGTGTGTTGGATGATGAAAATACAAATACATCTATTTAGAGGGTTCTAGAACCAATCTTTTTTTTCTGATTTCTTAATCAAATAATTAATTTTTATTATTTTATTTTGATTACAAGTCAACCTTTGTAAGTCTAGCCTTCCTGAATAAAACGTTGTGCTTATTTAGAGAAAAAGATTATTTAGATGCACTGAGCAACACAATGGAAAATGTAATCTAAAATCATAGAGGCAGACACAACCTCAGTGGCCCTTCAACCCTGCCTTCAATCCCATTGATCTCTGTACTCTTTCAGTAAACAAATCTGACTAGTGCAATTAGTAGATGCCATCTGTTTTGACTTCATCTTTCTATTTTTAATACGTAATCCACCTTTTTTTAATGTCTTCTGCAGAAAATCTGTGAAGTTTGAACAAGCAGCCTTCCCAAGATGAACCGAATATCTCAACTGATGTCAACACCAGTAGCAAGTAAATGTAGAACTGCTCTACGCAATTATCTTTTGAACGATTAGACTTCTTTTAGCAATTTCCTTGCTTTGATTTTGCTGATACTCATACCATTAACCATCTGTCAGTAGCTCGTGCTTCTTAAATGCCAGTGTTCACTTTGGCAATGATTTTGACTTCATTTCTTTCCTTGAGAGAAATGTGGTATTTTTCCTTTTAGTAGGAAAAAAAAAAATCACCATTTTTTGATGCCTGTGCATAAATGTGAAAGGGGATTGTTTATCAGTTACTATTAAGATGCAAAACGGTTGGTCTGTAAAAAAATACCGAATGATTTTGATAGCTACTTGGAGAAAATGTGGGCGTTGTTCAAACGGTAGTGGTTTCAAATTTCTTCCTTCCTCTTGTTATTTTCTCCCCAAACCCTGCTTCTACCCTCCCTCACACTCCTACAATTTTCTCCTTCAAATCCACCAACCCAATCTGAAAGTCTAAACTCCTTTCTTTGTCTTAGATATTTATTGTCAGTAATGGAACCAAGTTTCACTGAACCTGTCTATTAGAAGTATTCACACCATTACTATGCAATATAAAATGCTGCTTTAAAGTTTAGAATATTAATCAACTACGACTCTCCCCAGTTGAAATCTGTTGTCATGCCTTTGGTTAAATTGGAACATGAATGAATGCATGATCTATTTTTTAATTAAGAATACTCACAGGCGTCATACATTGGAAAATCATTTATATAAAACAAAACTTTATTTTTTTCCACCACTCGTCTTCTGCTCATTATTTTGTAATAGAAATGCCTTCAAATGCACTAACGAGAGAGAATCTAGGCAGATGATTGAATTCCTCAAATGACTGAGTAAGCTAAAATAACCAGAACGTTGGGTAATTGATTCGGGTTTGGGACAGCTTCACGTAAGATGTTTTCTTCTTCCTTTTCATGAGTCAGTTTGATGCTAATGGCATATCATTGCCTCATCCGAACTAAGGAACCTCTCAAGGAGAGTTGAGTGAGAGAAGAGACAGTAGATAGAAGCCCCTAGATTATGTCTTGCTGCCTGTAGAGACCTGGTGACAAGTTGTGCTCGTCCTGATTCATTGGATGGCTGCACCATTTGGAATCTCTGCTGAGGCTGGAACATCAGCTATTCACACCGTCCACAGTTTGCAATCATGCATGTTGATGCAGTGTGATAAATGTGTACTTCTCTCTCATTTACTTATGCAGATTCTTCCCCGTCTGAGAAAGAATACGCTGTAGAGCTGTCTCCCCCATGCATTTTCCCAAGGTATTCCATGGCGCTTTTCGCAAGAAAAATCAATCAAATTCTTTCTGTATGCGTTATTTTGTTGTATTCTTGGCTTAAAAATATTGGAAAATCCTTGGCGGTCCAGTGGTTAGTACTCGGCTCTTTCACTGCTGTGGCCTGAGATTCAGTTCCTGGTCAGGGAACTAAGATCCCGCAAGCCACGTAGTGCGGGGTATATATATTAGTTTTAGGTTTCATCCAGCTTTGGTATGGAGATATATTTCCAGTCCCATGCACATACAAATTGCAAACTTGCCTAACCTAATAAATGGAGTTTGGGAGGGAGGGAGGTGAGTGTGTGGGCAAACGTGAATGGTTTGTTTGTTTGGTGAGTGGAGAAACTACCGAATACCGATGCGTGGTTACTTTTTCTCAAATTGATGTTCTCTTAAATATGCTTTTACTGTCTCACTTTACAAGGGCCACAAGGGCCTATACCAGTGCACAAGCCAGCCAAATGTCATGCTCCACTAAAACCTGTAGAATCTACCATTCTGTTCACGTTCTGCAGTGAAGTCTCTTTTCTTTTCATTCCTTACTTTTTTTTTCTTTTCTTTTTTTCTGTTTCTCTGTCTGTCTTTTATTCCTCACACAGGCATCAGCCAATGTTTCCTCTAGCATTTTGTGAAACATGCCAGTGGTATAAAGGGATCATGCTTTGATATTAGAACCTGTCCCCTTTTGTAAATTCTAGGCCTCCTACCACTAGCAAATGCATCAGTCAAAGATGAACAGGCAGGTCACATGGAAAGAGCACATGCTTTAGAGTCAGAAAGACCAGAGTTCAAATCTTAACTCTGCCACTTACTAGCTGTATAAAATACCCAATTTATCTGCCCTTCTGCATCTCATTTTTTTTTTCCTGCTGTACTATAAAGATAATAATACTTAGCTTTTAGGGAGGTTTGTGAAAAGCAGATAAAGTGTGAAGTATGGGCCAGGCTCGTAGTGAGTTTTCCATAAATAATATCTATTTAAAATAGTATTTTGCTAACTTCAGTGCATGTAATAGTTGTGAATAGGCTTTTTTCTTTGACAGCACCAGTTTATTTTTTAAATATTTTATTGAAGTATCGTTGATTTACAATGTTGTGTTAGTTTCAGGTGTACAGAAAGTGATTCAGTTGTATGTATTCAGAATATATATATTTTTGCAGATTCTTTTCCCTTATAGGTTATTACAAAATATTGATATTGCTCCCTGTGTTATACAGTAGGTCCTTGTTGGTTATCTATTTTATATACTGCATGAATAAGCTTTAAACTTAAAAAAATTTTTCAGAATTTCAGTGAAGCATGAGGCATGAGGTTGCCTTTCAACCAGACAGACATGTGATTGTTTTTCAAACCTAAGACATATACAGACTCACCCAACTAAGTAGAAGACTTCCCTGGATAGCAAATCAGGGAGGGTAACTATGCAATCATTTGTGTGGTTGACCTGAGGGAAATTGGCAAAAGCCAAAAAGATCTCTTTGACTGCATGTTCTCCTATAATTCATATACATCTGGTCGTTGTGTAGCTGTGATTTATCTATTAGAGTGACAAGAGTAAGGATATAGCATTCAGAGGGTTATTTGAAGTAAGGGTGGGCTGGAGCAGGCTCTGAGCTTCCAACATCCCAGGTAGGCTGTTTTGCAATTTTTTTCCTTCCAAGGGTGAGGGGTATCATATGGTGAAGAAACTGATTAGCCCTAAGTTTTCATCAAAGTGTTTGAAACAGAAAGAAACACTAAATGTGCTGTAGCTCAGTTGTCTCGCAGGTAAAGAGATGAAAGTGAGAAGTTTAAGAGAGGCAGTCTCAGAGGTGCAGGAGTAGTTGGTAGCCGGGAACGCAAAGAGCTGGTTTTCCTTCACAGTGACTAGAAATGTGGTTTTTGTGCGCCTGGATGAACCGGACAGAGATTGAAAGGTCTTCTCTCATCCCCTCCTTGGTTTTGTCTGTGATTTCCTGGATGGCAACAGTCCCTTTGACTGCTGCCCCATAGATCCCCTGACAGGCTCCCACCTTACCTGTCGTCGAAGTCCCAGACTCCTCACCAATGGCTACTACATCTGGACCGAAGACAGTTTTCTCTGCGACAAAGATGGCAACACAACTCTGAGCCCCTCCCAGACCAGTGTCCTGTACAAGGAGAACTTAGTCAAGTAAGTAGAGGAGGTTAGGTACAAGGATCTGAAGTCCAACCCAAACGTTAATTATTCATTCATTCATTTGTTCATTCAACATCGTTTATAAGGAGCCCATTACTGCTCCAGTTGGTGGAAACACACAGGCTCATAAGGGGCAGGGGTGGTCGACATGAAAACAAAGGAAAGTAATGAAGCTGGGCTTCCCTGGTGGCGCAGTGGATAGGAATCTGCCTGCCAATGCAGGGGACACGGGTTCGATCCCTGGTCCAGGAAGATCCCACATGCCGCAGAGCAACTAAGCCCACGCGCCATAACTACTGAGCCTGAACTCTAGAGCCCGCGAGCCACACTACTGAAGCCCACGCGCCTAGAGCCCATGCTCCGCAACAAGAGAAGCCACCGCAATGAGAAGCCCACGCACCACAACGAAGACCCAGTGCAGCCAAAAAAAAATTAAAAATTAAAAAAAATTAAATTAAATTAAAAAAAAGAAAGTAATGAAGCCATACAGGTGCTGGGAGTGAAGCCTGATAGAGGTTAGCAGAGGGGAGAAGGAAAGGAGGCCCATTTTATTTGGAGCGACGGGTTAATACAAGCTTCTTAGAGATGAGGATGATTGATTTGAGTCTTGAGAGGCACAGGCTGTTAGTTAAGATAGATGTAGGAAAGAGGACTTCCAAAGGAGGTAACAGGCATGGAGTTCTAAGATACCCTGATACAAAGTGAGAGGAATGGCACGTAGTTTGGGAGGGCTACCACTTAGGGTGGAAAGGGCTGCTCTCCCAAGAGAGGAGACCAAGCCCAGAAGCAGGGCTGGATTGAAGAGGTTACATTCCAGCCTAAGAAGGTTGGGCTTTATTCTGTAGATAAAAGAGGAGCTATTGACAAACTATCAGACTGATCCTTAGCAAGATAACACTGATTACAAGGTAGAAGATGGATTGTTGGGAGTGTGGATGTGTGGGGAATCAAAATCTTTTGGAAATGCAATTACCAAATCACATCACCACCCACTCCCTTCCCCTTGACATACTTCAGTGATCTCCCTGTGCTCTTATGTTAAATTCCAACTCCTTCACATAACAGTCAAGGTTATTCATTATCCACCTTCTTTTTACCTTTCCTGACTCATTTCCTAGCATGACTCAATATGAGACTTCTTGTTCATATACCCCAGAAAGGCTCCCTTGACTCCAGATTAGCAATACCCCTCCTGGTACTCTCAAAGCAGCCTCGGTTAATGCGGTTAGAACACACATCCACAGAGCACAGTAATCCAGGGCAGAGAGGATGGAGCCAGACTGCCTGGGTTTGCACCCCTGTTGTGTCACTTACTAGCTGTATGACCTCAGACAAGTTCTTTAACTCTTTGTGCCTCAGTTTCCTGATCTGAGAAATGAGGTAACAGTAGCACCTACCTCACAGGGCTGTTCTGAGGATAATGTGAGTTACTATATGTAAATCACTAAGAAAGACACCAGGCACATGATGAGGTCAGTGAAAGCATTAGCCGTATCTGCATTATTTTTGCCTTTCTCCCATACTAGATTATGAACTTTTTTGACCCAAGGTTTTGTCTTTTATCTCAATATACTTGACATTGATCCAAGCACCTGGCACACACAGAAATTTAAGAAACTTCTCTGGAATTAATGGAGGAAACAAATGAAATGAGCTTCACGGACCTGAGTGTTAGAGATGTGCCCTGTGCGTCCATTTTCACTAAATTCTCCGCTTTGACCCTGAGTTGACTCCTACTCATTATTCACTTGGTACTTTCATTTCTCTCCAGAATATTTAGAAAGAAAAAGAGAATCCGCCGTTCTTTTTCTTCTCTCTTCAACCTCAGTGCCTCTGAATCTTGGCTGCATGGAAACACCTTTGTTAATGCTGACTCTTCCCCCAATGAGGACGTCTGGTTGGAGGGGGTCAGGAGGCTGGAAACAAACCATTGCAATGAAAATGGTGAGTCTGAACCTCTTTTTCCATGGTGAAATTTCCAAAAGGGAAGTAGCAATCATGTGGTCCTGGACCAATGGTGAGGAGAGTATGGGGGCAACGCAGTGGAGGCCTGGGGTATTGAGGGCTCTTCAGGATGTCTTCCGGGAAGGGGAGGAGGGAGACCAGGTCCCTTACATACACGCATTGGACTCTGATCACACTGATCTGCGCTGTTTCCTGAACACCGTGCTCTTCCTCAGTTCTGCCGCTTCGCTCCTGTTGTTCATATACTGGGATTCGTTCATTCATTCATTTGTTCACTTGGAAGATTTTATTGAGGGCCAACTAGGTATCAGGCATCGTTCTACACACTGGGACGTATCGGTGAACAAAACAGACAAAACTATTTGTTCGCACGCAACTTGCATTCCTGACAAGGAATGCAATGACGTAAATTACGAAGCATGCTGGAAAGTGGTAAGCAGTGTGGGGCAGCAAAGGAGGAAGTGATGGGCATTTCAAGTTTCGGTGGGGTGACTGGCATGGCCTTCCTGAAAGTGACTTTTGAGCACTGACTTAAACGTGGGAGTGAAGCATCTGGAGAGAAACAATCGGGCAAAGGAAATGCAAGTTCAAAGGTTCTGGCCTAGAAGCCTGCGAGGGGCTGAGTGAGTAAGGGGAGAAGAGAGGTCAGGATCTCAGAGGTGTATGGGTGGAGCAGCTGCGGAAGGACGATGAGACCTGTGAGACTATTTCAAAGGCTTTGCTCTCTGCTCCGAGTGAGAGGAGAAACCGCTGGAGGATTTTGAGCAGAAGAATAACGTGATTCACCTTACATTTTGACAACATAGCTCTGGCTGCTGTGTTCAGGTTAGAGGTAAGGTAGGTATAGAGGGCAGAAACAAAGAAACCAGTGAAGAGGTGTTAGAGTGACTCAGGTGGGAGAGAATGGCAGCTTGAACTAAGATGATAGCAGGGTGGCGGTGAGAATGGGAAGGATTCTGGATACACTTTGACGGTAGAGCCAACAGGATTTTGCTGTCGTGGGCTGAGAGAAAGAAAGAGAGCAGTCAAGGGTGCTTATTATATGCTAAGCACTTTACATCCTGTCTTGTTTATGTTATTTATGTATTATATTATTATTTATATATTACCTTGTTTATATACATTATCATGTTTAAATACCTCAAAGTCCTCTAGGAATTAGGTCATATTATCATATTTATTATCATTATGATAAAATTGAAGTTCAGGGTTAAGTAACTTGCCCATGTTCCTTTAGTTTATAAACAGCAGAGTTGGAATTCAACCTAGGTCTGTCTAGTTTGAAAGCCCAGCCTTTGCTCTGTTGCCAGTAAGGGTTTTCCTCTCCTTTCCAGCATATACCTCATAGCCCAGGCCCAAAGAGCAAAGCAAGAGGACTCACATAACACAACCACATAAGTATTTAAAGATATGGTCCTTACGTGTCCACTATTTTTCTCAACCTGCTTCCTGGGCAGACAGCTCAAATACTATATTATTTTTGTGAAAGCTTTTGGATTTGTAGTAATTACAGATTCATAAGAAGTTGAAAAATAAATAATACAGAAAGCACCTGTGTACCCTTCACCCAACTTCCCCTGCTGGAAAAACTTACTCAGTAGTGCATTATCAAAACCAGGAAATTGACATTGATGCCAGACCATGAAGATTCCACCAGTTTTTGTCTGTGAATGTGTGTGTGTGTGTTACACTAGATTCAGTTAAAAAAATAGAGTGCTTGTTAAATGAAGAAACAATTCCTTATGTTAACAAACTAGTAATTAAACTGAGTGTATCCTCGTTCCCCACAATAACAAGGATGATAAACAGGACAAAGATAAAAGAAAGAGGCAGGGATGTGGCGGGTGAGCCTGGAATGATAGACTGAAGATATCTGAAGAAACTTCTGTGCCGTGTTGAGGACTTTGGGTTTTGTCTAATCAATCAAGGATATTTTAGAAGCCTATTTTATTTTATTATTTTTTATTGAAGTATAGTTGCTTTACAATATAGTGTTAGTTTCTGCTGTACAGCGAAGTGAATCATTTATACGTATATATCATATATACGTATACTTATATATCTCCTCTTTTTTAGATTTCCTTCCCAATTAGGTCACCATAGATCACTGAGTAGAGTTCACTGTAAGTTCTCCTTAGTTATCTATTTTATACATAGTAGTGTATATATGTCAATCCTAATCTCCCAGTTCATCCCACCCCCTTCCCCCCTTGACGTCCCTAAGTTTGTTCTCTACACCTGTGTCTCTATTTCTGCTTTGCATATACACTCTTTTTGATATTCTTTTCCATCGTGGTTTATCATAGGATACTGAATATAGTTCTCTGTGCTACACAGTAGGACCTTGTTGTTTATCCATATCTAATAGCTTACATCTGCTGGTAGAAGGCTCTTAAGCAGGGCAATGACACAATCAGATTTAGATGTTTAAAGATTGCCTTTACAGCGCCATGAAGTGAAGATTGGATGGAGGTACCTAGTGGGAACTCAGAGGCAATTAAAACCAGCTGGCACACCAGGGACCGTGGCTCTGGAAATAGAGGGAAGAGATTGAAGGAATCTTTTTCAAGGTAGAATTGACACGCTGGTGACAGATCGAATGTAGTGATGAGAAAGTGGGAGGAATCAAAGAAAACGGATGTGTTTAATTCGGGGAACTGCATGAAAAGTTCTGCCTGTCACCAAGGCCTGGAAGACAGTCGGGCCGAGTTTGAGGAAGATGAGCTTTTGAGCTGAACGGACCTAAATGCAAGTCCTTGAATCACCTTCTCCAACCTGAGTGTTCTCGGGGAAGTTAGTTAACAATCCTGGTCTTCTATTTCTATGTATATAAAATAAGAAAAATAGTAACGTGGAATTGCTGTGAGGATGAGATGCAATAATTCATGGAAAGGACATATTAGTACAGGGTCTGGTGTCCTGCTCAATATGAATTAGCTATAAAAAGGCAAAAAGGAACAGATTGGGGTCAGGAAAAGAGACCCTGAATTCTGTTTCTTGTGAGTTTAATTTGTTGTACTTATGGGAAGTGGACAGATAGCCAGTAGGGGTTTGGAAGTGTAAGAAAAGAGGTCAGGAGTGAGGAAGGATCTGGATATCGATTTGGAAGCCAGTGTGAGAAGTAGTAGAGGTCTTTGGAATAAAGGAGGAAAACAAGTGGATGAGCAGAAAGGAGAGTTAAGAAAGGGATTTAGGAGGTTAAACAGCAGCTCTAGTAATAATTATCCCTGATAGTAATGAGGGCTATGGACCAGCATCATTGCAACAAATCCATTATGTTATGTCATCACTTCTCTCCAAAGTCTATGCGCGAGTATTAGTTGTGTGCGTGTGTGTGTGTTAGGAACATAATGTAAGATTTACCCTCTTAGCAAAGTTCTAAGTATACAACACAGAATCGTTACCTATAGCCACTGTGCTGTACAGACCTCTAGGATTCATTCATCTTGTGGAACTGAAATTTGGACTACGGAAATCATGCAGCATTTCTCCCGCTGTGTCTGGCTTATTTCACATAGCACAATGTGCTTCAGGTTCATCCATGTTGGTGAGGATGTGGAAAAAAGGGAACCCTTGTGCACTGCTGGAGGGAATGTAAATTAGTACAGTCGCTATGGAAAACAGTAGGGAGGCTCCTAAAAAAATTAAAAATAGAACTACCATGCCATGTGATCCAGCAATCCCACTTCTGGATATATATTCACAGGAATTGAAATCAGGATCTCAAAGAGTTATCAGCATTCCATATTCATTGCAGCGTTACTCACAATAGCAAAGATATGGAAACAATCTAAATGTCCATCAGCAGATAAATGGGCAAAGAAAATGTGGCATATACATACAGTGGAATGTTATTCAGCCTTATAAAAGAAGGAAATCCTGCCATTTGCAACAACATGGAGAGAGTATTATGATTATCCCCATTTTACCGAGGGGAACGCTAAGGCAGATTAGATCCTTTTCATGGGGCCGTGCAACTAGTAAGTAGCATAGGCTGGCCTCAAACCGAGGAATCTTGAGTATGTGCTCACCATGCTACACCCAGGACAGACACGGTGGGGAAAGTTTCTCAGGCAGAGGACCAGAACAGCATGATGCCATGAAAGAAGAGCATATAAAGAAATGACTAAGGGTGTGCCGCTTGCGAAAGAGGTCAAGTGTCCTGCAGCCTTAAAGACGTCTCTGGTAAAAAAAGTTATGCACGGCATCTTCCATCAGAAGGCAACTAGAATGCAGCAGAAAATAACACAACAATGTAAAGAAATCATATTCCAATGAAGATGTTAAAAAAAAGAAGAAGGCAACTAGAGGTGATCCTGCCAACTCTTGGCATCCCGGACAGATTGTGGCACGGATACCTACAGTGAGAAGGAGCCCTCCTTACTTTTTAATTGAGATATAATTCATACCATAAAGTTTACCATATTAACATGTACAATTCAGTGATTGTTTTAGTATATTCACAAAGTAGGTTATGAAACCATGACCACTTTCTAATTCCAGAACATTTGCATCACACCAAAGAGAAACACCGTACTCGTTATCAGGCATGCCCCATTTCCTGTCCCCCTACCCATTAGCAGACCATTAGCCTACTTCCTGTCTGCATGGATTTGCCTAATTTGGACTCATGACTTTTTCTTTTTCTGGAGGAAAAATTAAACCTTATTTATTTTTAAAAACCAGAAACACTAGGAAAATATATCACAGCCTTGAAACAGCAAAGAGACAGGCTATATTAGCATTTCAAGTAATTAAGTTGGTAAAAAGACAACAAGGTCCTAAGCAAAACAGTAAGGTGCCAGAGCAGGGGCAGGAACACTGCGTGTTGCAACAGTCCTGACAAAAGTGGTGTTTGGTAATGGTTGGGGGCCTGCCCATCTTCTGCCCTAAAGGAATCACAGCTCAGCCCTGAGTTGCTTACTTTTTCTTCCATGACCTTCGTGTTGCCAACGGATTGTCTCAATAGAGTTCTGTTATTTCAGGGGGCAAAGTCAGCAATATTGGGGCTTAGGCTTTCATTCCATTCTGTTTTATAAAAACCAGGTTTTTCCAAATCCAGTACTTCATGACTCTCCTAATTTCACCATTCTTTCCTCTATACTAGTATACAACACAATGAAAACCCCCTTGACTTTTAAGGGTGGGCTGCATCTTCCTCTCATTGGTAGCACTGCTGCAGTAGTGGCTGGCTTCTGCTGACCTATCTTATGCACTTGGACCATCCATCTCTTGGTCCTAGGCTGACTTTCTGGAACACATGGGGCAAGTCTCTTCTTGGTTCTAAAGCAACGTTTTCCCAAAGTGTGGGTGAGGCAGCAGACGCCTCTAGGACACGACAGTAGTGAATGCTGAATCTCTCACTGAGACAGAAGCTCTGACTCTTCCAGATCTCACCATCTTTCTCATAAAACCAAGGAGAAGGGCTCAGATGAGAGCCTCAGTTGCTTTAAGACTCTTGAACACTCACTACTCTCTCTTTTAACAAAGAACAGACTCAGAGCTCTCCCCTACAAAAGTATTTAGTGCAAATTAAATAAGGTCTCATTTTCACTGTATTTGGTTTTGTTTTTTGTTTTTTGCGGTACGCGGGCCTCTCACTGTTGTGGCCTCTCCCGTTGCGGAGCACAGGCTCCGGACGCGCAGGCTCAGCGGCCACGGCTCACGGGCCCAGCTGCTCTGCGGCATGTGGGATCTTCCCGGACCGGGTCACGAACCCATGTCCCCTGCATCGGCAGGTGGACTCTCAACCGCTGCACCACCAGGGAAGCCCTGTATTTGTTTTTATATTTACTTTTTCTTTAGGACATTTAAATGATTGATATAAAGTTTCCTTTAAAGTAAAAGACTAAAGTGAAACAATTTAAGAAAATATGAAATGGCTAGGAGTTAAGAAGGCTCCGGGATGTGGCAAAAATCAGGAAAATGATGCTTGGATGCCTGAAGTTTGGGAATCACTGTTCTAAAGGCAGAGTTTCACATATTTGTAAATCAACATCTTGTTTTCCCATAGTTGCCTCTTCAAAATATGTCCAAACAACCTTAAAGCAATTGGACCACAGCAGCACCGCACGTGCATGAGGTATCTTGTTAAAATTCTCATGGTTTCCAAATATCTTCTAAATATAACAAATCAAACCACCCCCCTCCAAATCAGTAATTAGTCAACCCCGGGTGCGCACACACAGGATTTTGAAAGCTCTCATTTCTGCTGTCAATTGTAATCAAATCTTCCCCAGACTTCTTATTTTCCGGATTTACCCAAAGCCCCGTGACTTTTATCAGCAATTTATTTTTCTCTGGAAACATCGCCGAGTTAGAAGACTAGAGAAGAATTCAAAATTAAATTGTTTTGCTGTTTTCTCTCTGGGCCATGGATGCAATCAAAACTTACTTCCTCTGATTTCCTTTTGCTTCATTTTTCAGGCTAAAAATGTTTTTCTTGTTGTTGTTGCCTATTTTGTTTATCCTTGGCTCACCCCTTCCACAGCTGTGTCGAGATACCTTTCCTCATTAGCTGCAATTCATTCTTTAGCCATGGCATTCTGTGGCTCCCCAGACCCAATACTGCAATTTGGGATGCATCCCCAGAGCCCGTGAGTCATACTGATAGAGGATCTAGGATTTGTGCAGGGAGGACGAATCAGGACTTCCCGGTCTATTTCTGCCAGTCCCAAGAAAGAAAGACAAGATGACCTCAGACAAGGCACCCTTGCCTGAGGTCTGCGATTTTCTCTTGATCCAGCGCCTTTCCGTAAACATCTTTAATGGCAACATCTGTATGTCACTTTGTGTTTCCCTCTATAGCAAACAAATGCCCATTCTACATTGCAAGGATAGAGAATGTGCTCGGGAGAAATGGATTCCTCCTTTTAAAACAGGAGTCAACTACCCTGCATTTAAATAAATCAGGAGGAACAGAATGAAATTAATATCTTCAAATATAATACCAAAGAACTATTTACTGAAATGTTTTCTGCATTATGATTCTTTCATTTATTATTAAGGTTAGAGGGAAAAAAATGTCAGTGAGGGGAAGCGTGAATTGGGGGCAAACCTTGTCCTTTCAGAGATGAAAATTCCTTGATCATTTTTTGTTAAGATTCTTTTGTGGTTTCTCTTTTTAATGTCAGCTCTTCTTGCAGAAAATTCTGTGTAATATTTCCAGTATGCTACACGAGATACATTTTTCTTTCATCTCACTCTCAGTGGCAAAGCATAAGTTCAACAGAGCAGCCTTGGACGACAGCACAGGAATATTTTTACTCTTCTCACATCCTCAACCATATCTCCCCAGATCTTAGTTCAGTGCCATTCATGAATATATAATCAGCCATGAAAGTTACCAGTTCCTTCTCACTTCCATGTTAATTTGACCACATAGCTTCCTCTCTTTTTTTAAAACAGCTTTATTGAGGTATAATTGATACATGCAGATGTACTTATTTAATGTGTACACTTTGATGAGTTTGGACAGTTGCAAACCCCCTGATACCATCACCAGAGTCAAGGCAACAGACATCCAACACCTCCCAGAGTTTTCTTGTGTCCCTTTGTGGAGTCTTTTGTTTCTGCGGGGGTTTTGGGGGGAGTCTGTTTTTTGTACTAAGAACAAAAAGCGAGATCACCCTTCTCAACACATTTTGAAGTGCATAAAATACCTCATTGACACCTATAGCCACTATGTTCAGCAGATCTCTAGAACTTATTCATCTAGCATCACTGAAACCTTATAACTGTTGAACAACTCCCCATAGCCCCCTCCCCCCAGCTCCTGGCAACCACCATTTTATTCTCTGCTTTTCTGATTTTGACTATTTTAGATACCACGTGTGTAAGTGGAATCACGTGGTATTTGTCTCTCTATGACTGGCTTATTTCACTTAGCATAATATCCTCCTGGTTCATCCACAATGTTACAAATGACAGGATTTTCTTTACTCATTTGCCTATTGGTGAATACTCGGGTTGTTTCCATAACTTGGCTGTTGTGAATAGCGCTGCAATGAACAAGGTCCAGGACCTCCTCTGAAACTTGATCATTACTGGACGCTCTGCATGTTTCACTTTCTACTGTTTCCTTTTTCTATGGCAACCAGCAGGGATGCTTCTGCAGATTGCTTTGTTAAGAGGCAGCAAGTTGTGGGTGGGAGGGTGGGAGGCAACCTGCAGGGTTGGCAGGAATTCCCGTGTCCAGAAGCATCAGTTCATTAGCTCAGTATCCAGGCCTGTCTTGTGCATTATAGGATGTTTCACAACATCCCTGGGTTTTATTTCCTTAGATACCAGTGACACCCCATCCCTTCTCCTCTGCTCAAGTTGTGACAACCCAAAATGACTCCAGACATTGTGAAATGTCCCCTGGGGAGAGAAATTACTTCTGGTTAAGAAGCACTGTTATATGAGGACCCCAAGTGTCTCTTGGAGTTCCACAGTCATTCCCAGCTTCCAAAACGGGGAGGGGCCTCTCTCCCATCTCTCACTGCTGAGTGAGCACTTCAACACACCAGGTACCTCCTGTTACACTCATGCTCCAAGTTGCCCTCAGGATAAATCTTAGCTCCTGAGTGAGTGTGACCCATGAGGCCCTTCGTGATTTGACCCCCTCTTAGCAGTCCAGCCAGAACCATCTTCCAGGACTTCCTGCCTGACCACATAGGAGGCCTCCCTCTTCTGGGAACCTGCCACGTTCTCTCCCAGGCTGATGTCTTTCCTTCTCCCCCTCCTCCTCCCCCTCCCTCTCCCTCCCACCCCCCGCCCCCTCCCCCCCCCCTCCCCCCCCCCCCCCCCCCACCCCCCCCCCCTCCCCCTTCCCCCTCTCCCCTCCCCCTCTCCCTCCTTCTCCTCTCTGCCTGGCCTGCCCTCCTCCTGCTGTCTCTCTGGAAGCACTCCTACTCATCCTTCAAGTTTCCACTTCAGCACTCACACACTCCCTCCTAGGCTCCATCTGGACACCTTCTGCCAGGCTTCCACATAGCAATGACCTCGTTGCCTCTTAGCTGTGGGCTTGTGTGCCTGTCCCTCTCCAACTGTGAGTGGGGCACAGCAGTATCTACTTTGGCTTCCGACTCTCAGCCTCTTGAGCTGTGTCCTGTGTGCAGTTATACAATAATTCTGCATTGAATGAATCAACAGATCCGCCCGCCCTGGGGCTCATGAAGCTTTTGCCTTCCCCTCTACCCTGGCTCCCCTTCCGAAACTCTGGCTTGGCATCTTCTCTGGGGCTGTCACCTGTGGGCTGCCTTAGTCACTTTATGATCCAGACATGCCATGAAAATAGAGGTTAGGAAAAAAATATCTCTGCTCGTTCAGTTCCAATTCTCTGCCCTTCTTGAGACTATTGTTATGATCATTAGTCACCGAAAACACACACACACACAAACACACACAAGCACTGATCCCTTCTGCTCTTCCAGGAGGTGGTTTGGACTGTTCACTGATGGATAACTGGAAGTCGGAGAAGCTAAATGCAGAGTCTGTGAAAACCTCCTTTTCCAGCCATGTCACCTCTCGGAGTCCCGGAGAAAACTCCCACAACCTGCCTCCTCGGTCCCAGTTCACAGCTTCTGAACCTTTCCAGGAAAACATTTTGGATCATCCAAGTGAGTTTTTTTTTTTTTTAAATCTTTGCCACACCCAAATAATTCTTCCTTTCAGGGCCCAGAGATGACTATATCCCCTTAGGCGCTGGTATCAGCCTGTGCCCATGTGATGCATTCGCAGAGAAGGTGATTGATTTGGAGGTGTCATCTTTGAGGCACCAGAAGGACTGGATTTGCAGTGTTATTTATTTTTTAAAAACCCTGAAGACATTTGGCAAGATGTTAAGCTTGGCTAAAGCGGAGTCGTGCGTACACAGGTGTACACTGTTATCATCTTTATACTTAGCTGTGCATTTGACATACACTATAAGAAGAAAATGAAGGGAAGAAAGAAAAGAACGTCCTTTCATGCTATGCCCCCAGCAAGGAAAGTCAAAAGATATCCAGGCATTGTTATTTCCTGTCAGTAGTAAATCTGAAATAAATTCAGCAGGCATCTCCCTTAATCTCTAGCTTGCTAATATCAGATTAATCATGTTTGCACACAGTGTCGCCTCCAGGCTCTATCTTCAGCTTGCCAAGGTTCAAAGCCCAGTGCCCATTTGTTGGCTGGAACTCAGAAGCTGTTTACCCAACCCTGCAAAATTTCACGTTTTCATCTGTAAATGGAGATAACCATAGTGCTTACCTTGTAAATGACTAAAATAATCCGTGTTGAGCACTTAGCATCGTGTATACTAAGCACTTCAAAAATGTGACGTTATGATTACATAAGATTGAGGTTAAGTGGAAAAATAATATCTTCTCTTTGTTTGCCTTCCCCAAGTCATGAATATTTATTTCACTGACCACTTCTACTCCCAAAGACCAATATGCTCTGCTTTATTTTGTCCCAGTGCAGCTATTAGATAAGTGTTGAGGGTTTTTTAGTTCCCTTTCAAGGTGTTGGGATGACAGAGAAAGCAGTGTTTATTTTTTAGACAGTTCCTCGGTGATCAACACCTACTAAGGCTTCACAGCCACCTCCTCCAGGGAGTCCACCCTGTTTTCTGAGGAAGAGGTGTTAAGTGACCCCTTTTTGTGTTCCTCCATACCCATTTCCTGCACTGCTCTTGCATGTTTACTTTTGTATCTCACCCATCATGCTGTGAGCTCCTTCAGGATGGGCACCATATCTTAGGCATTTGTAGATTTTAAACTTACCCAGGTAGTGCTTGGCACAGAGCACGGGCTCCATGACTGTGGTGGACCAGTTAAGTGTGCTATCTCCATTTTACAGATAAGAATACTCAAGTTCTGACAGGCCAAGTAAGCCTCTGTACATGTTCTGTGTTGTATCTAGAATGTCTCCCACGGGCTATACCTGGAAGACCCCTGCTCTTTCTTCAAGGTACAGTTCAGAGGAGACCGCTTCTGTGGGGCCTTCTCTGCCCCCTGCTGGGGCCTTGAGGTAACACTTGGCTTCCCTGAGACGCCATAGCACCCAGCACCGGGTATCTATCTCTCTGTTGACGCCATCTTCCTTTGCCTCACCCGTCTATGAAGCCCTGAGTGGACAAGGTCTCCGTTTGATTCTATTTTATCTCCTTCACATGTAGGTCTTGAGTGTGCAGGCTGTTTCAGGTGATGGTTCATATGCTGGGGATATAGGCATGCATGGCATCATCTTTATCACTCAGGGCTTTTTGAGTTCCAGCAGATGGCAATCCAACTCAAAATGGATTGATCAATCATTGAATGTATTGCTTCATATTATTAAAAATTCCAGGCAAACATTTCAGGTTTCTGTCAGTCTCTACAAGTCTCTTTTCTTCTGTGTCAGCTTCACTCTTTAAAATGCTACTCACTACTCCATGGTAGTTCCTGCTGGCTCTGTACCTACAACTTTCCATGTTCAAGGCCAGCAGAAGGAGATTATTGGCTTCTCAAGTTAGGACCAAAGGGCAGGCTTTCTTGGTTCAGGAAGGGTCCCCTTTACATGGCAAAACCAATCCCTTTGTCAATAAATATGTAAAGCTCCAAATGGCTTGGAGTGGATCAAAGACTGGGAGGGAAATCAGTCTGTCCATGGGCACCATGTACTAGGAGAAGGGGAGAGGGGGCTTCCCAAGGAAAATATGGGCACTGCCACCAAAGAGCAGCCAATAGATGCTGGCTATTCTCAATAGTCTGGTGGGGAATCGTAGAGAAAGAAAACAGCAATTTTAATTCAGTGTGAAAAGGTTGTTGATGGAGACAGGCATAAGGTATAATGGGATTATAAAGAGGGAGAAGCTAAGGGCCAAGAGGGAGTTGAAGGCATCCAGGAAGGCTTCTTCAAGGAGGTTACACGTGAACTAAGCCAAAATCAATGCTACGTGAGCGGCTACTGATGGAATGAATCAATGAACACCTTGTCCACAATCACACAATGCATATCTTTATAGAACTTGAATTTAAACCCAATTTTCCTTCAATATTCAAGTCTAGTGACCTTTGCAGTCAAGCTAGACTTATTTCTGTGAGAAAATGGGTTTCAAATTCTGCTTGAAATCAGAGGAAGCTAAGAATAGAAACATACTTTAGAAGGATGGTTGAGTGTTCAACTGAACCCACAATAACTTATCTAAATCACAGTATACATGAAATACTGTACATTTGCAGTGATGTCATTCACAACTGCTATATTTTGCATTGCCGGTCTCCAGTGTTCTGCCTGCATTATGGACTAAGTAGGTTTCTGTTAGCTGACTCGACCTCCATTCAGAGCACAAATGGCAAAAATAAACGCGTTCATAGCTCAAAGTCATTCCAAGTTTTAAACAACTATTTAAACAAAAATTGAGCTTTTGAAGCATTTGGCAAAGATTAAGCTGAGGTTTGTTCTATTTTCCTTTAGATCTTTATGTGGCGATCCTTAAACTAGCTCTGATTTCTTTTAGGTGATTAGAATAATACTCAGGGTCACAACTGGTTTAACTCTTCCATTTATAACTTCTGGAGGATTTGCAGTCATTTCCACTGTGGCTTAGTAGCACTGAAATATTTTACGATAGCAAAGAGTTTCAGAAGGACAGATAGTTCCGAATATTTATTCTCTTTTTTTGCCCTTTAGAGACTCCCAGCATGCCACGTTGCCATTCTCTTTCCCCGCCCCATTTTAGGCAAAACATGGTGTTCTGGCTAGATGTGGTTTTTCAGTCTTGGCTCTAGCACCTCATAGCTGTGTGACCTTGGACGAATTTCATCATTTGAAATTTGGTCTTCTCATTTGCAGAACTGTGATAATGGTTCCCGCCTCACGCTTTTGTCGTGTTGATGAAATGAACTGATGTAGGAAAGCTCTTTGTGAATCATAAGTCACTCCACAAATTTGAGGCATTAATATTATTATCAATATCATCCCAGTTAGATTTCTGACATTAGCATACATTCTAAAAAGCCTTTCCCCAACATTAAAGTAAAAGGCAAGCCCCAAACTGTTTATGTAATGTAATCATTTATTTTTTTAGTGATAGGACAAAACTGATCATTTTCAGGAAATTTGTAATGAATGGCCCTGTACAACATTTGATAATTTTATCTTATTACTTATGACAAATTACTTGAGCTGACATACATTTGAAAACCATGTTTTTGAGTTCTAATTCATTTCTTTTTATTTTTCCTATTAGAAACCAGTTTGTTAGGAGAGGTCTCCTTTCAAGCAACTCTGTTTGCTGCATGCTTAATTATCTCTGCCTGTGCAAGGTAATTCAGATTTTATGTTTATGCGGTTGTGTTTCATACTTAATGAAGCTGTAATTGATTGATGATTTCCTTACCTTGTTCCGCAAAGCATTTTAGGTAGCTCTGTGGTTAAGATCTGTTCATTTGTCTGTCCATTGCCCTTTTATCTATCACCTCCCTCCTCCCATTATCTCACAAGACATACCAAAGGCAGTGGATCTTGCTAGAAATTGGATTTTTACCATGCATTATCCTTCGTTTAAATCCTCAGTGACTCCCTATTACAGATACAGTCTAAGTAACCCTACTTGGAGTTCAAGGGCATGTGAAGTCCCCACAATGGAGTCCCATTGGGACTCCATCTTTCCCATTATATTTTTATATCCTCACATGAAATGTCTCCTCAGCATCTCAGAGGACATAACGCTCTTGCCTGGTTATAGGCACGTTTCTGTTCTACCCTCTGTCCAGCGTGTCCTTCCTATTCTTTTCTTGCCCAAGTCTCCAGGGCGGTGGTCAAGTCCCATCTGAGCTAATCCCACCTGTGCCTCAGAGCCTTTGTGCTTGCTATTTATTCTGCCTACTACAGTCTTTTTCTTCTGGAGAAACAATAACTTGTGCCCTTAATTCTTTCTGAAATCTGTCCAAATGTCACAAACATTGTCAGAAAGCCCTTCCCTGACAACCCTGTATAAATAGAATACCATTCTCTATCACACACATCTCACTTGGCTTTTCTTCGGAGCCTTTATCACCACCTGACCTATTATGTGTTCACTTGTTTAAATGCTAATGATCCGTCTTTCCCTATAAGATTGCAAGCTCCTTGAGGACAGAGACACTGTGCTAGGGCCTCATCGATATTTGTTGAAACAATGAAACAGGGATGAATGGTACCTCCTGGGGTCTTTGTGGTCCTTGAACTCCAGTCACTAAGTGCTGCTTCCTCTCAAGTCCCTCCTGTTGATGATCAAGTATCTCACATCCCACAGTCCACTTGGGGGAGTTGTATTTTTAAATACGAAGCCCTGGATCCCATCCCTTGAGATACCAATTTAGATCGAGTGAGAATCCATACTTTAAAACAGCTTCCCAGATAATTATGAGGTTTGAGAAGTATTTTTAGATCATAATGGAACCAGAAGAACACAAAGGGGTTGGGGGGAGTCCTGTAGTTAAAAATACATTTGCAAAATTCTGCATTATATATCCCAAGTTGGAGGATCACAATGTGTATTAGCATAATAAAGTCTCAGTGAAATAATGTGGTGAAGAAACCTGTTTAGCTTTATTTAACTTAGCTTTTCCCAGACTTTGCTGATCATGGAAACTTTTCTTTATTTCATAGGACTATTAATAAAGTGTTCCTCTTAGGTTAATTTCTGTAGAAACTCCTCCCTTAAGAGGAGAAATTGCCTCCCCATCACTTGAGTTTGAGCTACCTTTGGAAACTTGCTTCCAAGCAGTAGTGTTTGGAAAGAGGGGGAAAAGGAAACTTTTCAGTTGAGAAAACTGACACATGGTACCTCAGATGATGAAGGTCAACATCAAAAGGTATGAGTAGTGTTGATGGCATGTACCCTTCATATGATGAGAATGGCACTCCACCTCTAGGGTCTTCTGAACCCCAGTCTAACCATGAGAAAAACCCAACTTGAGGGACACTCTCCACATTATCTGACCAGTACTCCTCAAAACCATCAAGGTCATCAAAACCAAGGAGAGTCTGAGAGATCATCACAGCCCAAAGGAACCTAAGGAGACATAATGACTAAATGTCATGTGATATCCTATGTGGGATGCTGGAAAATGTATCAATTAGGGAAAAACTGTAAAGTTCAAATGAAGTGTGGAGTTGAGTTATTAGTGATGCGCCGATGTTGGCTTCTTATAATTATAGCAAAGGTACCATGTACTGTAAGATGCTAATAACAGAGGAAGTGGATGTGGGGTATGTGAGAACCCTTTGTATTCTTTTTTGCAATTTCTCTGTATATCTAAAGTTGTTCTAAAGTAAAAAGTGTAGTTAAGTAAATAACTGTTTTTTTAAAAAAGAACTATTCCTATGGGCAACAGCATGGATGAACCTCACGGATATTATATAAGTGAAAGATGACAACAGAGTCTATATGATTGTCAAGAAAAGGCAAGACCAATCAGTTTCTATAGATGTAAGAATAGTGGTTAATTTGGGGGGATAAAGTGGGAAAGATCAACAAAGGAAACCTTATGGGTTGCTGGAAATATTTTATTTCCTGCTTTGGGTGATTACAAGGGTTTATATTTTTAAAAACCCCAAAATGTGCACTTTATATGCTTTAGTGTACATTTGCTAAAGCTCAATTTTTAAAAGTTTTTAAAATGCCTATGAAGAGATGTCTGAGAAGATATTTGTCAGAATTTAATAGTGAATGCTTCAGGGCGGTGGGAGTTTTTTGGTGACATTTTCCTCTTGTCTTTGTATTTATTTGCAATCTCTTTCCATATTCATATTTTGAGCACAAAAGCTATAAAAATATTATTCTTCAAAAAGAAGAAAATCCACTGTGTGATACAATCATCCATCAGATTGACAAAAACCCAAAAGTTTAACACCCTCTTTTGTCAAGGTTATGAAGCAGTAGGCATACAAAGTTTCTCCTTTTTTTTTTCCTAGAAGTTTTGTACTTTTGTGGTTTACATTTCAGTCTATGACTCATTTTGAGTTAAATTTTGTGTTAAGGTGTGAAGTCTTTGTATAGGTTCGTTTTTCTGCATGTGTCTAAACGATTATTTTGACACCATTTGTTGAAAAGACTCTCCTTTTTCCATTGCATTGCTTTTGCACCTCTGTTAAAAAAATCACTTAACTTGTATCTGTATGGGTCTATTTCTGGAACTTCTATTCTTTTCCGTTGATCTATATCTCTATCCTTTTGCCAATACTGCACTATCTCTATTACTGTAGTTTTATAGTAAATCCTAAAATCATCCATCTATGGTAAATCTAAAAGAACATCTTATGTGTTGGAAATATACAATTAGTTTGCTAAGCCTGAGCAATCCTGCTCTTTCAGATGGTTTCTGGGAGGAATCATAGCCAGTGTCTTCACATGCTCCTTGGTGATAACCATTGCTTGTAAGTAACCGTTTCCCAAATTACTGCTCTGATTCCTGTATTTCATTCCAGTTTTGGGCATTTAAAAATACTTTCTCTTTTTCCTCCAAGATGTCGTCAAGTCATTTCTTCTCAGCCTTGCCAACTCTTTCAAAGCCACCACCTGCACTTGGTAAGTGTTGCCTGTGTTAGCATCATCTGTACAAAGACGACCACAGTCTGATATCTGAGAATGCTTTCTGCTGAGTAATGGATGGCAGTGACTATGTACAAGAAAGGTCCTGATTATTTGTCCTGAAGAATACTTTCTATTCCTGCTAAGATCTGTTAGTAGTATTAACCTGTCTCCTAAATTCCTACACCAAAATAGATAGAATTAGTTTTTAAGGCAGCAAGACATAGGAAATAATATGAATTTTCAATTTTTAAGTAGTTTTTAAAGGGCTCTTATAGATTCATAGCACTGTACTTCATAAATAGCCCATATTAAAAGGCTTTTATCTTAGAGTTTCCGAAAGAGCTGGCAAACTGCCCGTGAAATGATCTCAGTTACAAACTGTGATTTCTCCACCATCTCTCACCCACCCACTTAACGATCCCCCTATATGCTGACTGCCATAGTTCAGCATATTTCAAAGGGTGACTGGGGTCTGGGTGAGGTGCTCACAGAATCTCAAACAGCCTGCAAATCTCCATCCCCTTGCAAGATGGATGGTGTTAATTACCCTCACTTTAATATGGCTGCCAGAGGTCGACTCCCAGAGTTTGGAGGCTGAGGTCTGTAATTCAAATTAGTTTACTGGCCTTCTCTCTTGACACCCTGTTGCCCTATTTATGAAATTTTTCTGTTAATTCTGAAATCATAGTGCGGCTTAGTGAAGACTTATTCTGTTTTGGACTCCAGCCAACATTGATTTACTGTCACGCTGAGCGATGTTTCCCTTCCTTTCCTGGCCTTCCAGGTTTCTAGGGGCGAGCATCTGGTATAGCTAAGTTTTATTTAACCTGATAGTTAGAAAATTGGGTCCTGAGGTCACCCGAGAAATCCTTATTCTTTAGTTCTTATAAATTAATGATATTTGTCTAAAACTTTTCTAAGATACCCACTTCTCTCCCTCTAGCTACGGGGCTGTGCACAGGCGCATCTCACACGAGGTTAACCACAGATTCGCACGTGTGCTTAGCTTTTTGGGCTGAGATGTTGCACCGGTCAGGACTGGACTAACCTATAATGTCTGAACAAAAGACTTTCATCCAAAGAGTCAGTTTGTAACCCAACTTTCAGAAGTGTCAGATGGTGAGAATAGTAGAAACCCGTTTTCTTTGGGTTTTAAGATGAATATGTACAATTAATCAGAGCGACAAGTATCATCTTTTTAGGAAGCTTAATGAGGGCGGAGTTTCTCAAAGCACGGCATGGGGACATTTGCTCTAGAATCAACTGGGGAGCTTGTTTGAAAAGCAGAGGAATGGATCCTGATTCCAGACCTTCTGAATCCAAATTTCTGAGGAGGTCTTTATTATTAATAACCTCCCCAGGAAATTCTTTGCACATTAACTATGAAAGTCTTGGAACGATGGTTTGTAGAGCCTTTACCCCTTGATCTCTAAAGTGGCATCGCTTAGCCTACTAAATCTTTATTGAGAGTTTACGATGTGTTCTGTGCTGCACTGGGTGTCCAGTAATGCTCAGCAGACATTTATGGAGTCTCTGCTAAAGGTCAGACACTGTCATTAAGTGCCAGGGTTACAATGCCAAGGCCTCGAGATTTCAGAGTCTAATTAGAGGGACATGTAACGGGCAAGGTGAAGTTACATTTTGAATGCGACAAGTGCAAGTACAGAGTTAGCACAGAGGCTATGGGATCACCAGGAATGATGTTTGGCTAGACCAGGAGAGGTAAGGAGGGTGGGCAGGGAAGGCAGTCTGGATAAGCCAGTATCTGACCTGCAGGTGTTGTGTCACCTGTTGCTTTAAGGGCATCTCCCACTGTTCTGTACTCCTCTTAAAAGAAATTAGATCAAGACCAGGATGATATTTCCATCTTAAACGCTCTCAGCTACAGCCTCATTTATGGAAAAAGATTACTTCTTTGATTACTTGTGTACATACTTCAACTTGTTTTCCTCTCGTTTCCTCTCCATTTTTTCCCATTTCCTGCCCACCGACCTCATATACACACACTCTTGCATTCAGGATCTGTGAAAACAAGGACTATTGACTTCATTTCTGTATCCAATGCCTTGAAAATAGTAGGTACTCCATAAATATTCATTGAATTGAATGTATTTGCTGTCTCTTTTCTTAAAGTACTTCCTTTAGAGCCAAGAGCTCTGCTCCTGTACATTAAAGATTTTGCAACCCTCTTCCTCATATATAAACATATCCAGAAACCAATAAGCCAAAGACATGGTTACTAACAAGAACAACTCATAGGTCTCCTCCAATAATCAAGGAGCGGAAACCACGGGAATTGCAGACAAGCACTGAATTCAGTTCAACAAACATTACGGAGCAGCCCTCCCACACTGGTCCGGTGCTGCACATAGTTAGATTAGATAAGATACCTACTCTTTAGCACTTTATAGTTCTCAAATCACATCCCTTTTCATACCATCGTGCAATTCTTACTCAACCACCTTCTTGGTTAAATATAAAGTCTTCAAGTTTGGGGACTGTCTATACTGCTCACCATTGGTTTGAAGGTTCGTTTCAAATGAATGTCATCAGAGGTACCCCATGTCGCCAATAACGTGTTAGCATAAGAAGTGTCCATTTTACATTCATGACATCATAGTAGCAAAATGGGCAACATCTCTTTTCTCTACTTCTCCATGAAGAAATATATATTTATACAGTTCGTGAATGAACGAATCAACTTTAGAGAGTAGAAATACGGGGAAAACACACTTGTTTTCTGGGGAGAGAAGAAAGACAATATAAAATAGTAGTTAACTAAGTACAAAGCTGGGATTAGGGACAAAAACCTCTGTACGCTGTCCCAGGAAGGGGAGAGAACTGAGAACTAGTAGGAGGAAAAAGAGCTGGGGCACCACTGTCCTAGTTTTGATTATTCAAGATAGTTGTGCTTGTGTGTGTGTGTGCATGTGGTCATGCAGTAATTCAAGCAGATACTGCATTTTATCAGGTATGTGGATGGATTATGCATTTCTTTCCTCCTTTCTCTGACCTAGGTTTTGCCAAAATTTGACAACCATTCAGGAGAGCCTCTGATGAATGTCTTCAATCTGAATATCCAGAAATTGTCCCATTTGTAGTCTGCTTGGAATCAACTGTTTTATTGGAAAGAATAAACAAGTGGATAATTGAGAAAAAAATTTTTTAATTTGGTTATTTGGTTTAAAAAAAAATCTCAGTTTTGGCCTCACAATGATAATATGCTCATGAAAATAATATTAATTTGTCTTTCCTCTGCAAACACAAGCAGTTGAAAAGGAAAGGACTGGGAAATGTGACAGAGAACAAACCACCTGGATGCGTGTTCTCTTATTATACCTTAAGGCAGTGGTTCTCAAACATTAATTTTCTTTAGAGAATTCTATGAGGAGCTTATAACAATGCAGATTCCTGGGCTGGCCTGCCTGTACCTATCCCTTGCTGAACCGCTGCAGTTGAACAAAGAAAGGGAATTCACATAATCAGCACCAACTTGAAAGTAAATAAATGTGGTTTGTACATAAAATATAATGTAGAAAACGTTTTCAGTTCTTCCCAAGGGATGGCCTAATAGAAGGTGGTGACAGTAGATAATGGTGGATGGAAAACGGGCAGGAGAGAGCCATTTTTCAGAAAGTTCTTCTTTCTAACCAGTTTCTTTACCAAGTTTTCAATCATCTTGGCACTCATGATTACCTTTCACTCAAACTTCAATTCAAATAAAGCTATAACACACAAAAAATACCTCAGGGGCAAAATAAAGGCAAAACGCCGCAGTGCTTTGAAATACACAAAAATTGCACAGTTGCACTGAGGGATTACAGGAGATGTTCCTCTCCATCCCTCCTGCTTGGTATATGTTCCCAAATGTGGCCTGCGGTTCAAATTTGTTTTGCATGATATTCTGTGGCTGGAGAATTGTGTGGAGAAAATTGTCTTTGCTTAAAACGGTAATGTCAAAATATCACTTTTTATATCAATTGTACTTAGTGCCTTTTTGGTTGAAAAAGTTTTATAGTAATAAATGGAGTCATCAATGACTTGGTTTGGTCAAATACTAGTCGACATGTTGCTGTGAAGGTATTTTTTTGGATGTAATTAACATCTACAATCAATGGACTTTAGGTAAAGCAGATGACCCTCCATGATGTGGGTGGTCCTCATCCAATCAGTTGAAGGCTTTAAGAGAAAAGACTGCGGTTTCCTGAGGAAAAAGGAATTCTGTCTACAGATCGCAACAGCCAAATGCTGCGTGAGTTTCCAGGCTGTGGACTCAGGACCACGATATCAACTCTTACCTGAATCTCCAGTTTGCTGGCTTGCCGCATAAATTTTGGACATGTCAGTCCCCACAATTTCATAAGACAATTCCTTAACATCTCTCTACATAGGTAGATTGATATAGATACCTATAAATATATCTATAATTATCATAAGTATATCATATATGTCTTATCTTCTTGGAATATACCATTGGTTCTGTTTCCCTGGAAAATCTTGCCTAATACAGCAGGTGTTATAATCACCTTTTGATAGATAACCTTGGAAAAGTTTGAAAACTTTCCCAAGGACACAAGGGGCACGTAGGGGATCTAGGTTTCAAACCCAAGTCTGTGTGACCCAACAGCCCTTACTCTTCCCACTGCTGAGAAGGGGTAGAGGGGAGGAGCGTGGCACCTTGAAGATCAAATATTGCCTGAGTCACTCTCTCCGGAAATACTAACCCAGGAAAAAGCTTTCCATGAAGCAGAAGATTAAATGAAAAGAGTCATTTTTCAGGGACAGCTGTGACCTTTACCTTGGATCTTGTATCTCAAGATTCTCAAATCGAGTTCCTGAAAGATTTGGCATTAAGATGCCAAAAGCTTATTCCATCTTATTTGGAATACGATGCTGTAGGAGAGAAAAACCATCTAATGCTGTCTGGCTTGCTTTAGGACCTCTGCTTGTAGAGGCTCCTATGGCTGCAGCCAGCTCGTTATGGAGCATGTGCTAGATGCTTTCTCTACCTTACCTGTAATCCTTACGGTAGCCCATAGTTTGGTTTTTGCTGTAACAACAGACAAACCCATGTAACACCTGATGTGGTCCAGGCAGATCTTGTAATGATGCCATTGGCCATTTATGGCCTCCAACCTTGTCTGCTTACCTGTCTCAGGCAAGAGAGTGACACATGCCTTCCCTTTTGTGCCAGGAGTGAGAGGTAGTCACACGACCCCACCAATGGGGTGGGGTGGGGGGTGGCTGGGAAATGTAGGGAAGCCTGTGAATCTTTGGTGAGCTCTAGTGGACCCTACCAGACCCTCATTTTAACGACGAGGAAGGTGAATCTCAGAGAGAACATGTGACTTGTGCACCCCAGGTCTTAAGGCTCCTATGTCATTTCCCACAAGTAAACTCTACTGGAGTTACTTCAAAATGACTCAAAATGATCTGCCTGTGCTACCCTTGGATGGATGCCAACCATTCCCCTCCCCACCAAAAGGAATCCCACTATTGCGCATACAATACAGCAGAGCAGACACCTGCTAAGTTGGCATACTTTGCACCAATGCCACATTTCCCTACCAAGCCTTGAGGAAGGTCTGATCATGTATTAAAAAAATTATCTATCCCGCTGTGGTGGCTGTATCCCCTCCATCTGTCCCTTGCTGGGCGAAATCTGCTACAGCTGCAAGTGACACCTGCTAGAGAACCAGACGAGGTACCTCGGGGGTGTGGGGCAACTTAGCAGGTGGATGCTAAAAGCTGGCAACCACTTGGCCACAATTTTCTTATCCTTTTGTAGCCTTAAAGGAAATAAAAACAAAGAAAATGAAAGGCAAGGTGGGGGACAAAGGCTGGTATTGTATATCAGGACTTTTATTTTCAATGCAAATCTATCATTTCATATTTGCCTGGTGGAGAGGGAGGGCGACCCACCCTCCATCCTAACCCAGATTGCAGCGGCATACTCTTGTGTGGGTGAAACTTGAGTTCAGGCTGCAACTGATCTGCTGGGGAGGTAGCAGAAGCTCAGTGCCAGGAGCTCCATTTTTCTTCTTGTTTTTTTCAGTGAAAGGAAGAATCGAGGACCACATTCCAGACCTTTCCACCTTCCCCATTTACTTGGTTCTTCCTCTGCTGAATCACATCCTTTGAACACTAGCACTGTAGTTAACAACTCGATGTTCCTGCCCTGGAGTGAGACTGGACCCGGGGCTAAGTTCTGACCTGGCTACTTACCTGCTCTGTCACTTTGGACATTTGCACAAGGTATTTCATATTTCTTCCTTTCTTTTTGTTTTTTTTTCTTGTTGTTGTTGTTAGTTCCCTGAACAGGGATTGAACTCGTGCCCTTGGCAGTGAAACCTCAGAGTTCTAACCACTGGGCAGCCAGGGAATTTCCCTGGCCTTGAGCCTTTTTTTTTTTAATTTATTTGTTTATTTTATTTTTGGCCGCGTTGGGTCTTTGCTGCTGCACGCGGGCTTTCTCTGGTCGCAGTGACCTGGATCTACTCTTCGTTGCGGTGCACGGGCTTCTCATTGCGGTGACTTCTCTTGCTGCAGAGCACGGGCTCTAGGCGTGTGGGCTTCAGTAGTTGTGGCACGCGGGCTCAGTAGTTGTGGCTCGCGGGCTCTAGAGCGCAGGCTCAGTAGTTGTAGTGCACGGGCTTAGTTGCTCCGCGGCATGTGGGATCTTCCCGGACCAGGGCTCGAGACTGTGTCCCCTGCATTGGAAGGTGGATTCTTAACCACTGAGCCACCAAGGGAGCCCGGTATTTCATCTTTCTAAGCCTTAATTTCCTCATCTATAAAATGGGATAAAATATCACCTAATTCATAGCATTTTTACGAGAATTAAATGAGTCCATGCAGGCAAAGTACTTAAGGCTTAACACAGTGTTAGATACATACTAAGCTCTTCCAAAGTGGGAGCTGCTGTTACCAACAGAAGTAGTAACATTAGTAGTAGGGGTAGGAGTTTTCCTGACTTATGGGACCATGTGAATTTTTCAGTTGGTAGGTGAAACGGTAGAAGAAAGGGGCGAGAAGTGGGCTGAGGCTTGGCCAAGGGCACGTCAATCTAGCTGAATAAATACTTCTTCCCGTGTTTAACACAAAGTGCAGTGATATAAAGACAATGTGGGTTTTGAAGTCAGACAGACATAGGTTGGACTTGGCCGCTCTGTCATTTATGACCTTGTGATGTTGGGCCTGTCACTCAGCTTCTCTGAACTCCATCTGTAAAACAGATACGTTCATGCCTTGTGGTTCCACAGTCTGGGGGTAGGTGGGGGTGGTATGACTTTTCTGACATAGAGGAGATCAAAGAAGAGAAGATGAGCTTATATACAGGAATGAGAAAGGATTCACTTTGAAAATAACCAGTTAACTTTTCTTCATTCTGTAAGTGCTTCACCCTCATTTCATTTAAATAAAAAAAGAGAAAATTCAAATAAGCAAAAGAGAAAAAGCTACCCAGGATCCCTCAACCCAAAGACAGCCACTGCCAACATCTTGGTTTTGAGCCAAGAAAAATGTCTTGGTGGCCAGGGTGATAAGATATGAAAACAGACCTCCCAGAGAGAAGGACTTTGGACATGGAAGCAGCCACCATCTGGGGTCAATCGTGCGGCCGTTGCCCTGTTGGAAGCAGAGGGCTCCGGCAGATGACAGGCCCAGCCCCCTGCTATGATTTAGTATAAGGGCAGTGTCATCAGCTGTCACCCTGCAAGAAAGTTATCTTACTCCGTACGCCAACGTGGGGGCCAAGGTGGCCACAAAAAAAGTTAGTTTTAAAGACCCTTTATCAAACGGGAAGCAGGACATAAATTAAAATCTAGTGTATCCAGTACATCATTGTGTCCTCAGTCTCTCCTTCCCTCCTTTTTTCAAGTCTTAGCCCCGGTGTCAGTTCTGAGCTCCACACAGCTCAGGGCTCACGGTTCAATGATCAAGGTAGACAAAGAGGCAGTGAGATGGGCAGTAGGACAGAGGGGACTCCAGGTGCCACGGAGCCCTAACGAGCGTGGGATGCTCCCACCTCTGTCTGGATTGTAAAGCCTCCCAGGCGTCCCCTGTACTCCCCTGCACAGCTCTCAGCCCACTGGCATAAATCCAGTGTCTATCTTTCCTCATGAGTATAAGCTCGAGGAGGGCATTTCTATCCCCAGTGCCTAGCCAGTGCCAGCTGGGGAGATGCTCAGTGAGTACTGACCAGATAGATGCTGTTGAAAGAAAGTGTGAGTTGAGAGGTGTTTGTGGTGGATACCAACTGTCTTGTTCTGTCCAGTATCCCTTCTTCCCTTTGTCTGGTTCCCATAGCATCTTTCTCAATCACCCCTTCCCCGATCCATAGGTTTAGTGGGGCTGCTGGTCCCAAACCCTGGAGGACACAGAGGCACAGGACACAGCTTGGCCGATCAGATTCTCTTTCTCCCAGGGACAGACGTGATTAGAGGAAGGATGTGATTGAGCCCGGAAAGAGGACTGAATTCATTCTGCTGCTGGCTCTCCCCAACTTGGCTGCCCAGTTCTTTCCTAGAATCTCAGAGGAACCTTGGTGTCTTTCCAATAGAGCTTTCCTTTGAATTGAAGTTGGTCCGAATACATTTATCTTGCTTGATAGAAAAAAGAAACTAACATGCTCTTTTCTTTCTTTAAAAGTTTTAATTGAGATGAAATTCACAAACAGAAAATCAACCACGTTAAAGTGTACAATTCAAGGGCATTCAGCGCAGTCACAGTGTTGTGCAACCATCACCTCTATCAAGTTCAAAAGCATTTTCATTACCCCCAAAACAAAACTCTGCACCCATTAGGCAGTCACGCCCCACGACCCCTCCCTGAGCCCCTGGCAACCACTAATCTGCTTTCGCTCTCTATGGCTTTACCTATCCTGGAGGTTTTGTATAAGTGGAATCACACAATATGTGACCTTCTGGGTCTGGCCGCTTTCACTTAGCATAGTGTTTTTGAGGTTCACCCACATTGTAGCATGTATCAGCACTTCATTCCTTTTCATGGCTGAATAATATTCCATTGAACCTTATTGGAT